CATGGTCTGCCATAGTTTGTGCAAGTATAGCACCACCATGATATCCTGGATTGCTTGAGTCCCAGGATGTGTCGCCAGCATTGAAATCTCCAGCTATAACGCAGCCAAAAGGTGGAGTCCATACTTCCAGAATGTCATCCACTTCCTGTGGGTTGTCACATGGCCGGTAGACACTGGCAAATGTAATGCCTTGTACCTTGACCTAGGTGATGTCTCGTGTAGCATAGGGCCGAAGTTGATCCGCTTAAAGATGTTTTCTCACATAGATGAGAGATCTGGGCCGTGTACTGTCGCTGTCCCAGGAATCCACTGGGGAGTATATATCGTAATTGGGGTGTGTCTTTACTCCCATTCTTTTGCCTGGTGGAATGCCGACCCATGGCTCTTGCATCAGAATGATGTTTGCTTGTTCTCTTTTATAGTCAGTCAGGTTGATGGCTAATTCTGTAGGGCCTGCACTCTTTTGTCCTCCTACTGTATTCATAGAATGGATGACTAGATGCCCGTGTCGATGTGTTTTATTTGATGTACCTAACATTGAATGACAACGATGGTATCGGCATCTCTGGGATGAGTTGTATCTGTTGTGTCGATTTGTATTGTGATGTCTTTGTTATTATTGCTGGGTGTTGACCTAGCTTGATTTCTGCCTGTTTCATTGAAGGCCTTGGATCTGGCTCTTTCTCCAGCCAGCCTTATTTCCTGGATTTGCTCCCATGTGTGCTTGTGGATGATGCCTTTCACAACCTTGGGGCGTGCAGGGCATTTGTCGAAGTTGACAGCATGAGGTCCTTTGCAGTTGACACACTTTGGGATTGGTTTTTCGCACCCCCCCTGGTGTACTGTACTGGCGCAACGTGCACATACTTGCTTTTCACATTGGTAGTTCCTACCATGGTATCTGAAGCAGCTCGCACATTGGTGAACCTTGGGGGAGTATTGAATGTGCCTTAAGGTCATTAAGTGAGCAAAAAGCGTGAATGGTTTCTTTGCTGCACAGGGCAGAGAGATCACCCATGTGGTCTCCAGATCAGAATCAACTGTGTTCCTTGAGAGTATGCACCTTAAAGGTCTGTCACCTGTTTGGGCTTTAATTTCATTAGAAACAGCAATGTTGGTAATATTGATTATCAATCCTTCTGTATTGATGACCTTTCTTGGGCATCCATTGACCTTATAGTGATGCCAGACCGTGTGGGTCTCAATCTTTTCTGCCTTGAGAATATTGGTGATTTCTTCTTGGAAGGCCAGGAGCTTAGCCTGAGTTGGCTTGTCCCTTGGGTATAAGGTAAATCCAGAGGGGCACCGGGTCACTTCTCTAAGCTCTTAAGGGTGGAGCTTAAGTCTTCTGTTCAGTGTAGACTTTATTCTGTAAGGCTCTAGGTGGCTATTATCCATACGGACAAAGACCCGGAGATCATCCTGCTTCTTTTTCAGTTGGTTAGCAGTGATGCGGGCGCCAGGCTGTGTTTTCTTTATGGTAGTATTGACTGTCCGTGGATGCTGTCGTTTACTAGAGGAGACAGCTTGGGCAAAGGTCATGGTGGGCTTTACCATCCCTATCCCCCCAGGGATGGTCTTCTTTTTGGGCGGATCTCGGGTTTCCAGCCATTCATTTAGACATTTAGAGAAGAAAGCACTGAACTCCTTGGCATGAGAGTATAGTTCAGTTCCAGCTTTCTCAAATGTCTTATCAACCGCTGCAGCACACTCTTGAAATATTGTTATCCTGGCTTCATAAAGGTGCTTGTCTTTTGCCAGTATTCTGGCAACTTGGTCTTGGCACTCTGAGGAGGAGGTTTTATTCTTTATATTGCGTGTAATGGCTTGGTCTGTCGAGATTTCGTTCAATTAAGGTCGTTTTATTCCAGTGGTGCTGCTGTCATTGATATTTCGGGATTTTCCTTTCAGAGGGGAAATAACGGTAAAGTCAGCCTCAGAGACCTGTGACGGGCTGCTGCTGATGTCGTCAAGCAGCGCCTGGCGGAGCCTGCTCAGAGTTGCCGGGCCGTATGTCTTTCTAGGGGCCGGGGATTTGAGTACGCCGCCGGTGTCGTCTTTGGGACGGTCATGGGCGTGTTTGGGGGCCAGTCGTGGAAGGGTGCCATCCGGCTTGTGAGAAAAATTCTCTTGTGCCTTGGCAGAGATAGTCAGTTACTGAGAGAAGTGTCTGCTTTAGTGCAAATATCAAGGTTGCGCCCTAACAGCGGGGCGCCAAGAAAAATGCCGCTCCAGAGTAGCTGGAATTCCTCTCCTTAATAGAACACTTTGAAATCTCACACCCCGTCTTTCGTCGCATACACCAGAGATGGTTTTCCTATAAGAGAGCAAGTTTACTCTGATGATCTATTTGTAGGCGAGGTGGGTAAGTAGAACCTTTAACTCACACCTGCGTCAATTTGGCAGAACTTTACGATGAAGCAGCCACACTGCAAATCTTAACCCGGCCTATCGTTCACACATGGGCCTGTCGCTCACACATGGACAGACGTGCAAGGCATATACAATACTTTATCATGTTCAACTGGTAGCCGGGTTGGTACGTCCTAGCGGAGTATTCTTACAGATTATTCTTATATATTATCCTTAGGCATAGCGGTTCGATCCTTCTAGCGGCTGAAATATTTCTTTTTGGTATCTTCCTTCTTTGCCTTCTGCCCTTTCACTTTTTTATATCCCCGTCACACACACATCGAGCTCTCGCATAGTCCATGTTATTCCAATCTACAGTAGACAATCGGCAGCTGGATAACGCATCAGCATCAGAAAGGATAAGTAATCCAGTCTCATCAATCTGTCCAAGCTGATTCGAGCTCCTGTATCCTCAGGATAGGTCTTCGTCTCCCTTCCGGAGCCGCATAAGTCCGAGATGCTTGATCGGGACATCCCATGCCACCGATCCTTGCGGAAATCGTCCTGTCGCGGCACTGTATGTCAACCCCACTGCCCCACGGGTTAACCCCTATATATACCTGCTCCTGTCTCCTAGCTAGCTTCATAGTTTCTTCCCTTCTTCACGTACATCAACAAAGTCATTTCTACAGTCACCAGCAGCCGAACTGTGACAGTCCTATTCCCAGGACAGCCCAAGCGCTTCACGCCGACCGACTGACGCAGGATCCAAGTACGGCACCTCACCGATCCCAGACGCTCTTACTCCCGTGCGAATGCCATCGACAAGGTGAGTGTCCGGCTAGATCAATATTGTCAGTCGTGAAAACGGCACGAACAAAGTCTTGCAACTTACGGTAGCGGCATGTAGCGTGCAGACGTTGCTCCAAATAGCGCAGGCCTGCTTCGTCCAGTGCATCCTGGCGACACAGTCGTGTTTCCGGGCCAAGAGCCTCATGATGTACTCCCGAATCATGTTCTCTTCGTAATCGTACACATCGTTGACCCTTGAAACATGCAGACCGGCTCCTGCGAATAGTGACTTCCAGCCGGTGACTGGATGCGTTCGTACGACCGGGTGCACCGGTGCAAACTCGAAGTCTTTGTTGAGTGGAGAGCCTCGGGGAGACATGACTTCGTACCCCCCGGCTTTGCATGCTGATTCGAACACCGGTTGCGCACAGGTTACTGTAAGGGTTTCCATGTATGAGCGGAAGGATGGCGACATGCGGTCGTACCTTGCAGAGGTCAGTCATTGTGTGGTGTGCGCGGCGCAGGGACTTTGTCGAGCCCACAGCTCATAGCCGGAACACCACAGCGTGTCACCTCCAGCAGGTGGCGTATCCTGCATTCGCAAGAAGCTGAAGTCGGATGGGCAGTTCTCGAAGAGGCCTAAGAGCTAAATGAGCATGATGGCTGTGGCGAAGCGAGGACGCCTTGTCTCACTGTCGCTGTGCCACTCTCTTCCCAGGTCTCGAGGCTCAGCCGACTGGCTCGGACGGCCTTTCATCGTCTTGTAGAGCTTCTTCTGGGCTTCAGAGTTGATCACGTAGCTTTCGTCCGCGCACGTCAGCTTCTACTGTTCACAACGACAGTCGGTCTCGAGGCACAACCCACATGTTCGGATCCGTCGTTCCGTCAGCCATAGGGATGTTGTTCGGATCATTGTACAGAGGATGTACGTGCAGCCCGTTCTCTTCTGGCCTACCGGAAAGCTTGCCCAGGAGGTCGGTGACCTGCTTCTGCTCGTCGATGGTGAGATCGTCTTGGGGTGCCCGGAAGAAGACGACATCTCGCTCGCAGATGGTGATGGCTAGGTCACGAAGCTGTTGATCCGAGTTCTCGGCATGCAGCATGTCCTTGACCCTCGCAGTGGGATACTCGCGGCCTATGACCGGAGTGGCATCGACATACTCGAGATGATCGATGGAGCCTGAGTTCTTCAATGGCTCTTTGCGGAGCCTTTTAGTCCCGTTCGTGTGGCCGTTTAAGCTGGTGGTGGGTTTGTCCAGTGCGGTTGGAGCCATGATCAGGGTTGTCTCGGTGCTGCAGTCAACTTGTACCGCTATCAGAGTGAGTGTACGAACAGCGCTGGCAGACTGCCGTGCCAAACGAGAATTATAAAGACAGAAGACAGAACTTCATACTCATATCTTCGATTGAATCGAGCGTCGTTGGCAACGAACTCCGCTGATGGAGTACATCCAATAGCTACAATGAACTGCCGATCACTCCTTTACGGTCACTCCACGCACATCACCGCTGTTCAGGGCCATGCCGCCTTTCCTGCACGTCAGTTGCGGGGTATGTTATCGCATTATATTACTGGCGCGGTGAGGTTGTGTGTGCCGTAGCACGCATCCCGACTGGTGAACTTCAGCACCACCATACCCCTTGTCAGCAATTATGCACCCCTCAAACTTCTGGACGGTCATGACGGTAACACCGTTACAGCCGACTGGGTAAGGTACCGCAATAGCTGGCTAATTTACTCGGGTGACCACCTGAAATGGTGTCCAAGGGGCTATCGGTGAGGCACACATATGAACTTGTGCGGTCCCTTATCGTTGCCCTCCGCCGTCTCAAGCGCACCGGACACGACGTTCACCATGTTGTGCTCTACCATCTCAGCAAACCCGTTGAAGCTCGACGTGCGCAGTCACTGGAAATGCCTCATCATCTGTTCCATCGCTACCATCTCGACCTTTCAGTATGGTATGTTGTTTGACGTGTCAGACGCAGAAGGTCGGGCTGACAGGAGCAGGTCTGGACTATGCACTTGTGGGCGGCTTTATATCGTATTCATCTCTGACCTCCACGAACGAACACTACCGTGGCTCACTGGCAGCAGGATGCCTGGGTTTCTCCAAGTATATGGCTACTACGACGATGAGCTGAAGGAGTGGGACATCGATGTGAGCTTGATCCCAGCTGATGTGGTATCCTGACGCTGAAGATAGCATAAGCCGACCGTCCAGCAACTCATTTCATCCTTAGTCACGATAGGGACATTCGTGTCTTCTTTGCTGGTCGGACCGTTCGGCAACAGGTTCGGGCGGAAGACCGGACTCTGGATTGCGTCCGTGCTGAACTTCGTTGCCACTGCTATCATGCTCGGTACGACGAGCGTCGGAGCGCTATACTTTGCACGCCTCTTGCTAGGTGAGCCGCTGCTGGTATGGTCCTGCCGTTGGTAGCGTATTCACGAGGTCCTCTAGGGTTCTCTGTTGGCTGGTTCTTGACTTTCAGCCAGCTATACGTTCACGAGGCCGCTCCGGCACATCTGCGTGGAATCACGTTCGCTGTCTACCAGATCCAGCTGTCTGTTGGATCCATTGTCGGTGCGGCGACTGATTACGGCACCCACACCATCAACGGTAGGCGAGCGTACCAGATTCCACTCGCCATTTTCTTCGCTGCTCCGACAATCCAAGCCATGGCGCTGTTCTTCTTTCCAGAGACGCCTCGTTGGCACATGGTCCAGGGTAAAGAGGACAAAGCCGAGGTGGCTCTACTACAGCTCCGGAACCCCAACATCGATGAGTTAGAATTCCAAGCAGAGCTGAACGAGATCCGAGGCTCGACCCGAGAGCAACTGGAGCAGAACAAGAAGGCTCTATTCCTCGAGATGTGGCGAGGCACCAATCTCAGACGTACTCTTCTATCGATAGGCGTAATATGTTTCCACTGTGCAAGTGGTATGTATGTCGGCCTGCTTTCGTAGAGCATATCTGAACTGACGCTTCGGAGGCTCCTCCTGGGTGAACACATACACAACGTACTTTCTTTCGATCGCCGGGGTGAAGGAGCCACTCGCATTATCTGTCATGATGACATGTATGGGCCTGATCGGTGTTCTCTGCAGCGTAGCATTCGTCCGCCTCTTTGATCGACGCACGATAATGCTGGCAGGCGTGCTAGCTTGCGCGTTCGCACAGCTTGCACCAGCCATCGCTTGGTCGGTTGCTCCGGGTTCGACAGCAGCTGGGAAGGTGGTGGTAGCCTTCATCGCGATCTTCACCTTCTCGTATACCGCATACGGTAAGCCATGTCCTCCATAAGAGCCTTCTGCGCCTTACAAGGAAGTATCTGACAAGCTGTAGCGCCCTATGCCTGGCTGCTCGGAGGTGAATATCCGAATAACCAGCTCCGAGGGTACTGCTTCGGCCTGGCCGCAGCCGTGAACTTCCTAGGAAACTGGCTTGGCACCTTCACCGCGCCGTACTTCATCAATCCCGCGAGTCTCGGGTGGGGTCCCAAGTAGGGTTTCATCTGGTTCGGTTCGAACATAATACTTGCCATCTTCACCTTCACCCTCCTGCCGGAGACCAAAGATCGGACACTTGAAGAGGTGCATGAAATGTTCAATGCCAAGGTTCCAGCACGCCAATTCAAGGGCTATGTATGCCACCGAGTCGAGCAACTCGCCGCCGAAGCCGCGGGCAAGGGCGCGGTGCAGGAAGATGGAAAGACTGGCGCTTTTCATATCGAGGAGACGCCTGCAACTCAGCAAGCTATTGAGTGAGGAGGATGTGCGGCGCTACTGAATGAGGACGTGCGGATCTAGCACTCAGGTGGTCGCTGGCTTGACGCTCAATGCTAGTATGCGTTCAGACCGTACTCTACATAGAACACACTCCCTTCTTTGAAGAAGTCCACAAGCAGGAAGTTCGGCCTTCGCTCGTAGTGACTGAGGCATCTCACCGCATGTTCTCCTAACTCGCCAACGTGAAATCCGGCAGGTATCCTGGGTAGTGCTGCCGCCGGAAAACCGTATCCAAGCCCCTGATTCGATACTGTCATGGCAGGTGATTTCTAGATGCATTGTTGCAGGGCGCGTCATTTCTTCTTGAGCGTCAGAAATCCCAACTTGGAGCATCATTCCGGGGCGCTCGATATCTGCAGAGTACTCTGCACCATGAGGACGATATCCTTGAGCAGCGAGACTTATGCGCCTATGCGGCGTTGTCGCTTGTACAACATATATGTTCATTCCGCGGCTCGACCCGAGACGTTGGATGGAAGTTGATCGTTTGACACCGTTCTGGAGTAGTCCCATTGTGTCAATATGTTTGTCCCTCATGGACTGGAACATTGGATGACAAGACGTCGAAGCTTGTTGCTAGGGAAGGCAGAGCAAGGCTGTTCACCACTTCCGCCAGTATGAACGCAGGCTAGGCTCGGACAAGCTCGAGCTCGTGGACGCCGACTCATAGGATGCATACGACCATGATCAAGTCCTCTGCTACGAAGCGACGAAGCTTGGCGAGAGATTTCGGCGCTAGAAGCCTGTGAGAGTTAAGATCACACACTTGATTAGACAAAGAGATAGATTTGAGAACTTGAAACTCCGCGATGAATCTAATTGTTGGTTTGACCCATGAGTCTAATACTACATCGTGCTGTCCCGTATCTACCGTTGCGAACCTCCGTGGGATTCTTTGACTCCTTAACCGTCGAGCTTGGCAGGGAAGTTTCCAGCCTCTGCCCCATGTTAGTATCACCCCGTAGCTGGCTAATGAGCCTTACTGACCTCGCTGTTCATCCCATCGTTGGTACCACCCGCTCGGGCATAGAGATCGGTATGCGAGGAAGAACTAAGCCAATCAGCAAGTCTTCCCTATCGCCAACTGTTCGGCTGGTTGTCGGCTCGTACCTGGCGGCATGGGGCAAAGTCCTCGCCCTTGGCGTTGATGCACTTGTGGTAGTCGACGTAGTTCTGCCAGCAGTGCTTGGTCTGGTTCACGTTGGGGAATCGAGCGTCGACACCTGTAGCACCTCGGTTAGACATACGTCCATTACTGAAATGGCTGTATTGTCGTAGTTCATCTTGGTCGCGTTGCTTCGATCGGGCGTAGGATCCGAATTGGAGTCGGGAAGGGCGTCTTACCAGCTAGAAATATGAGTGTTAGTGATTGACGGCACGATCGGGCGCTCCTTTCGCGAGGCATATTAGGGGATGGACATACCAGTGACGAACTTGAAAGGCTTCGTCTCGCGCTCGTCGTCAGACATCTTGGCGGGTTATAGGCAGAGAATCTCGTTGTAGGAGCGGTGGGGAGCTCAATGGCAGATTGACGATGGAGTGGTGATGTAGATGAAGGTTGATGGAAGAGCTCTCAGACCATTGTCGAATCATTGGAGGGTGTTTTGGCCGGTGGCCTGACATTCGACAACCCGCCGCCGGCCCACTGCAACCGCTGAAATGCGGTGATCTGACTGGCTGGACCGCTGCTAGAATGGGGCTCTTCAGCTTCCTTGTGGCTGTCAATCAGTGGCTTGCAGTGGCTCTGCCTGCCAAGACTGGGTCACTGCAGTCGAGACGTCTGATCATTCCACCGAGGCGAAGCAGAGCTCCCGTCCCCCCATAGAACGAACTTCGCAACACTTTAATTGGTATTCGCTCAACAGCTCGACCTCTGCACTTCCACCACCGACAGACACTCTCCCCTCAACCGCCAACATGTACGCCACACGAGCTCTCCGTATGATGCCTACGAGACGCATGATGCGTCCTGTTCCCGTACGTTCCCGTTCCCCTGATGCGCTCTGATGTCTCAACTATGACGTTCACTAACAACCGCAAAGAAGGAGGACCAGAGTGGTACGTTTTCGCCCGCCCGATGAGCCATTGGCTTCCGACAACGACATCCCAAGCTGCGACGAAGCCATCTACCACGCATGAAGAGGTGCATTAGTATTGATCATTACGTACAGCGCACACCGTCTCCCAGCGTCTCCGCAAGATCAAAGATATCCCAGCCGAACTGTGGCCACTCGGTTAGTCTACCTCCTAGGACGACGTTGAGAAAGCTTGGGAGGACACCCGCACGCTGACTCGTATCTAAGCTGCTGTCGTCGGCTTCGCGCTCTTCGCTGCCGGCTACTCGACCTTCCGCAAGTTCACTGTAGACAAGAACCTCCGACTCGCCCGTCAAAACCGCAAGGACGAGCCTGCCGCGCATGACGACCACTAAGCTGAGTCGCCTCATCAGGATCGAGATGGACAAGACCGGGCAGGGCATGGCATGGTAGGGCTTTCTTCTTTGTCAAGAAAAGCACACTATTGTATAAGTTAGTCGCTGGGAGGAGGAAGATATCAGACACGCGAGATCAGAATGAGCATGGTATATATTTCAGTCGCAAAATCTTAATCATGTCTGCCTTCCTTTTGTGCCGGATAGCCTCATTACCCAAACGCCAACGCTATGCGAGAAAGCACCCAACTTGCTTCCTCCATCAATTCTAACCTCATTCCGGTCTTGGTCCAGCAACGTCCAGGCCTTCGAGGCCCTGCATAGGGTCGTCAGGTCTATCATTGCCGTCAACAGCTTCAGCTCCGGCAGCTGCCATGCGGTCCTCTTCGCTGACAGCATTCGCAGCTAGCCATTTCTCCTGGATACAGGGTTAGCTAGTAGATGGAAACCCTACATAGGAAAAAAGATAACTCATACCTGTTGCCAAACTGCTGTCTTGCTGCCCAGCCCTTCCTCGGCGCTCTTGGGAGCCTTGGCCGCAGAGACCTTCAGTACGCGACCGAAAAACTCTGACTGGTCCATGTTGTCGATCGCCTCCTTGGCGTCTTCAGCGTCCTCATACTCGACGTAGGCGAAACCCCTGTGATGTTCTGTCGCGTTGGGCGCATCGTTCTTGGGCAAAGATATCTCGGCGATCTCCCCGAACGGTATGAAGGCATCGTGTATGTTGCCCGTGTTAGCCAGGGAAGCTACGCCGCCGACGTAGACTGTGGCTTTCCAGCGAGCTGTATCCGTCATTTCTGCTCTGGGGTGGTGGGTGTGAGCTTGGTGTTGGGATGTGTTTGACGTGGGAGAGAGCTCGAGCTCATCCAGCCTATCAGCCTCATTCAAGTCTGGCAGCCAGCAAATTGATGAGATGCCGCAGAATCACGTGGCACATGCATGCGCGGGTGGAAGGCAACTAAGAGGTACATAGCACTTACCTAAGCTAACACGTCTGAAGTGGTCAGTGCTGAGGTCAAACGGATTGAACAATGGACAAATGTGAAATGTGCCACGAATGCCACAGCTGTCGGTCTGCCACTGGCCACCATCCCTGCCACCTGGAATCGGCTTGGCTGATGAGCTCACGCCTGGCCCGACAAACCCACAACAGTGTTGGGTCTGCCCTGTCTTGTTGTTATCTGGCATCATAATGAACACCACTGGCATCTGATGCTTCTGCCTGCCTTCGTGTCCAAGAGCACCAGCCAACGAAGACATCTGTCCCGAAATCTATCCATTCTGATTACAATAATAGCTGGCCTAGAGCGCTCAATGCCTGTTGGCATCTCGGCCATCTACCCTCCTTTGTAACCCTCCCTGAACCTCTGGCTTGGCCACACGTACCTCTACCCCTCGACTCTAGTCAACATGGTCAGGTTGCGGGAGATCGCGCGAACCGCCGCCTTTGCTTGGTCGCCTGGCTCTGAGAAGTCATTGCTTGTCACCGGCACCCGGGCTGGAGCCGTCGACGCCGACTTCTCCGACGAGACGAAGCTGGAACTATGGGATCTGAGCCTCGACAACCAGGAACAGGGGCTTGAGCTCCAACCCATCGCAAGCATCGCTGCCGATTCGAGGTATACTAGCAGACCGCAAGAACGTGGCAGTGGCTTGCAGAGTGGTTGCTGACAGAGTTTCATCAGGTTCTATGACATTGCTTGGGGCCAGCCCTCAGACGAACACCCGCAAGGCATCATTGCCGGCGCCCTCGAAAACGGATCGCTCGACCTTTGGGATGCCGAGAAACTCATCTCTGGCGCATCCGACGCCCTGATATCGCGAACGACGAAACATACGGGAGCAGTCAAGTCGCTGCAATTCAACCCACTGAGGCCGCAGATTCTCGCCACTGCCGGAGCCAAGGGAGAGCTGTTCATCTACGACGTTAATGACCCTGAGAGTGCCTTCCGACTGGGCACATCCGCAGCTCGATCCGATGACCTAGAATGCGTGGCATGGAACGTCAAGGTTGCCCACATCCTGGCCACTGGAGGCTCCGGTGGATTCGTAACTGTTTGGGACTTGAAGACTAAGAAGGCGTCTCTGACGCTCAACAACAATCGGAAGGCCGTCAGTGCTATTGCCTGGGATCCGAACAATTCCACCAAGCTCTTGACTGCTACACCGGATGATACCACCCCGGTCATTATGATGTGGGATCTGCGAAACTCGAATGCGCCTGAGAGAACGCTGCAAGGTCATGAGCAAGGAGTTTTGTCAGTGTCTTGGTGTCAACAAGATGGGGATCTTCTTATTTCGAGCGGAAAGGACAACAGGACTTTGATCTGGAACCCACAAACTGGAGAGCGGTATGGAGAGTTCCCCGAGGTTACCAACTGGACCTTCCTAACGCGATTCCACCCTTCCAACCCCAATCTCTCGGCGACCGCTGCTTTTGATGGGAAAATCACCGTCCAGACTCTCCAGAATACGAACCCATCGGCTGTTCAGAACACGACGCAGCATAATCTTGATGGCGAGGACTTTTTCACCCAAGCGCAAACACAGCCACAAGGAGCTGCTTTCTCCTTAGCGAAGGCGCCCAAGTGGCTCGAGAGACCTGTTGGCGTGTCCTTTGGGTTCGGCGGAAAACTCATAATCTTCAAGCAGAACGCTTCTCAACCTGGTCAAAAACGTTCTTCCAAGCTTCAAATTTCTCAGTTCTCTGTCGATTCGGACATTGGTACAGCTACCGAAAAGTTTGAACAGTCTCTCAAGTCTGGAGATGTTGCTGCTATATGTGAATCCCACGTTGAACAGGCCAATACGGACGAGGAGAAAGCTGGTTGGCGTGTGATGGAGACCCTACTTGCGGGGAACTCACGCAAGCAGATTATCGATTATCTGGGATTCAACGAGGACGAAGCTACTAATGGTGTTGAAGAGCCTGCGGAAACCAAAGAGGAGGCTAAGCCCGAGAAGAAGGCCTTGGACGTTTCCAAGACTCACAAGAAACGTATCTCGACCTTTTTCTCGGAAGGGGTCGAAGGCGACGGCGAAGATTTCTTGGCCAACCTGTCCGCTACCAAGGGCGCCAAGACAGACAACCCCTTCCAACTTTTCAGTGACGGCGATTCTGCTGCTGAGAAGCAGATTACGAAAGCTTTGATGTTGGGCAATTTCGAGAAGGCAACGGAGACTTGTCTAAAAGAGGGCCGAATGGCAGATGCTTTCATGATTGCCAATTGTGGTGGCAAGGATTTGCTTGACAAGGTGCAGTCAGCTTACCTGTCACAGAAGACCGGCATGCCTAGTTACCTACGGCTCCTGAGCTCTGTCATCGTGAAGAATCTTTGGGACTTGGTCTACAATGCTGACCTGGCAGATTGGAAAGAGACCATGGTAACACTCTGCACATTCGCAGATCCCAACGAGTTCCCCGACCTCTGCGAAGCCCTGGGAGACCGTATATACGAGTCGGATTCCAGAAAGGATGCTTCATTCTGCTACTTGGTGGGAACCAAACTTGAAAAGGTTGTCGATATCTGGATCGCCGAGCTTGAGGAGGCCGAGAAAGAGGGCATGGCGGAGGGCAGCGACTCTACCTTCTCTGTTCACGCTAGGTCCCTGCAGCAATTCATTGAGAAGGTCACTATATTCCGCCACGTGACCAAATTCCAGGATAGCGAAACAGGTCTGCTTTCAGGCTGGAAGTTGGCTTCGCTCTATGACAAGTACGTCGAGTACGCCGATATCGTTTCAGCACACGGTCAACTAGCCGTTGCTCAGAAATACTTGGATCTCTTGCCGACCAAATATCCTGCTGCGGATATAGCTCGCGAGCGTGTGCAGCTTGCGACCAAGAGAGTTCCCACTCAGCCCGTGGCCAGACAGCCTGCCCAACGGCCTGTTGTTAGCTCGCATGTGGCATCTCGCGCACAGCCGGCAATGGGAAGTTTCCAGCCGTCTCAACCCACCTCTGGAACCAGCCCTGGCATTCCATATGGTCCTCCAGCTACCCAAACCCAAACCCCAGTAGCAACCCCATATGCGCCCCCGAATGTCGGGCATCCCTACGCCCCGCAAGGATACCAACCACAACAACCCCAGGTTTCACAGATGCTACCGCCGACCTCCGCTTACGGTGCTCCGGCCCCGTCGTTTGGTCCTCCCAGAGGCTCGACCCCATCAACAAAGCCCCCTCCGTCACGATCTGTTGATCCTGGCAGCTGGAACGACGTTCCCATGGTCGCGCCCAGGCCTCCTCCCCGAAGAGCTACGCCGAGTGCGAGTGCTATGACAACGCCTTTCCCGAACCAGGCGAATCAGTCACTGCCACCACCACCTCAAAGTCCCTACGGTTCTCATCGGGGTGCAACACCGCCTCCTCCTCCCAAGGGGCCTATGCCGGGCAGGGTGATGTCGCCTTTAAGTGGTCCTCCACATGCTGGCCAGATACCGCCCCCTCGCCCCGGATCTGCTACAACAAACCCATATGCACCACCTCCAGGAGCACAAACCCCTAGTGGTGGGCCCGGCCTGCCTCCGCCGCCAACAGGCAACTTCGCTCCGAGAACGGCTTCTCCGTACAACCCTCCCCCAGGAGCAGCGGCGCCCACAAGCCGGTATGCTCCGGCCCCGACGCCGCAACAGGGCAACCAGCCTTTCCAGCAACCAGGCATTGCTCCTCCTCCCGGTGGCAACCGGGCTCCGCCACCAAACCCGTATGCTCCGCCTCAACAGGCAACGCCGAGCCAGTACACCCCATCTCCTTATGGAGCTCCAGCGATGCAACAAGGGCCGCCGATACAGCAAGGGCCACCTCCCACCGGACCTCCACCGTCGAGTAGTGGCGGCCCGCCACCTGCAACAAGCTCACCTGCTCCACCTCCCGCAAGAACTGCAGCTCAGCCCGCGGCCAAACATCCTCCTGGTGACCGTTCCCATATCCCCGTCGACGCTCAGCAACTGGTCGACGTCCTTGGTCGCGACATGCAGCGCGTAGCCAGCAAAGCTCCAGCTTCTTTTGCCCCCCAAGTGAAAGACACGCAGAAGCGACTCGGGCTGCTATTCGATCACCTGAACAACGAAGAGCTGGTCAGGCCAGATACCATCGAGGAGCTGACTAAGCTTGCCCAGGCGCTGGAGAGCAAGAACTACTCCGAGGCGCAACGGCTGCAGGTCGAGATTCAGCGGGACAAGACTGACGAGTGTGGCAACTGGATGGTAAGATGATCTCCGTCTATAATTGTGTAATTGATCCTAATTCTGTAATAGGTTGGGGTCAAGAGGTTGGTCCAGATGAGCAAGGTTACGAACTAAGTTTCACTACGAACCGACCGGTCGAGTCATAATTCGAGAACAGCAAAGGTCATCATCAGAATATGAGGTAGTTGGTTGACAGTGTCTAAAAGTATATGTAGAAGGCGTTTGTTCAATAGACGGCCCAATCAATCCGAACATCGTTTGAGCCGGATGGTTTCTCAAAACTTCTTATCTTGACCTTGCCCCGTTTTGAACCGTATAGACGGGCACTATGCTGACTGCTAGGTGAGCACCATGTGATATGTTGTTGCCAAGGCTTCAGTGAAAAATGCAGGTCCGGTGAGCAGACTTCCACCCACGATCGTGACACATGTGCGAATGGCTGATTGAATCGTGTGTTGTGTTGTGTTGCAGATTCCGAGTTGCATGTATGCCCGTGTCGTGGAATCGTCGTTCGATGCCTCGTACATGAAAAGCAGCTCGGGGTTAACCGCAGATAAGGTATGGATAGGGGTAGTGGATTCAAGGCGCATACACCGGAGCTACCTTGTATTATCCTTCGACCGCCGCTCCTCGTCGTCCGCCGCGTCTTGTGTATACCTGAAGCCTCGAGGGCGACATTAGAGCTTGGGGATGAGTCACTGCGCATAGCGGATTAGGTCCCCTGGGTGGGTGCTAACTACGTGTGGTCTGCGTCGCGAATGTGATGGGATGTGACGCCGTGGAGTTGGAGGATGGTGGTTGGTATAAAGAGGGTTTGGCTGCCGGCGTCGGATGCGGCCTCGAGAGCTGAGGGAGGGGATGGGTGGGCGAGGGCCTTGGCTTATAAAGGCGAGGCGATGGGCACGAATGGCACGCGTGGGCTGCTGGCCAATGGGGCCCTCGGAGCTGGGTTTGCTATAGCAGAGGTGAGTTGCTTGTTATTTCTTGATTACCCCTTTAACTTTTGCGGATGGTTCAGGGGTTTTGTTATGTTGCCCGTTTTTGCTCTCGTCTGATATTTGTTGATTCCTGTACGCTCGCTATATGAGAAAGGGGCTGCTTGCTGATAATGCACTGTTTGAAAGGTTACCTACGGCGCAGGCCAGGTAGCGGCGGCGACACGAAGATGCGCGATGCGGATGCGGATGCCACTTGGGGCGGAATGGATTCGTGGGCGATGGTCATGCGCCGAGACTGAGGGCGTCAAGGAAAGAGGAACTCGAGGCGTTCGGGGGTCTGAGCTGCAGAAGAATTGAGAAAGATCATGCACGCAGCGAGGGACGAAGGTGTGGGAAGGGCCGGCGGCGGCGTTGGCTGGGTAGGTAGGTGGCTGGATTGCTGGTGGTGTTGTGCACGCATCTCTACTCGGTAACCCAGGGGATGGGGGGTGAGGACATATATATCCTAATATGGGCAAAAACTAGTATCAGACGTTCCCCCTCCTTTCCGGGTGCGGTAAAGTAGTCGCCAGGACAAACGAACGGAGTGACTAGTCTAGATGAGCTAGCCGTCAGTTTTCCGACAGTATATGCTGATCTTGGCGGACTGCTGTTCTTTTTCGCTACTTTGCGAGAGGTCCGCAGTTCAAATGGCATTTGTGTGACAATGGGTTTTTTTTTTGGGACATGATTTTTACGCCTCGAAGGATGTTTGCTGCCTGTATCTGGTATCCCCCATTCCGTTTATCTTTTTGGTGTCGTGCTGCCTGAGAGGCCTGAGTCCCTGATCATCTTGTGACATGAGTTTGGTACTGTTTTGACACGGCCGTCGACCAGTCTTCGTGTTCCCCAACCCAACAGACTGAGAGATGGTAAGGATGTTGGAATCAATCAATCAAGGCTCTGCCGCAACCTTGAAAAAATTAACGATTTTTTTTTATGGTGGCGCATGGCGGAACTATGTTCGTCTGCTCCCTCGTCGTCGACCAGTAATACGACACGTTTCTCACTTTCGGGGCTCACCACAGATGATTTACGGCTTGGTTATCCTCAGCCTACAAGGTCCAACTCTACTCCTTGGAATTATCGCAGAGTCATGGCCGCTCCCGTCGATAACAGGTCGCTAGACGCGACGATCTAAGGCCTCCATACCCGGTGTCAGAGAAGCCGGGGGAGGATGATAGCCACAGTACGTACAAGGCGAGGAAGCTGTGATCAACGGATTGGATGAAAATGATGAAATACTGAAGGAGTATATGTTGCCCCGACGCGGTTAGACATAGCTGCTACCGGTGTCATTTGCATCCGCTCTCTCTTCATGGGCTATGTTATGCTGAAGATGAAGATGCTCAACATCAGGAACGCCGGTCCGCTCTGGCTTTGACTGTCACTGAATGTCAACATAAATCCCACTACGACCGTGCAGTCGCTGCTACATGGTCAAGATGCCATCTTCAGTCAGCTACCACTATCTACCCAAAGGTTAACCTGCATTAGCTAACCTGTCGTGTCTTCGCTGATGTCCAGTTCGACTAATCCCACTGCTTACATGTAATGACAGACACCGGTTTCTGGGTCCTGATGAAGCTTCGGAAGCCCGCTGCCGGTGGCATGTCAACGTACACGGTCTTGAAGATTGTCGATGTTGTTCTTTAAGGGCCATGATGGCGTCTCGCAAACAGCGAAGAACATATCACAACGTGGGCCGGGACTTCAAAAGAGTCGTACCATTCATATTGGGGCAGGGCGACGCTTCTTCCCAATCGAACAAGAAATTCAGCTTCCAGTAGCCTTCAGTATGGGCTGGGCTAATGATCCCATACGCTATACTTGTTATCTTCAACATCCTGATCTTAAAATAAATTCCAATACATTTCTACCATATAATCAGGAGACCGAAGGATGATAAGGGAGATCCCGGCTTTCTTTCCGACGCTCACCAACGACTAGGCGAATAGGCCATGGTAGGTAGGTTAGTCACGTTGGCTCTCAGCGTGGACGCCTCTGGTAAGGAGCTGATGGGCCTTATTGAGACGATAACGCAGGCAGTCCTTCCCCAGGCAGCAAAAGAGCGTTGTCATCTGTTCACCTGTGGCCTTTCAAATCGAGCAATATTTCCGAGGGGGCTGAAAAGTTTGCGTATGAATGTGAATAGGAGTTGGTTTTGTTTGAAGTCGGAATTTGAATCAGTCGGATTCCTGGGAGGAGTAGGGGGTCATGATCAAACGTTGGGATTCAATAATAGGGCGTTATTGTAATTGCCGGTGACCGTTGCATTTCGTCCCAACAGCGCTCTAAACGGTCCGCCGCGTATATGCTGCGCTGAACCTGGGTATCATTAATGTGGTGGTTTCGCTCTATCCTACAGAATCATTCCTCGTCTTCATCGGAGGAGCTCATGAATTCGTCATCTTCGTCGAAGCCTGCGAACGCTCGCGTTGGCGGTTTCTTGGATGATGACTTGGTCGGCGGCGTTGGAGCCTTCGAGCTTCCTGACTTTGCAGCCTCCTCTTCCTCTCCACTTGCAGAATCCTCCTCCATAGCCTCTGACGAGGTCGAGCCGTGCGACGTGCCAAGTAGGTTGTCCTTGTAGTTGCCAGCCTTGATGGCGGCCATAACCGCTTCGCGTGTCCGCTCACCCGCCTCTTCCTTATCTTCGACCCACTTGCCGTCCAGCCGTCCTTTTGTGCTGTTCTTGATCTCGTGTTCCTTCTCCTCGGAGGCATTGATAATCTGTTGCCATCGCTCGCGTCGCTTATCCTTTTCTTTCTGCTCCATCTCCGGCTTGATGGCCAGGTACTCGGCCAACGCCTTGGCCTCGTTGACTGTCCTTAGTCGGCGTCCATCGAGGTTTCTACTGGAGGCATTCTCGTCGCCCTGGTTGCGCTTCTTTTTGGATGACATGCGACCACCGGCGGCTCGGAGTTGGGATCCGAAACCACCCTTGCCACCGCAAAGTGGTAGGGACAGGCGCAGCGAGAGGAAGTCATCGTTGGGGTTGCAAAGACCGGAGATGGGCTCGCGTGAACGGGGAGATAGTTGTTTATTCGATATTGTGGTCACTATGACTCTCGTGTCCGCGCGCGGTAGTCTTGACTCGATGCATTCGCAAAGGTCTGATGTGGTGGTGGTTGGAGGAAGTGGCAGAGATAGTGTCGTAGGGAGGCCGAGGCCGGGGAAGGTCGTCACGAAGACGTTGAGGTTCTTCGTAGCCATCTTTTGCGCTCCGAGCAGATGATGAAGCAGCGGAAAGGGCAGGAATAATACCAAAGTCGTCGTCGGATGCTGAATGAGGTAGTGATTGCTATGGGTGTTTAAGTATCGCGGTCAAAGGTGGGAGGAATGGACGTTGGATGGCTGGTACTATCTTATCTCCGATTTCCGAATTAGATTGTTGTCCCACCTGCGATGGATCTCCACTCATCAGCCACAGTCCCCTTGTTCAAGCCACACCAGCCTGGTTAGTCGCTTCCTACTCCACCCACCATAGGGTTTTTGCGCACAACCAGAAAATTGCCCCATCTTCAATTCATTGCAATCCGAGCAGCCAGCACGCCCAACTTTCCAAAAATCCCGCCTATCACCCTACTCACATCTTGTCGTCGCCCAACATCAACCGCCAAGATGCTGATTCCCAAGGCTGACCGCAAGAAGATCCACGAGGTTAGAATTGAGCCAGCCCGGGGTGCGGATGCGAGAGTGCGAGAGGACTGTGCAACTAACCTTTTCGTGCGTGGCAGTACCTCTTCCGTGAGGGCGTGATGGTCGCCGCGAAGGACTTCAACCTCCCCAAGCACCCCGATGTCGACACCAAGAACCTCTTCGTCGTCAAGGCCCTGCAGTCCCTGAACTCCCGCGGCTACGTCAAGACCCAGTTCTCTTGGCAATACTACTACTACACCCTCACCCCCGAGGGTCTCGACTACCTCCGCGAATGGCTGCACCTCCCCGCCGAGATTGTCCCCGCCACACACATCAAGCAGCAGCGATCGCATGCTCCTCCCCGAGGCATGATGGGCGAGGGCGGCGACCGTGAGCGAAGACCTTTCGGCCGTGGCCGCGGAGAGGGCCGAGGCGACCGTGGTGACCGTGAGGGTGGCTACCGAAGACGTGATGCTGGAGAGGGCAAGGAGGGCGGTGCCCCTGGTGAATTCAACCCGCAATTGTGAGTTCACCTGCCGGAGAAATATGGTTGAAGCTTGGTACTGACAATATCTACAGCCGTGGTGGATTTGGTCGTGGCCGTGGCCGAGGCGGTGACGCTCCCCCTTCGTAGAGAAGGAGAGCTCAGTCTCGTCTCATTGACAATTCCTTTGACGCACATGGATGCCGGCATGGGTTTGGACTCTATGGAACGGAGCAACTCCACAGTCGCGCTCCCGCTCGCGTGATAGAAAATCGTGGGGGAACCTCGGATGCACGGGTGGGAGTTATTAGGAGGGCAAATCCTCGGAAACCGTCTACCATGAATTTACGGATGATGCTTTCGCGCCAACAAATTAACTGTGCCCTATCACACATGCAATGTGAAGCTCCGGTCGAAGTGTCTGTACCGATTGAGAGGGTTGCCAAACCGGTGCGCCTGAGACCCCCGACAACCCAGGTGAGCCTCGGTGGAAGATGAGAAGCGCATCGAGGAAAGGGACATTCCGCCGTTAAGCTCACTACACGGCTATGCGGCTGTATGTGCATACTTAGCTCGTTGATATGTCCAATTTGAGATAGGTAGTGTCTTATTATCTCCCCTTCCACCTGGTGGTATCAATGCTTGAACCACGTGACCGTGGTTCGGCCTTCCCCCTACACCCGCCGCACCCCAGTCCAGCTCAAAAACCCGGAAGCTCCCACAACCACCAAATTTGTTCATTTGTTTCCTTCATAACATCGTACCGCAAGAAGCGATGTCCACAGCTTCTGATTGTGTACTATGCCTCCAGTTTTTTGCTGGCACTGCCGCTGGATGCCAAGCTCACACACTGGGACTCTGGGACTCTTGGTGTGTATGGTGCTGGATGGAGCGTGCCAGCTGCATGCATCTCTCCTGTAACCGACCAGCGCAGCAGTTGCGGATTGGTTCGGCTCGAGTGAGCCTCAAGCCCCTTGGTCACACACGATTCATGACTGCACGGCGACTGGCGGTCCTATTATAGGCCAGTGTGACGATTTTTCGCCGCCGAAGTCGCGGGGCTTTTATGCGTATATTTTCAGCTGTGGCTTGCATGAGCAGAGCTGGCGATGCCCAATTCTTCGAGACCCCGATGAACGGCATGTCGACTTACTGTTGACGATGTTTCCCCGGCGGTCTAGCAAAGCACGCGCATCCCACACACCATACGCTGGTGGATTACCCTATGCTGCAACCCAAGGAAAAGGCCGCTTCGATGGTCAATTAGCCACGCGATCTAGACCGCAACGCAAACGTTCGACGGTCATGTGTCAGTCGAAACATCCGTCATGGATTGGCTGAGGGGTCTGGTTTGCTTGGCCTTCCTCGGGAGTATCTCCAACCTCGGCGTTAGTGATAGCGTGCAATTTATTTGGAAACCAGCAGCCTCCTTCCCACGAAAGATCTGGTGCACAGCGTTAGCCGTGCCAATGCTTGCGTTCTGTGTCACACATACAGTATGACAGCCCACTGAGACTGTTCGTGAGACGAGCCGGAAACCGGCAGTCATCTAGGTATACAAGTGTCTGAGTTGTCTGATCGGAAGCACAACGACACTACACTACAGCACCCAGGAGGATGACGTCGCAAGGCAGTTGCCTTCCTCGTCTCAAGCAGCTCTAGCTGGATATTGGAGATGCGTGGTGTCTTCAGAGTGTGGGGGTGTTCTGCCACATCTGCATCCCCGTTCTGCACTATTCCATCCCTGTGTGGGTCTATATCTGGCCAGTCGAGCCAGTCGAGCCAGTCGAGCCAGTCGAGCCAGTGAAACTTGCTGTGACTTCGTCTGGTCTTGTTGAGGTTTGGCTGCACGATGAAAACGCTCACATGTTCCACAGCGGGGTCTCAGGTGACGCCCCTCCTTCTGCCGCGGATGGGTAGCCCATCTCATCGTGGAAGCCCATCCTATTGGAAAGCCATGACTTTACTGCAGTTTATTAGCTCCTATCCCGTACAGGAACAAAGTCAAGCGTCTCCAGAGATCCAGCCGTCTCCCAAGTTCCCCTCCACCCCTCCAGACCACACGTAGATCGTCTTGGCTAAAATATATAATACCCCAAACCTCCGCTTGCTAGCTCCTCGAACTACCATCATAATAGCAAACCTCACACATCGCCCTTCTTGTCCTTCTTGTGCTACTAGAATACCCCTCATCGTACGTTATTAGATACAAGCTTCCAGAGATTAAAGATGGAGAATCTCCCCAAGACCATGAGGGCGCTCAGGTAAGCTCTATCTTCTACCCGCCGTTCTCAAGGGGAATAAGATGAGCCATTGGCTTCATGGCGACCGCTGAAACCCGCATCCGCAGTCACACAGCTGACTGACTGCCCTCCCCGTCCCAGATATGAGAAGCCTGAGGACTGGAGCATCGTCGAGGTCCCTCTTCCCACCCTACGCGCCGGTGACGTCCTCATCAAGGTCAAGGCAAGTATTCTTTCAGGTCGTTGATACATCGCTGGGCAATGCTAACAGTAACGCCAGGCCTGCGGTGTTTGTGGCACTGACTTGCACATCCACGAGGGCGAATTCATTGCCAAGTTCCCCCTCATCCCCGGCCACGAGACCATCGGCGAGGTCGTTGGTGAGTCAACCTACAGTAAGGTGTAGCGTGAGTCCGATACTCACACAACTTCAAGCTTTCGCCGACGACGTCAAGGGTTTCAAGGTTGGCGACCGTGTCGCCGCTGACAACTCGGAGCTATGCGGGCACTGGTGAGTAGCAGCCTCCTGCTCGATGGTGGCCGGTACCGCGTGCTGAAGTCCGCATAGCTTCTACTGCCGACGAGGCCAGGAGCTGCTTTGCGAAGACTTCAAGGCCCACGGTGTCCTTGGCCTGGATGGTGGTTTCGCGGAATACGTGAGTCGTATTCGATCTTATGATGAGGCGCGCTAAACATCGCACATCAGTGCTCCTACCCGCAAGGACGTCTATTCCAGATCAAGAACCTCAGCAATGTCGATGCTACTCTTATCGAGCCAGCATCCTGCGCTATGCACGGTTTAGAAAAGATTGCTCCTAAGGCTGGTTCGCACGCACTGCTGATCGGCGCTGGCCCTACCGGTCTCATGATGGCTCAATTTTTGTAGGGGAATGGGACGCTCATCTTGTCGTAGATGGTTATTGACCTGCTTCTGTAGACGAAACAGTGGTGTCTCGCAACTGACCATTGCCGCACCTGAAGGCTCCAAGATGGAGTTGGCCAAGAGTCTCGATGCCGCCGACGTCTATGTGCCTCTCTCCCGATCAGACTCGTCCGCGCAATGGGAACAACTCAAGAAGGACAACCCGTACGGTTTCGATATCGGTATGTTGAGAGAGCCGCTAGGGATATTGGATCATGGCTAATATGGAGTGTAGTCGTCGAGGCCAGCGGTAGCTCCAAGGTCCTAGAGGACGCCATCAACTATGTCCGCCGAGGCGGCAAGCTTGTCTGCTACGGCGTCTACCCCAGCTCTGCCCGCGTGTCTTGGGCCCCGTCCAAGATCTTCGGCGATGGCAAGTTGGAGGATCTCTTCCTTACCAACCAACACGAATGCTAATTCTTCGTTAGAAATCACCATCATCGGCTCCTTCTCTGAGACTTACATGTTCCCCGCCACCGTCGACTACCTGGACAGCGGCAAGGTCAAGACCAAGGGCATTGTCAACAAGACCTTCAAGCTCGAGCAGTGGGGTGAGGCTCTCGAGAGCATCCGCCACAAGTCTGCCATCAAGGCTGCTATCGTGTTTGATTAGATGGACGTGGGTGTGCGTATAAGAAAAGAGTCCGTTACAATTGTAGATGATATAGCCGGGCAGATACGGTAGTGTATAGATCTCTCGGGTGAACAACGGAAGACAAGATTAAGACAAGTACCTGAAGGTAGTAGAACAAGGGAGGAGCAGTCAACATGATTTCCCAGCCAATTAGACGCCTACTCCTCTTCCCAAATAGGGATGCACAAACAAGATGGAGCACACCATGCAGAGGCGGCAGATCGGGTCGACTTTAGCGAACGCAACGGTCCCGTGCCTACTACTAAGGAAGGATGCAAGGGGAACGCCACTCATTGGCGGTGACGCTCTGGTGTAGTCAATATAAGGCTGAACGGACCACACGACCTTGATGGCCACCTGTGACCTGGGTGGACTACGGCAGCTTCCCGTCCCCGGTCTAGTTGTGCTGGGAACCACTTATACGAGGAGCGCCGTTCTGAAGTGTAAAGTAGACCGAAGTGGTTCGCCTTGTGATAGGATGATTCGGGCCTACCATACATGATCCTTCCTGGATACTGGGTCGTATACATGTCGCGCAACAGGTATCACCAACCCTATCTAACGATCCCTACATACATACCCTCGTCTTTCTCTCATTTCGCCCCTCCTAATTTCTCAGATTAAAGGCGAACAGGCACGACAGACAGTGATGAACAGGGCTACAAGATAATCTCCTCCCCCTGGCCGAGTTCCCTGGCCAGCATCTAGATGGCACCATCCCACGCCTTTGCCCGCTCATCCAACCACTCCTTGTAGCATCATACTCTCCGCGAACCCGCAGACGCCGCCATCTATGTCATGGTCGGGTCCCCTTACCTTTCCATTTCTGGGCACTCGTCTCAACTACTGGGGCCCCTTCTGTTCCGGTCGGAACCTAAGTCCAGTTGGGGTTCTGACCCGTGAAGGGCTACCTTAGGTGGGTCACGCGGTTTGCAGGCTTGGCAGAGCTTTCTTAGTGCATAGTTATGAGATCGAGTTGCTCGTTTACAAATACAAGAGCTTCAAGGTGTGCCTTTAAGTACAATGGAGGTGTCAGAGCGTGTGTAATACGTAGAATGCGGAGGGAGTTGACAGGTGACTTGCGTATTGCCTGGCTAATGGATCATCTTCCCCTACACTCGGGCGTAGCCGAGTAAGTTACCAGACGCAGTAGAAGGACGCGTTGCATATAGGTAGTCTAGCAAGAACCGAGCTCTATATCACCACAAGTGCGATTCTACGTAGTGACGGACGGATGGTCCTCGAGACGCCTGTAGACTTTCCACCCAGCAAGCCCAAGCTCCGTCCCTTTTCCGGAAATCCTTCTGCATATTCGCCGTGTTGCGTGAACTTGCCGCGAGATGAGTTCGCACTTCGCAGCCACCGCTGCCAGTCTACTATCGCTTGAACAACTTGCTCCTCCACCTCCCAAACCTCTCCGGCGCGCTCTTCTCCGCCTTGTTGTCCTCTTCTTCAGTCCCCACCTCGACCTCCCCCCCCGTCATCCCAAGCGCCTTAAACACCTTCCACATATCGCCAATCGGCACGTTGATCCCTTTGACGGTCTCATCGCACCAGCCGGCGCCGACGCACCTCTTGCCCACCAGTTTTGCCACACCATTATTCCTCGCTTTCTCACCTCCTCTTCTCCCGTTCCCCTGAACTGGAATAGGCGCCACAGCCCGCCTGTCGACCACGGTCCCCTGGAAGGTGGCCTCGAAGTGGTTGCGGCGGATATCGAGGCGGCCCTTGAGCTCTGCGAAGACATCTCCGCGCTCGCTCTGGATCTCAAACCCGCACGTGCCGAAGCTGATCTCGACGGGCGACGGGTTCGTGACGTGGATCGTGATGCAGATAGCGTTGGCTGAGGGCGTCGAGCCCGTCAGCAGCGAGGCGGTGGTGCCGCACCATGGGAGCGAGCCCTGCGTCGGTGTCGGGTTTGTAAGTGAGTTTGTCGTCGCGCTGGCGCTAAGTCCCCCCAGAGCAGCCTGAGATGCAGACGAAGGCACCAGAGCTGGAGTAGAAGCGCTCTGCACGCACACGTCCGGCCCGCCCATGCCGGCGAAAGTGATGTCCTTCTCATAACAAATAGCCCTGGGGCCGACGCCGAGCGCGCGCACGGTGGTGTTGCCGTTTCTTAAGATTAGTGTAGCCATATTGGACCCGATGACGGGGCGGATAAAGGCCTGCAGCGCGGCGGCGTCGGTGATGCGCACGAGCTGGTTGCTGACGACGATGGGGGCGCCGTTGGGCTGCGTGGTGATCTGCGGGAGCGTCACGCGGCCGAAACATGTCGCTGCATGTGAGGACCCGGCGCAGAGGTCGATCGTCATGGGGGTTAAGGTGGCGCTGGCGGGCCCGGTCTTGGTTACGCGGGCTTCGAGGGAGACGTGGAAGGAGCTGTGGATGGGTTAGGATGGGTTTCTATACATACATCCTTTTTGTAGGGGAGCTGAAGGGTGGAAGGTGGACGAGGCTGGTGAAAAGGGGCAGACGGGGACAGGGTGGTACTTACTCTTCGGTCACATTGCTGATTCTGATCAGGGAGATCTTTAGCTCGCTGTACCTAAGAATGGCGTCGACCAGGTTGCGGAATGCGTAATCCATCTGCGATGAGTGCTGCTGCACAAGTCCTTGAATGCTGAAGTCCATCTGGGGTGTGCGCGCGGGGAGTTGGACATGGTTATTTGTAGATTAGTGGGAGAGGGAGAGGGAGATTGCCTGCAAAAGTGAATGCAGTGGCGACCTGTTTGTCAAATATGGGCTGTCAAGTGGAATGACAAGGCGTGTGTGCGTTGTCGGTGGTGACTGGATGGATTGCTTGATGAGGTAGTCGTCGTGAATGGAGGCCCTCCGGGTTGTCAGCGGCTCCAACATTGAACGAGACGGGAGTGAATGGGAGAAGGAGTTGAGGGTGCGGTCTCATCCAGCCAGCCCCGGTAAGCTTGTCAAAGTCGGACGAGGCAAGTCTCCGGCGTGGAAGTCACGATGAAGAGACGACGGTGGCTCACAAATCGTATGGATCTCAAGCTGCCTTCAATGCCCAGACATGGACAAGCTTGTCGCCCTGCTTGAGTTGGGAGATGAAAGTTTGCCAATGATGAGGCACTGGATGGCAACCGCAAACAACGCGACTCAAATGTTCCTCAGGGCGTATCTTATCGCAAGTCCACATGATGTTTGCTTGTTGCTTTGATCATCCGCCTGACTTACGATGTAAGTCATCTGATGAAGTGGTCACATGCTGAACCAGTTGAGGCAGGCACGACGACCACCTCCTGACATCTGTGCTATGGCTCCGTAGTAGGTAGCAAACCATGCATCCATCTTCCTTCGTGCTCACCAACAATGCGCGGTATGCACTGGGAGGTGTGTATCTCGCAATAACGGAAGACCTACTCAGTTGTATATATTGTACTTCAACAAACCGTGTTTAGTCAACACGTAACTGATAGTAGTCAAGGGGTATAAATGTATTCATCTTATACTGACAGGCCACCGTCACATCATCCCAAATGCCTCGGCGCTGACCCATACAACTTGAAACAGTGACATACCCCCATTCCCCTGGTTTGATACAGATAGCTATCATCCACGAGCTGACGACTGTACTCTAACTCATAGCCCGACTCCCCTCAAGGTTATTCGCCGCGCTCTTGCTGCGTGGGTCGGCCTCCTTGCCGTAATGGGCGCCTTCACCACCCAAGTTCTCGATGGTCTGGCGACTCTTCTCCTTTGATTTCTCGCTCGTGTCTGCTCAGGATCAGTGACTGCTCAACGACGATTTGGACTACGTAACTTGCTTGGGTTGGAGATGTTCGCCTTGTGGCCGCGCACCTGGTCCGAAATATCCTCCTTGCCCCTGGTGAGCTCCTCCATGTCGCGAGACATGGTTGACTTTGCGCCGGCTGAGTTCATGATTGCTGTTGTGTCGGTTGACGATTGGGTGAGGTAGTGAGGCAGATAGCAGTTTCAGGGCTGTATGTTATGGGAACGTGTTGGATTCCGGAAAAGGAAGTCCTCTGGGGACGAAGCATGCTTTTTGTATTTCAGTCCCGTTACACAGTAGCCGTATCATTCCATGCGGGGGTGACGTTGCAAACCTTGTGCCATGTTAGCGTTGACATGGGAGATCTCGATGACCATTAGACCATTTTCGAGAGACCTTCCTGCCAACTTCAACAGACCAAAAGGTTGCGGTGCTGATGTATCTCCCGCATAACTGGCGTCATGGTCTGGCTTGGCTTCCAAGTTTGGGTACGGAACTTGGAGTAGCTGGCCCTACATGTGCAAGTAATCGCTGACGCTGGGCCTAGATCACGGGTAACCGGCTACGCCCTACTACTGACGCTAACCCAATCATGGAGAATATGGGAGAAGGTACCTAGGTAGACGATGTGGCGATGATTACCCCAAAAACAAAGGGCTGGCTGTGAATGGGGGCAGAAGGGTTCGCGGCATCGCCTAACTCTGCGGTGGCGATGCTCCTGATGGGAAGCGGATCTTAACACTGATAACAGAACGCGTAGGTGCCATTAGTACGCCACCACCAATAATCTATGCATCTTGAGCTGCTCTAGCCGGTTCGATATGGTCCATATGGCTATAGCTGCTGCTTGCGGCATCAAGCGGCGACTGCGTACGTGAACCCGACTGGCTATCAGACAGGCGGATGGAGTTGAGCTGCGCATTGCCGAGGTCGAGAGCTCCCCGTTGGACGAGCTTGTAAGTTGTGGCTTTCCGTCGGCGTCGATAGCAATATGACCATATAACGATCCCGTCAAGATGGTTCAGCCACCGCCCTCGGTGATCGCGCTGGTCTCTGAGCGAGAGTTGACGTGCTTGGGATGCAGCAGCTTCAACAGCAACACGCCAAAACTCTGGCTGGAGGAGTGAGCAGCAAGCCAAGGACAGCCTTAAAGCCTCAGCTGAATGAGGTTACATCCTGCTATCGATACCGACGGCGGTAGGGTAGCTGAAACGCCACCTGCTCTTCAGCCCTCCACGAGGAGCAATAGTGAAGCCGATATTGTCGTGTAAGCACTAGGTAGCAGCTCGAGGCACGGAGGCAGACCTGCATACCTACCTAGGTAGTGGGTTGCATCATATATAAGGTCTAGACCTTAGCGAGAACGAGACCTCCCGAACCGCAGATCTGGCTGTATACTCCAAAGTGCTCAGATAGACAACGTAATAATAAGAGCGATAGTAAGAACCGCAATCACCATGATGCTTCATTGAAAAACAGTGTTCATCCGAACTATGCCAGTGTACATGTTGATGGTTGTTTTGTATGCACGTTGAAACAGCCAGGGGCGAAGTCTATTTCTTAGGAAAAGAGGCGGGGGCTCGAGCATTCCGTTCCTCGGACTTTGGCCATATCGAGGCATAATTATCGAACACCACAAGTCGTAGTGTCGGCCCCAATGTTCTACTGCGTGTAATACTGAAGAGTGGTGTACACTTGTCTCTCGAAGGCGCGGATCCATAACTCACCATGGTGGACTGAAGACATACCATTATGCCAGGGTACTGTTATTTGAGGATGATTTATCCGATGTCATAACTCATACCGGCGAGGCCGTAGAGTGTACCTGGACAAGCTGACAAGACCCCTTTGTGGGCCTGCGTTTCCATTGACGGCCGGGACTTGGGACCTGGAACGTGGGGGCATGGGGCACGGCCATGGGCTTGGCGGCTTTTAGTGGGTCTTCTCCAGGGGGCCCAGAAGGGTGCATTGGCAGTATTGGCTGGTTTCAACGGGCAGCGGCAAGCGCTATGATTCGCTGTGCTGTGCCTGTGCGACCGCAATACGAGCAGCCCGGTATCCACCTGCACTCATTAATGATCGTCACTCCAGCTGTCACTCTGTCACTTCAATCCATCCTAGCCATCCTGCCATCGATGGTGGATTCTTCAACTGTTGTAAACATCCAAATCCCCACAACAATACCAACTACTGCCTATCTTCTTGCCTGGGAAAGAATCATCTCAAGATCTACTCGCTCTTATGGCTTACCCTTACCGAGACTGATATAATTCTACCTATCTGCTTGTGGATCTTGTCTTTGATTCCGAAGTCGACCAGTGCAGGTGCTCCTTGCCTTCGTCTGGGTGTCTGTCTTTCTGTGTCTGGTGCGCGTTTGAGCCTGAGCTTGTACGCTCGGGTAGCGTTTCCCGTTGCTGTTCCCATCTGCCGTCGTCGTACCGTCTAATTAGACAAGGACGGCATCAACCTCGCTCCTGCCCATCCGCAGGACACCTCTCCAGATGCAGCTGCTGCAACCGCTCGTTGCTGCTTGCCCGACCAGACAGCTGCCCAAGCCAAGCTCGAACCGATGCCAACACCATGAACTCGAGAAGCAACTGGCCACCCTTCGGCCAATATGACCTCACCTTCCGCGATACCACATTCCCCGAACTACCCCGTCGACCCAGTTACAACTCGAGACGCCCGCAACCCGATTCCTACCGCAGCCTACCCGTCCAAGTCGACTCGAGTTCTGACGACGACGACATCCCCATCCAAAAATCGAAGCGGCCGAACCAACACTCTCGCTCAATGAGCCATCCATTTCCTTCCTTGTTCTCTAGTAAGAAGAAGAAGCACCCAGTGCCAGACAACCAGCCCGGCAACCATGATCCTACAGATGATCGTGGCTACAACTCGAAACCGCTCCCGAACCCGCCTCAAACGGCGAATTCGAGGAGGGGCCCCCAGACCCCTGCCGACTTCGCAACTGGGAACTGCATGACCTGTGCCGGCCTCATACGGTGGCCGAAAGAGCTTCAGGTCTTCCGGTGTACGATATGCTTGACAATCAACGACCTGAAGCCGCACAACCACGCTGCTAGTCGCGCTACTATACGACCAGGGACGAGGGGGAACCTGCAGGCACAGTCAAACGGAAGCAGTCCGCCAACCACGGCAGTGCAGACTCGTACGTTCTAATACACTAGAAGTGAGGTCGTTTGGCTAATGCTAGTAGCTCATTCAATCTCCCTGGACCATACCAAGACTTTGATCAAGACATGCCTACGCGCCGCACTGCAGACCTGGATATCGACGTACGCAGAACACAGACAAACCGCACTCTTCCCGGGTCGATCGCCTTCTCGAGCTCCAGAGGAGCATGTCGCCCCTCGAAGGTCCCCCAACAAGCCGGAGAGCTCGCCATCTTCGAGTGCTACTCCACCATCCTTCGTCTACAGCGCAACTTTCGATGACTCTGCAGATGTCGGCTTGGAACCCAACCCACTGAATACTACGGCATACACGAGGTCTTATTCGACGTCGTATCCTGACGCCAGGAGCTCAACGTTTCCTCTCACTTCGCAACCAAGTGGACATGACCTCAGTTCAGACGCCCAGGGCTCACAGGTGGATGCAAAGAGAATGTTCAAAAAGCTCGAGGATTATCTGATCTCGTGTTTCGGAGCGCATTCGTGTGTAAACAACTCGTTCGTCCCGCGGCGCACTAGCGTCAGCCAGAAACTACCTGAAGCAGCACGGAGGCCAATCATTGAAACCAAACGAGAACCAATGCGCGAGCCATTACGCGAACCGAAACGTGACGACGCGACCTTTTCTGAGCTTGACGCGAAGCTTCTTTTACTGGGTGACTTTGCCGAGAATGGCTACTGGTGGACAGGAGGCCAAGAGGACGCACCGTTCGCGAGGTGCTCATCCCGGCGCCCGGACGAGAGACCTTCAATCGTAACCCTGAAATCGCCTCGAATTGACTGGAGCCAGGCCATGGAATGGTACCACGCTGTGACCAATGCCGCCGAACCGTGGCTCGAGGTTTATGATGAGGTGATGTGCGGAGATCCGACCAGAAGCTTGTCAGAGGCAGCACTTCAACAGTTCGAAAAGTTGGTCCTCGAAGCTCAGGGGCATTTACAAAGGGCTCTGTTGAAATGCACTGAAATGCTTTTGAAGCGGCCCGGGATGTTGATGATAGAGCCTCAAGATGCTCGCTTTTTACTGGTATTCCTGGGCAACCCGCTTCTCATCCCAGGCCATAAATGCTACATGGGGCACTATCAAAACACGAACAAGGGCAAAAACGTGCCCCCGGCAGCCGACGGAGAAGCAAAGTCGCCCATTGGTCGACATTCGGGTATTACGAAGAGGATTTTTGGTCTCTTGGCCAACTCTTCGGAGCCTTGCCATCACCACCTAGTCAACTGGTTCTCTAGACTGCCCGAGCACCTGTTCCTCCAGACCAGAGACCTCGTCAGTGGATTTGTGACCTATCGGCTGACCCGGCAGAGCGAGAAAAAGCTCGAGCCCAAGATCGATATGACGGGTGGTCTTGTCCCGCAAATGCCCACCGGACGTGTTGGCAACAACACGGCCAGCCTGCACGCGGCTTTGGAATCGTCAAAGACCTCCAAGAAGCAGAAGCAGCCAGTTGAATCGCAACGTGCTGCCTATACAGACGACTGGCAGATCAAAGCTGGGGCCAGGGTCATGGGCTTGATCTTTGCTGCCAATAAACTAACGCACGTTCGTCGGGCGGGTGTGCATGATGGGCGCACCTATGACCATTTGTTGTCAACAAGCGATTTCTACAACACTCTGGTTGACACTCTAGACTTCCAAGCGGATTTCGAGCTGTGGGAGTCGAAGAGAGGTAGATTCACTTTTTGCCAATACCCATTCTTCCTCAGTATATGGGCCAAGATACAAATCCTCGAGTTCGATGCCAAACGACAAATGAATGGTAAAGCTAGAGAGGCTTTCTTCGATAGCATCCTCACTCACAAGGACTATCAACAACACCTGACTTTCAGCATCCGCCGAGATTGCCTGGTGGAAGACAGTCTCACAAAAGTAAGCGAGGTTGTCGGCAGTGGTAGCGAAGACATCAAGAAGGCTTTGCGCATTGAGTTCGCAGGAGAAGAAGGCGTCGATGGCGGCGGTCTACGAAAGGAATGGTTTCTGCTCTTGGTGAGAGAGGTCTTTAACCCGGACCATGGTAAGTTGATCGACTCGCGTGCAAGATCTACGGCTAACCCGTGGTCCCAGGGCTTTTTGTGTATGATGACGACTCGCAGTTCTGTTATTTCAACCCAAATACTTTTGAGACGTCTGACCAGTTTTTCCTCGTTGGCGTGGTATTGGGCCTGGCCATCTACAACTCGACGATTCTGGATGTCGCGTTTCCCCCTTTTGCCTTTCGGAAGCTACTCGCGTCAGCACCACCACCTGCGGCTGGCGCACCTGCTCATGCGAGACCAACTATGAACTACGCCTTGGACGATTTGGCCGAGTTCCGGCCGGCACTTGCCAGGGGGCTTCGCCAACTTTTGGAATATGATGGCGATGTGCAATCTACGTTCTGTCTGGACTTCGTGATAGATGTTGAGAGGTATGGTAGTCGGGTTCGAGTACCATTGTGTCCCGGGGGAGAAAGCAAGATGGTCACAAATACCAATCGGAAGGACTATGTCGACCTCTACGTCAGGTACCTGCTCGACACCGCCGTCACACGCCAATTCGAGCCTTTCAAGCGCGGGTTCTTTACCGTCTGTGCTGGTAATGCCTTGACCCTATTCAGGCCCGAGGAAATTGAACTTCTTATTCGCGGCTCGGACGAACCGCTCGATATTACCTCACTCAAGGCGGTTGCCGTCTATATGAATTGGCCGAAGCAAACCAAACCCGAGGACGAGCCTACCGTCCAATGGTTCTGGGACACGTTTGGTAGAGCCTCGCCCCAAGACCAACGCCGCCTTCTCTCATTCATCACGGGCAGCGACCGAATCCCAGCGATGGGCGCTGCATCTCTTGTTATTAAGATCAATTGCCTCGGCGACGATGAAGGGCGATACCCTTCGGCCCGAACGTGTTTCAATAGTCTATCCTTGTACCGCTGCAACTCCCGGAGGAGGCTGGAACAATTACTTTGGCGGGCAGTCAACGAGAGCGAAGGGTTTGGACTCAAGTGACGACAGGAAGTTATCACAGCATGCATCGGCGTTTACAAGGCATTGAAATGGTTTGCACAGGGAAGGCACGGCTACACATACCCATGAATGGATACTCTGAATATCGCTTTGGCCACCTTTTCGGGGGCATTTGGATGATAGCATGGGACAACATACGGCCACATCTTACTCTGCGTGAAATAGGCTTGATCACGTAGACACGAATGAATGCATAGTTCAAGCTGGTCTCTTTGCCGCAAGAGGACAAGAAGAGCGCGAACAGGAGTAGTGACATGTCGATAGCTTTGGAACAAGAAGCTCATGATATGCAGCCTGTGGTTTATCATCAACGTCTGACAGAGCTGGGACGAGAGGATCCGGGCTCACCGCGATGGGCCGACATTGCATACAGGCAGCAGCTCTTGGTATGATGATGATGAGCCTCATTCGACGACGGCGGCAGGGGCCCACACCTAGCAGGACAAGTTCGATTGGCGCCTTGCTGCTGGGACTGAGAGCTGAACGCTATACGGATTGTACAGCTGCTAAGCATGGAGCAGGCAAGGTGGTGCTAGAGTCAGCTTATTACGCTTGGAATTATTCTGAACCTTCGCGGATGGGCTTCACTCGTCCTCATTTACGATTTACGACGGCCGCAAGTGCGGTGGTACTGGCCAACATGGCAGCCTGGGCTGGATGTCCTGTTGGCAGGGGCGTACCTATAAGCATACGTATCACTGTCTTTCGTTTTTAAGAAGGAGATCGCGTGTACAATAATCGTAGTCCTCGTTTCCTCTCTTGTTGGCAGGAGAGTGTCGTTGGAGTGTAGTTCTGTCACCACTACGTACGGTACACTCGAGTTCCCTATGCTGGCTTCTTCTGCTTACGCTTCGCCTAACATGGAGGACCACAAAGTGAGGATGTCTACTTCGCAAGAGACACTACTATCTGAGAGAAATACAACACGATTCACACCGGAGCTGTTCATGATGGGCTCGTCCAGGGACCATCGCCGAAGTGTCGATAGTTCCAAGTTTGACGAGTATTTCGTGAGTACCTAACCTTAGATAGGTTCACGCTACGACATGATGGTGACTGACTAATCTCTCTCCTCTCGCAGCTTGGTCCTCGAGAGCTCGATAGACATTCCAAATGGCCAACCATGCTGCGTATTCACGGAAGCACTCTTCCAGAGCTCATCCTTTCGCTACTTCTCGTTGGTGTCTGGACGACCAGCGTATGTCTGTTCTCGAGACATGTTAGGGATCGTGAGTACCTACCCAGGATTCTCGGAGATACGATGACCCTTCTTCTTCTTCTTCTTCTTCTTCTTCTTCTCCTTGCTAACCAGCGCCCGCGTGTTTATTCCTATCACGCAGTCGGGATCAAAAACACCTTACTCACGGTCCTCGGATTTGTCGTGGCCCTGTCCCTCTCGTTCCGCAGCTCGACGGCGTACGAGCGGTAGATGGAGGGCAGAAGGGCCTGGGCCACGCTGACGACGGCGTCGCAGAACCTTGCTCGGAATATTTGGATTAATGCCGACGAGAGGGAAGACTGTGCGAAAGAGGATCTGTTGGCGAAGCTGTGCGTCTTGCCCCATGATCCATCTGACCGTCTTGTCTAGCATCGTCTCCGACCCGAGAGATTACGGCAGAACGGCCATGAACCTCATAGTAGCTTACGCACGAGCGCTCAAACACCGACTCCGGTTCGAGCCCTACACGCACAGATCTCAAAGACCTAGTGGTGTATATCCACGATATCATCGGGGATGGGTGCTTCAAGGCGAATATTTATCAGACGCAGGCGCGAGTTGCTTTCTGCTTTCTTTCTAACTTACAGTCCGTAGCGGATGTGAATCTGGGTGGCTTGCGATGTGCTGTGCGGTGGGGTTTAGTAAACGCAGTCTTGACCATGAACGACGTCCAAGCAACCACCGACCGCATCCTCAACACGCCGCTCCCGCTCGCTTATGCTATTGCCATCTCGCAGCTGACATGGGTGTACATCCTCATCCTGCCCTCCCAGCTGTACGACACGCTGGGGCTCGTTGCGATTCCCGGGACTTTGTGTGAGTAGTTGCCCCCATCTCCCACTTCACCTGCCCCCACAACCATTTCTCCCTATTCCAACTGCACTGCACACCCACCCATCCGTATCATATCACAGCCATAAAGACTGAAACGAATTCATTTTTTTAACCCTGGTCCACACCACAGTCGCCGCCTACATCATCCTAGGCTTCGCCTACATAGGCCAAGAGATCGAGAACTCCTTCGGCCACGACGTCAACGACCTGCCGCTCGACGACTTCTGCAACCAGCTGGCGGCCGACATCGACACCATCACCACCTCCTCCCCCACCAACGGCGCGCAAACTTTTGTCCAGAGTGCTGCGAATTGCGTCTTGTACCCGGCTTTGCGCTACGGGTACGACGTCTGGGCCGATAGTGACGTTAGTGTTGAGGAGATCCGGGCGGCGCTGAGGAGGAGGGCGCTGGTTCGTATGGAGATGGTGAAGCCGCGGTTGAGGAGGCGGAGGGGAAGAGAAGGAACGGACGGGGATGGAGAGGGCGAAGGGGAAGGGCTTGGAGTTGGGGGGAGGTATGAGAAGGTTAGGGCGACGGGGGTGGAGTCGGTGTGATGTTTTGGGGAAGCGTTATACACGTATCATGGAAACTCGGGCTTGGTTATAATTTAGTAATATTATAGACTATGTAGTAAAGAAGGTGCTAATCACGGTATTAACTATATTGTATAAGTGCAATGCTGAGGCTCTGACCTCCGAGATAGCCAAGCTGCAGCGCCGTGCGAGAACAGGTCCTTGAAATCGCGCAGAATCGGCACGGGTTTGTCGAAGTCAGTATCGGTCTTGTACTGCAGATACTTGTCCCAGCGGTGTTAGACGGCGACACATTTGAATTAAAGCAGATAAGTTGTTGGCCGGCGACGGAAGCATGTGTAGAAGATGGTGTTCCTCTCAGCCGTCTCCTCCCCGTCGGCATCCACCACCCAGTCCGTAATCCTTCGTTGGTCATCAAAGTCGAACAGGTTGAAGAGCCGTGGTCACGTTGCCCGCCGGGGCTATGCTGGCCATGATGGTTCGATGTGCTGTCGTCTCTACTTCCGCTGCTATCAGAGGCACCACTCGCATTTGACATTGCGGGCGATTGACGGCTGGTGTGTTGTTCCCCCTTTCACAGTGGCCGGCAGCTAGACATCCCAAAGACTGGAGGTTGTTCATCCAGTAAGACAGGATCTCTCCGCAGCCTCGCCGGCCAGCACGAAAATGGCGCTTCTAGGTTGCCCTGCATTTTGCATGAAAGCGCACTTTATAGCCCCATGCCGAGGGAGCACGCTTTAGTCGAGCTGCAGCCCGCGGAACCTAGTTTCCATCAGCGCTCGCTGGTGCTTTCGCTGGTTCTCTCGCTCTTGGTCCCCTTGATGGCCAGTGGTATTGGGGACTCCCGCATTGTATATCTCCGGTACCCGACCACCGAGTTCGCACCTGAAGTGGTTGAGCCCATCACGTTTTCGCTGGGTTCCTCCTTCCATCTCGGCAGCTTCTGGTCCGACTTCCAAGGTCAGGTCCGTGAGGGTTTCATACCTCAGTCCGCGTAAATCGGCAGGTCTGAATCCGATGAAGGGTGGAAGAGCCTCGTGAGCGACTATTATCCTTTGGAGGGACTGCTGGTTTCCGAGATCTCCGATTGCGTGGATTGTTTTGAAAAAAAGAGTTCCGGCTTCTAACAGACTATAGCTGCTATGGTGTATTTGCCGGACCTGTTCCCACTCATGATGTTGCGAACGAGATTCGAGTCGCCTGAGAATGTCTGCATCTCGGTATGCTCGACCTTCAGAATATCATGGGATGCCATGATGATATGGCGGACTTTGCCATTGGCGTGGTTACTAGGTGTCGATGTAAACCGAATATTGCATACTCGGAGCGCTTCCACGCGACTCTCCCAGTTCACGAAGAAGAAGGCCGGCGCCTGCTGGTACCAGAGGTCACCGATCTTCGTGTGGGGCTGGAGGATGGTGTTCTATGGCTCGTCTTCTTGGTTTCCTGGCTTGGGAAAAGGTTTAGGGCATCTGCAAGCGCGGTGTTGCCTGCACCTGCCATTCGGTCCCCTGACACAACCAGGAGGCTCCGGCGCGGGCAGATCAACCAGGCGGGGGGTCGCCATGGCGAGTTCCCAGATGCAAATTCGCAACTCGGGGGGCAGTTGGCTGAATAGATGGAAGACGGCCATGGTGGCGATGCAGACGCCAATGGGAGGTATTCTGTGTGGTTTGTGTAGTGAGGAGTGAAGATGGTGCAGGGAAAAGACGCAGGGTTTGCTCGAGCGCGAGGTTTGGTGTCTTATTGATAGAGGCAAGTCTGGTGGGTGGAAGAACAAACCAATCTGACAGTAGGGGATACACTACTATTTATAATCTAGACGAAAGCTTTCGGAGAAACAGCCAGAAAGCGCGCCAAAGCCACCTTGAACCTTAACTGGCATTCAAAAGTAAGTGTTTAGAATATGTGCTCAGTGGCGTATCTAGCCTGAGCACGTATATTGGTCATCCTGTGGGATCACCTGATTAGATAGCTGCCGGAGGGTACCCCTTTCGGCTATCCTTCTTCTCTGCCAATATGGACCATTCTGAAATCTCACAGTTTTCCTGAACACCCAATGGTTCTGGCTATCTGCGAGATGCCCAGTCCCTTTTCTCTTCGAGCTCGGTTCGCTGGTGCCATATTAGTGTTGAGGTTGAGAGAGAAGACGAACAGAGTTCAGCCATGAGCCACCAAAAAAATACCAAAAAGAATCGTTAATTTGCTCAAGGTTACGGCAGAGCCTGAATTGATTCCATAACATTGATGCCATCTCTCAATGTGCTGGGTCGGGAACACGAAGTTTCTCCGAGCTGGTCTTCCTTATGAAATACGTACTAGCATTCACTGGACGCAGCCCGCGTCTCGAAGTGCTCTTTGGAGAATCTGTCGAACGACACTTTCCTTCCTCGAGTTATACTGCTGGCCCGGGTTGCTGGCTGCGGTGCTCGTCGCCGCTATAGCATCTCGCTTTGCCTTGGTATAGAGCTCCCTGTCGTCCTTACTCTTCAGCAGCCAGTCCCTGAAGATTTTGTGCCGCAGCGCTTCGGGCGAACCGGGCCCCCAGACATGGACGTTTGCCGCCGGCTTGTAGGAGCAGAAGAAGCGATTCTCGTGCCAGTGCCGCTGGCGCGAGATGAAATGGAAGCCGGCCGCCTCGAGCTGCGCGGCGTACGAGGCCTCGTCGACGGGGTCTCTGACGGTGAGGTCGATGTCGATGATGGCCTTGGCTGGAAGGCCGGGGACACTGGTGGAACCGTAGTGCTCGACCGAGATGACCTCGTTGCCGAGGGCGCTGAGGATGCGGGACTCGAGGACCTTGAAGGTCTCGGGCCAGGAGGGGTCGGGCTCGGCAACCTCTAGGATCTGAGGGACCCTGCGATGAGCGATGCGTTCCTGCAATTCCGGTCGGTACTCGGTGTCTTTCAAAACAGCCTCAACGGATGAAGCCATGATTCGACGTATTGACAGCACAGAAGAAGTGGTGGGCCGGGCCTTTCGTTCAACGACACGGAATGAAGCAGGAAGGCGAATGAAGCAGGAAGGCGAATGAAGCAGGAAGGCGAGAGTCAGGGTCTGCACGAGAATGAGAAGTGAATGCTTCCAGATATGTCAGCTACGAATATGAGTCAGACCGCAAGCTAATGCCGTTCTCAATCGAAGTGGCGCAAGTGGAACAGGTCCACTTTAAATGGCTAGCACCTCTTAAACTTTTTAAAAACGGCTTTTTTAATGAAATAACTTATAATATAACTAGTTCAATAAATATAAATAAACGTTATATATATATAAGATATAAAGTACCGTATATATATAGTAACGGTTATTAAATAGTTATATTTAATCATAATAAATAATTGAAAGAAAGAGATAAAAGCATTATAAAGGTATCAATATTAATAACTTTTAAAGTCATAAATAAGGCTTCATTAATTAATAGATTAAGATATAAATGTATTTTTATACTTTAATATATATTAATATTAAATTTAATCTTTTAGTTTATTAAAAAAATACGTACTTAATGTACTTTAACTTGAACATAATATTAAACGTCAAGTTATAATGTAATATAATTTCTTTTAATATAATTTTAAAAAATGCTTTTTTGTTGTTATTCTTATTTACTATTAAAGCCGTTATATACTTATATATAATATAAAAGCTTTGATAAAATATATTAAAAAGCTTCCATTATTATTTTATTTAATATAAAATATTTAAAACGTAATAAACGCGTAAAACAACTTTAAATAAATTAAGAATTTCTAATAATTATGATTAATAGCACAGAAATAATACGAAATAAGAGATGGTTAAAGAGATTATTAAAGTTACGTTATATTGAAAACTTATAAAATTTAAAGCTGTTATAAGATTTACTAACATTATATTGAAAAAGTTTTTGACTTTAAATGTAACCGATTGTAATAAAAAAGATATTTAACACGTATAAACAGCCGTTTTTAAAAACTTTGTTTGTAATTATTATCCAAACTTATTACAAAAAATCTTATCTCATAAAACGATTAAATAATAATTATGATTTGAACGTAAGTATATCAACTCGTATTTATTTAAATACTATATTATTAATACGTTTGAATATAGAATATAATGATTAATATTTTTAACTATTAATTTTATTAAAAATAAAAATAAAAGAAATATTTTCAAAGAAGATTTTGTAAAAAACTTAAAAAGATAAATTATAGTTATTATATTAAAAAATAAAAATAAAAATATCGATTCTATTATATAAAAATCATAGAATATTTAAGATAATGTGAGATTCTAGAAGGGTCACAAGCCTTGGGGGTGTGAGCGGTCGCTGCAAACGTTGTTGTCATTTTCAAGTATGCTTGACAAGGCTAATCTACAGCTAAACACTATACTGCACTATGCCAGAGGGATCCACTGTTCCCTTGGCAGCGCCCTAGTGGGTACTGCACCTAAGGGCACCATATCTGGGATCCAACATCTGACATATATCAAAATAGCAGCAATTAATATTTTAATATATTAATTGAAGCCCTAAAAGAAATAAAGATTACCTTATGGTTATATTTTTTACCTTCAGAAAAAAAAAATTTCCTAATTTAAGAAATCGAAAGGGTTTTAAAAGTATTATGCCGAGTTTTTAAGTTATTAATAAGGTATTAAAAGCTATTAAGTTTTTAATTTTTAAAACAAAACCTCAATATTAGAGATTTTTATAAAAACGTGTAATATAAAAACCTTAAAAAAAATTTTTTTTGGTTCAAAGTTGAATTAAATTTTTTTTTTAACTGCTTAAAGGCTTAATTCAGCACGAAATTATTACAGTATTTATACAATCAATTAGTATAAAACTATTAAAAATTTGGCTATTAGTTGAATAACTTAACAATAACTTTATAATATTAACAACTTATAACGTCATTAAACTTATTTTAAAGCGGTTCATTACTGTATTAGTAGGGTTTAAAAACACATATACGGTTATTAGCGTTTAAATGAGGTTTGCGGCAATATTAATTAGCTTAATAAATTATTAGTTTTTAAATCTTTTAAATAAAGCTATAAACATATTTATTTTAGGATTAAATTTAATAAGTTATCTTTTAAGCCTTGGTTTTAATAAAACGTTCTTACTTTTTTAAAAATAGCAATATTTTTCATTTGTATATTTAAAAAAAATTATCTTTATTAGTTTATTAATACATAGTTGAAAATTAACTTGGTTTTAACTTAAGGTTAAGTTGGTATTAACCGTTTCAAATAACTTTAACTTATATTATTTGTAATATTTGTGATATTTATGATATTTATGATATTTATGATATTTATGATATTTATGATATTTATGATATTTATGATATTTATGATATTTATGATATTTATGATATTTATGATATTTATGATATTTATGATATTTATGATATTTATGATATTTATGATATTTATGATATTTATGATATTTATGATATTTATGATATTTATGATATTTATGATATTTATGATATTTATGATATTTATGATATTTATGATATTTATGATATTTATGATATTTATGATATTTATGATATTTATGATATTTATGATATTTATGATATTTATGATATTTATAATATTTATCGATCGGTATTGAATGTAAAGACTGTCACGGCGAGTGGCACCTAAGACGAGACAAAGCAGACGACAAGAGGGTAACCGACTCTATAGACAAAAATATCAAAGATAAAGAAAGGAAGGAAAGAGAGCTAGATACAGGTAGCAGACAGAGCTATCTAGATGAACCCCTAACCAGGGTGTGATGTGAGGCGCAGTAGGTTGCGCTAGTGTGTGCCTTTACACTGCCCTCACAAAGACTGTCAGTTTTTTTGAATTTTTTTTGGATTTATTTCATAATAAGTGAGTATATTTCTGTTAAATTAATTATAAATCAAGCTTAAGTTAAGGTAATATGTAAAATGTTAAGCTTTATCATATAAGTAAGATAATTTTAATTATTATTATTATTAAGGTATAAATAAATATATTTTTGTACGATGTTTTTTTTAATTTTTTAACCGTGATTTTAAAGCTTAAAGTATTTATTAGCGTTATAAAAGGTTTAAATTTATTTATCTGTTTTAGTTTAAAGCTTTTGAAATATATTATTATTAATTAAGTCGTATGTTTTTATAAGAATATTTTATAATATTTAAACATTAAAATATTAGTTAATGTTTTTAATATTAGTTGTAAGTACGTTTTTTTAAGTCTTTTATAAGGGCCTTTAATATCTGTTAATTTTTTCAATAGTACTTAATCGTTATTATAGCTTGCAATAATAATGTTAGGTTTTAGAATAATATATACGGTATCGTTTAATCTCAACTGGTAAAACCCTTTTTGAAAAAAGATAGCTTTAGCTTTTGTTAATGTATTCTTAATTTGTTTAAAGTCATTTAATAGGTTATAAAGTTTGATAATCTTTTTGGGTAGTATTTATATTTTCCTCTTTTATTGCAGTGTTTTTCGAAGTATTTTTAAAATATAAGAAATTATTTTAATGTAGCTGACACGCGAGTTGGCACTCGTCATGAACACTTTAACTGCCATTTGAAATAACTTCATCACAACGTATTCAATTTAATTCAATTAATCGGATTCCTCTTCTTCAAAGGTTTCTATCTATAATGTACAAGTTCGCGCATTATGGCCAGTGTTGCCGCAAACGCCACACCGTCGCTCACGCGCTGCTGTCCTCTTTGAACGACAATTACCTTCACCCATTTCCTGTCTTGCCAGCTGAGTACCATCCTTTATAGCCTGAAGACCTATTATATCTTTAATAAAAAGTATTTCTGTTTTTATTAGACATTTATTTTTTATTTTCTGTCATTTATTTAGTAAGTGATTGGCCTCTTTTAGCTCGCAGATCCAAGAATCAACCAAAGAAACCTTGTGTATAAGACTATATATAGCCTTTGAAAACGAGCTTAATATATCAATTATTGATATAGGTGAGCTTTTCTGGTGGTTTCTAACTCGATTTTGGATATAAACTGATTGGTTTACCGCTTCATTCATGGTGATAGGCATCTTTAAAGTCCAAGTAGTGGGTGGCAGATTGGGGTCTGGTGACAGTATTCGTACGACAGCGACAGTATTCAGCTTTGAAATGACACTTTCTGGGTCAAAAAGTAAAACCTGCTCGGATGTTTCCTGGTGTCATTACAGCGTTGTGTGCTTTACAAAACGCTGTGAGGAAGTCCTCTTTTGAATCATTGGTTATATGACGCTGGATGAGATCCTTAATTGAGCGATCATAAGCTTGTTTGAGTAGGCTGAAATAACTGACATTTAAAGGCTGGAGCCTATGTAACAAATTGGTAGGCATACAAAGAGTAATGATACTATTGTTCTAACAATAATTCTCAAAGACCTAGAAATAATGGCTTTTGTGACCATCTAGGATAAGGAGGCATTTACCGGCAGTCATACACAATCTGGTATACTTGTTGAAATGCTGAATCCTTTTCAAACCGATCTTATTTATAGTCTATCCGTTGTCAGACACGGCTATCTTCTAATTGCGTGGTAATGTTGTGTCACGATACCATGATGCGAGGTGGGTTTTGCCCTATAGAATGATGAACGGCAAGACCACACAACCATCAACATTAATAGCAGAGATTGCTGTAGACCATTCCCTGTTGCCTTGCTGAGCTTGTCTAGGCCTACCACGTCTTTTGGCACTTATAATGACCATGCCGGACCCAATAATGCCCATCATAAACCCAGTCTCATCGAAGCTATAAATATCCGCGTTTTGGATACCATGTTTCGCGATTGCCGCCGCAACTTGGCGAAACCACGCGCAATACGCATCTAGATCTTTGTTAAAGACCCTCTTGTAGTCCATCCTCCGATGAAAACGCGTCCGGAGGCCTAGTGTGTGTTTAATGAAGTTCTTTGTCCCGTTCTTTCCAACGCGTCCATCCCCACGTGCTGCCAACAATTAATTTGCCATATCTTCAACATAACTGTGCCGGGGTAGAAATGCTCGCGCATCCAGGTCAAGAATGAAGGAAAGAATGGCATTCTCTTCAGAAACCGTAAGTTTCAAAGTATTGGGTATGCTATTGCGTTGTGATGGTCGGCTGGCGATTCTAGCCTTCAAGGTATTATATGGGACATTGAAAGTCTTAAAAAGCTTGCCAATGGTAATATGAGGGTCGCGTCGCTTAGCTTGGACAGCAAGCTGTAAGTCTAATTCGCTATAACGCAATGCCATTATTGTTGGTTGATCAATTAGGAGCCTTGATTGAAAGGTTAGGTGGCTGGTGAAAAGTTGCCGTTCGCTTGTAATTGCCGCTCGCTTGTCATCCACGTTATGACTATTAAAAGATATACAAAATTAAACAACGATAATATTTAATAACTTAATTTAAAAAATAATATAAAATAATATCCTTACGTTCATAATATCAATCACTTATATTTATCCTTTTAAAAGAGGGAAATAAAATAAAGAAATAAAAAATATATCCTTATATCATTACGTGATTTCTAGAACAATTTTTATACAAATTATATATATAATAGACTTTGTATAAAAAGGATTTTAAAAACAGGCATTCAATAGCCGTATTAAAATTAAAACTGCACAGTCTTTGTTGAAAATTGAATATAATAGCCTTTTTAAAGCATATAAAACTAACGTCGTTAAATAAGCCGACAATTAATCGTATAGATTATAAATAAACTTAAATATAAACGCTTTGTTGAAATACTTATAACGCTTTAAACTGTATACGACCTTTAACGTAAAACTTAATGATTTAACTATAATAAAAAATCATTATTTAAAAAACAAACTTAGATATTTACCGATTATAACGATATCAACGACCTGAATATTAATTAAGGTAATAAAAACAACAATTAGAGTAAAATAAAAGCAAAAAATAATATTATAAAAGGCATAAGAAGATTTTACCTAGATAAAACGGATTATATTAAGATTTTATAATTAAATATAGTTAACTGCTTTGAATAAATTTTAGACCCGCTAGTAAAAGTATTACAAACAAAGAAACTATACCTTTTATAAGTATATTTAAAATATATAAACGATATTAAATATAATATTATGCCTATACTTTTCAGCTGATTAATAAGGTTAAAACGCATATAATAAAGCAATAAACTAAATAAATAAATAAAATAAGGTTTTACTACTTGATTAAATTTAATAAAAACGTAACCCTATATTATAATATAATAAAAGGCTTACAAGGAGTTTTTTAAGCGTAAAAATAAGGTAAAATAAAGTAGATATAAATATAAATAAATACATTATATATATATATAATAAAAAGGTAAAAGTTATAATAATCATAACTTATTAATTGAATAGTTTACAACGTAATATATTGTTATAATAAAAGTAAATAGTATAAACGTACAAATTTGTCTTTTAATAAAAGGCTATTATATATTATAAAATTATTATATAAAAATGCGATATTTTTACCGTATTAAAAGTATTTGTATTAATGTTAAAAAATTGAAACGTTTTAAACGTAATTAATGAATTTATAATATTGTAATATAACCTTAAAAAAAGCTGAATTAAAAATTTCCGTATTAATTAAATCACTTTTATATATATTAAAAAGTAAAAAAAAACATAGCATATTAAAAAACTACTTGACTAATAAAAAGCTCACTAGCTAATTAAAAACCAAGTAGTTAATCAAAAGCTAGCTAATTGATTAAAAACTAAGCGGTTTAACTATATAAAGCTTAACTTGAAAGCGGAATTAAAAGCTTTTATATTAATTAAGTCGCTTTTGTATATAAAAGAAAATAAAACGCATCCACATAGCTTATTAAAAACCAACCAGCTAATAAAAAGCCTGCTAGTTTATTAAAAACCAGCTAGCTAACTAAAAGCTAACTAGCTAGCTAAAAGCCAGCCAGCCAGCTAAAAGACAGGCGTTTTAACCATATAAAACCTAACGCTAAAACGGGATTAAAAGCCTCTGCACTAATTAAATCGTAAAACTTAACGCAAAAAGAGAATTAAGCGCCGTTTCGTTCTTCCACTTCATCTTAAAACTTTACTTCTACAAATTAATAGTAAACGGTGGACCTCTGGAGATGATGGCATGGGAGCTTATCTCCAAGGCTCACTTAAACTTTTGCCTTTACTCAATTATACTTTCTCCTTGGCCTCCACCGTACAATGCGACTGGTTGAAGGCTTTGGTGCCAATATGCCATAAGGCGGGAAAGGCACAGCTATGAGCATGATCGACCATGATATCGAAACACGCGGCTTTTAGGCCTGTTCCTTTCCTGAACTACGGTGGACGCGATGCGCTGCTGCCCGTGGGCTAGCAAAGAAATTTCTCATCTCATAGTGCAGCAAGAAGCATGTGCCACATGCATGTCCGAGGGTGTGAGTATAATCCTATGACCACGGAGGGCATGAGTTTGGCCAGACCCGACGATCAACATTCAGTAAGTTGCTGGATCATAATTCGTAGCATGATATCCGCGCCGAGAAGACAAACAGAGTATAGCAGGCATTTGTTTCTTTCCTATCATATACCTAAACACCCTAACCCAAGACTGTCCTCCGCAGGACATCAACACACCTCCAAACATCCTCAAAGCTGTTATATATCGGCACAGGCGCAATGCGGATGACATCCGGCTTCCGCTGGTCACACACAATGCCCGCCTCCTCAAACTGCCCACTGACCTTCTCCAGCAAGCCCGCCCGGAGCAGCACACTCAACTGGGCCCCCCTCTCCGCCGGATTCCGCGGCGTGATGACCGTGAACGCCGGCTCCCCCTTTCCTTCGCCCCCTTTCTTCTCCTCCTCATCCCTCAAGATCCCATCCAGCAACCACTGCGCATACCCCGTCAGCACAACACTCTTCCTTCTCAGCTCCTCCACGCTCGTCTTGGTATAGACCTCGAGCGCGCCGTTCAGGGCCGCCAGGTCGATCGCGCTCGGGTTGCTCAGCTGGAAGCCCTGCGCGCCGACGGTCGGCTGGAACGTCTTGGCCATGTTGAAGCGCACGCTCTTGTCGGTGCCGTACCAACCCTGCAGTCGGCGATGGAACTGCGGAAGTTTTGTGGTGGCGTCAAAGCTGACGCCGCCGTGCTTCTCGTGCACGAAGGCGCCGCCCATGCTGCCCGGCCCGGCATTGAGGTACTTGTACGTGCACCACACGGCGAAGTCGACCTCGAGGTCGTGCAGCGCGACGGGGACGTTGCCGGCCGCGTGGGCGAGGTCCCAGCCCACGACTAGACCCCGCGCGCGCGCGTGCGCCGTGATGGTCGGGATGTCGAAGAGCTGGCCGCTGTAGTACTGCAGCCCGGGCAGGAGCAGCAGCGCGGCCTCGTCGGCGTGCGCGTCGATGGCGGCGAGGACGCTGGCCGTCGAGATGTAGTGGCCACCGGGACCATCAGCGTCGGGCGCGATCTCGACCATGGACTTGGCCGGATCGAGGCCTTGCCAGCGGATGTGCGACTCGATGGCGTAGTAGTCGCTGGGGAACGGCCTCCACTCCAGGATGACCTTGTGGCGCTTCTCGGTCGGCCGGTAGAAGCTCGCCATCAGGAGCTGCAGGTTGACCGTCAGGGTGTTCATGACGACCACCTCGCTGGGCTTGGCGCCGACTATGGGGGCCATCTTGGTGGAGACTGCCGCGGCCATGTCTTGCCATGGGGGCAGGGGCGACTCGGGGGCGGCGTTGAAGTGTCCGTAGACGCCGATTGATGCCCAGGCTTGGAGCTGGGCATCGATGCTGGCGCGCATGCATTTGGGCTGCAGACCTAATGAGTTGCCGCAGAAGTAGACCACCTGCTCATCATCGCCAGCTGATAAGCCGTTTGTGAGGCCGTTGGTGCCGTTAGTGCCATTAGGGGTGTTCTCTAGGTCTCGTTAATAGGTGCAATGGGAATTGCGCGGGCATCATGTCGACTTACTCTTGGTCACACTCCTCAGAGATCTCTTCGTCGGAAAAATGAACTCGTCGCGAAGCTGTTGTACGGGACTTTCGGCGTCGAGTGAACGGGCATACTCAAGCTCGTTGGCTTCTGCTGGAAAGGGGACTGAGCCCCCTTTCTGAATGGTCTGTAGGATTGTGTCGAAGCCCATGATATGTGCTGTGTCTCTTCCTATATTGATACTCGTCCTTACTCCTCACTATCGGGCTGTTTGAACGACAAAAAGTTGAGATCTGTCCACGATTCATATATTAAATAGAGTGTTCTCAGGTCCGCTGTCGGCTGTCGAGCGATGCAAGCGGAAGGTGACACTCTAGCTCACCGATCTAGTTCCGTACTTCCGTCTTCCGAAACTTTTGTTAGTGCTTCCGCCGATAGGTGGTGGCGGCGGTGGATGCCCCTAACGGGAGGCCCACCCAGCCACGGAGCGGATATGCGCGGATGTTGGCTGTCGGCTCTCCTTTACCCAGGATCACGACCAAAGCCGGCCCCTTAGCTTGTCACGCGAGTTGGTGACTGCGCCATGATAGGAGCGAAATCCACCATGTATCCGTTGTTGGTATCTGGTACGACTAATAGAAAGTGGAAAGCCAGGGGGGTCTACCAGTACTCGTGCCTCCATCATGCCATCCCAACGGAGATCCTGGGTCTTGTCTTCCGTGTATAGAGATTCAAACAATTCTAAAGTTGATGTATCTTCCTAGAGCAATTGTTTAATCTTCCGCAGATCATTAGCACTTCTCTGAAGAAGCGTAGTCCTTTCTCAAGTCTTCGTCCTCTCATACCATGTCGCCACACGCCGTCATCCCCTCGAGGGAAGCCATGTTCCAAGAAGATGACCTCCTTGGAACATTCTCCATCTCTCAAAATGCCTTCCTTCCCGGTAAACCGCCCTTGAGAGTGCTTCCGAACTCATACTACACGCCATGGGAGTCCCTGATGGATCAGCTGCCAGACCTCATCAAGAGGCGAGAGATTCGAGAACGCATCTCTCAGCTACCCATACTCACAACAGACAACTTACACACGGAACACGAATGGAGGAGGGCCTATGTGATCCTCGCATTCTTCACTCACGCTTATATCTGGGGAAATGATACACCTGCTGAAGTACGTCTTCTTTCCTCCCATATCCCTACCTCGGAGTCTTTCTTGCTGACTTGGCAAACAAGATACTCCCACCACCCATCACGGTCCCTCTCCTAGCCGTGTCCAAACACCTCGACCTCCCACCCGTCGCCACCTACGCCGCCCTCAACCTCTGGAACTGGACCGTCACCACCCCCCACGCCAGCGCCTCACCCGGCGACCTTAGCCTAGACAGCCTATCCGCCTGCCACACCTTCACCGGCACAGAATCCGAATCCTGGTTCTACATGGTGTCGGTGGCAATGGAAGCCCAAGCCGGGTCGCTAATCCCCACCATCCTCGCCGCCCTGCGCGCAATCCCCGTGCACGACCACGCCACCATCACCTCCGCCCTCGCGGCGCTAGCCGCCTGCATCCGCACGACCTCGTCGCTCCTGACGCGCATGCACGAGAAGTGCGACCCGGCGGTTTTCTACCACGACATCCGCCCCTTCCTCGCCGGCAGCAAGAACATGGCGCACGCGGGGCTGCCGCGCGGCATCTTCTACGACGTGGGCGAGGGCAAGGGTGCCTGGCGCCAGCTGCGCGGCGGGAGTAATGGCCAGAGCAGCCTGATCCAGTTCTTCGACGTCGTGCTGGGGGTCGTGCATGCCTCGGGCGGGCATAGCTCGCCGCATGCTCCAGCTCCGGCAGAGGGGCCGCAGGGGAAGGAGGTCACCGGTAGTTTCCATGTCGAGTTGAGGGATTTCATGCCGGGCCCGCACCGGCGGTTCCTGGAGCACGTGGGGCGGATGGGGAGTCTGCGCAACTTCGCGCTGCAGGAGGGAGGCGGCGAGGACCAGCGGCGGTGTCGGGAGGCGTATCGGGATGCTGTTGCGGCTTTGACGGACATGCGGGATGGGCATTTGAAGATTGTCACGCGGTATATTGTCGTGCCGAGCAGGAGTCCGCATACGGGGAGGGAGCGGAACTTGGCTAGTGTTTCCAGTCACTCACCTGGTGCTGCTGTGGGTGAGAAGGAAGATGCGGAGTTGACTGGGACGGGAGGCACGGCTCTTCTGCCTTTCTTGAAACAGTCGAGACAGGAGACGGCTGAAGCGGCGAAGCTGGGGAGTTTGGGCGCTTGAGCTGCTTAGTATTAGACGGCGCTACATCGTTAGGATACCAATAGATGTTTCGATTTGAAGCGTGTTCGGTATATTTGATATTGGTAAATGGTCCTATGATGTTAGTCTTGATAGGTATTACCTACTCCTCATGGTGTCGCAGTCGGTCTACCCCCTGGAATTGCTGGTGTCAGCTCGCCCCTAGTTGAAGGTGAAGGTCGGTGCGGTATTGAGGCACAGTATCGTCACCCAATGCCACTGATGGCGCTTGTCATCTGGGTGGAGTTGCGCTCAGTGTCTATTGGGCAAATAGGTGATTCGGGGAACAGATGTAGCTGACACCTGCATACTCGGCCCGAGGAGCACCGGCGGTAAGTAGGAACTCATCATCGACGTAGCGACTTAAAGGTGTTTCCCCCCTCTTCCAATTCCGAAGGATGAGGCTCCTTGTCTGCGGGGAAGTATAGTTGCATAGGCGAACCGTACTTGAGCATTTCATGCCAACATCCTGCTTACATGGATGACAGCTGCGCAGGGAATCACCTGCGTCAGAGCTTATTCCCTCACCTAGCCCTTGCAGTAACCACTGTTTGACCTTAGCTGGTAGGGGTAGTATGTAGTCGGATACATGGAGCATCTACTTTACCATCTTCGAGAGGTCTAATATTTACCTACGTAGGTAGGTATATCTTCAAGCATGACTGCAGAAGGCAGTATTCCGACAGATGTCTTCTGGGTTTCGGGCCGAAGCTTGTCTTGCCCTCTTTCGGGGGGTCCGTCCGAACTTCATAAGTAGAGGATGGTTGCACGACTTTGTCGTAGCGGAAGAGTCTACTCTGGTGAGATCGGCCGGTTACGTCGTTAGTTACCATGAAGCCTGAAGCATTACTATTCTGCATCCTCTCAGGGGCACACGCCTTACCATGGAGCACTCTGGATACAACACTCGGCGGCCGTCTGAAACCTGCTACTCCTTTAGCACTTCCGTGCTTCACATCATACAGCGGCAAGCCGAACGCTGTCAATGAGACGTCATGCACGACTACCCGGGAAAATTGGAAGATGAATGATCTGCACGTGTCCACTGCTGGTTCCTATATGAACCTTCAGAGCGAGATGTGTCTGTCGGATCCTGTGGACCAGTGTCTGATCGATAACACGATTTCGCCGGCTCCCCTGCCAGCAGGCAACACCAGTTGCAATCAAGGGAGTATACCGTCGTACTATATCGATGTTACTGGTGCGGGAGATGTCGTTGCAGCATTTGACTTCGCGAGGAAGCATCGCGTTCGCCTCTCAATCAAGAACAGCGGGTAAGTCCACATCTGATGAAGGTCTGGGAGGCTCGAACCCTCATCAAGTGCTGATGTCCCATTAGACACGATTTCATGATGCGCAACACGGGCAAGGGCTCACTCAGCCTCTGGACGCACAACTTACAGCACATAGCCTATCATCCGTCATTCACACCGAAGGGCTGCAATGCGAGCTTCGGCGCTGCTATGACTGTGGCCGCTGGCGTAGATGGCAACACAGCACATGAGTTTGCAGATGCGCATAACAGCACCATCATTGGACCTTACTCGCCTTCAGTGACTGTTTCTGCTGGTTGGCTGATGGGAGGTGGCCGTAAGTATTCTTCCGTCTCCATTGCCCCTTTTCGAGCAGCGGGAGACACTCATCCCCATCCCTTGGTTGCCACCACGTGGTAGCAAGACCTCGGCCAGCATATTACCCCATTGTTCCTAGCTCAGTATACAGTGGCCCATACTGACACTGACAGATGGCGTCCTCGCCCCTGTGTACGGCCTAGGCGTAGACCGGGTCCTCGAGTTCCACATCGTGACGCCCGACGGCATCGAGCGAACCGTCAACGCCTGCCAGGACCCCGACCTCTTCTTCGCGTTGCGCGGAGGCGGCGGCGGTACCTTCGGCGTCGTCTTGAGCGCCACGCACCGCGTCGAGCCCAGGATACCCATCGTTTTCGCAGACATCCACCTTCCGTCGAACATTTCGTCGGAGACCGCCTTGAAGTGGGTGAAGATGTTGATAGATGAATCTCTTGATTGGGGAAGCGCCGGCTGGGGCGGTCACGTCGCTGGGACGTATGTTACGCACTTTAACCCCCTTCCTGCGCTGACGGCCGACAATGGCACGGCTGCAAGGGCCGCGTTTCGGAGGCTAACAGACTTCGCGCTCTCTCTTGGCGGCACGAGTAATGTCAATGTGTACCCTAGCTGGCTCGCGATCTGGAACAAGTTTCTCCTGCCTTACGATGCGTTGCAAGCTGGCGCCGCAGGCATGGCTTCGAGTCGCCTGCTACCGGCCGATATCTTCGCTACGGAGGAAGGCCGGGAGTCCATCATCGACTACCTGCGCGCGGCGCAGGACTTGGGGTTCAACCCGGTGAACTTCTACACCCCCGTCACGACCCCGTTCGTGTACCAGAGGGGCCAGAACACCTCCGCGGGATCCGTCGACCGCGGGACGTCTGTCACGCCGGCCTGGTACCATTCCCTCTGGCATCTCCAGACGATCGGGTCCATGGCCTGGAACAGCTCGTACGCCGACCGGCTCAACTACCTGACGCATCTCACGAATGCGACAATACAGGCCGAGGCGCTGGCGGGACCCACGGCCGGCTCGCACTTCAATGAGGCGAACCCGTTCGCTTCCGGGTGGCAGGAGTCGTACTGGGGTACGGAGAACTATGAGAAGCTGCTACAGATCAAGAAGAAGTACGATCCGCATAGGCTTCTCAAGTGCTGGAAGTGCATTGGTTTTGAGGAGGAGGATATAAGCTCGGCGCAGTTTGCTTGCCAGGGGAAGCTGCAGCTGGATGTTGATAGGGCGTTCTCTTGAGGCACCCAGACGTACCAGGTCATCGATGAAGGATACTCGCTCGATCGTGGAAAGCCATTGGCAACGGGGCATACTGCTTTACATGTACTGTCATAGATCTCAAAACGACTCAATGGGTTGGAAGGCACCACTTGCGCGGTAGTTGATCGTGACCCGCAACCGTCGTGGTTTGCCTCGAGACCACACCACGATGGTCTACCAGTAACTTACTTTAGCTTCTTGCTTTGCATGAGCGCAATGTAGCATCCGGCGACCGGTTTTTTTTATGGGCAGAGGTTTTGCTGCGTGCCTATCCCGGCTACCATGGTTCATGTAAGCAAAAGGAGACCTTGCCTCTTGACGCAAAGATTGGTTAAACAGCCAGCCCTTTAATTAGAAGTTGATGCTTGTGGCTTACCTTAGGAAGGAGCAGAGGAGCCACATGAAGTGTAAGGTGGGTACTGTCTACATGTACCGCTTGAGAACGGTGGTTGGTATCTTTAAAGAGCGGGGTACCTGTTGAATACACGGATGTTGATTGATTCTATTGATTGTTCTGCTCTGCGTGCAGAGATTGATCATCTGTCTTCTTGGTGGGTCAGATGCCCTGTGCGTCTCTGCCCCACTGGAGATCTTCCGGTGTCTATCTCCGGCTCCTATTTAACAAAAGGCGTTAACTAACCTTAATACTTTATTTTTATAACTTAAAATTGAAAGCCTTACGCTTTCTTATATCCTTTTTTAAGCCTTAAAGTAATAAATTTAATAGCGCTTATGGTATAATTTTTAAACTTAAAAGCAAAGGATTAATTACTTTTATTAAACCGTTGTTTAAGTTTAAAGGTTAAAAAATCTGTCCTTTTTAACGACGGAAAATAAGGGGTTTGAACTTACACTTTTAAACGCTGATCGTATTTATATCGGGTTTTTTTAAAAAAAAAAGATTAAAAAAAGTCTACGTTATAGCTTAATTTTATATAGCGGCCGGGGTCTAGCTTTTAGATAAGCTTACAAATGTCGATATTGTGATGGTATGGTCACCCGTATGGTTACGCACACCACCAGATCTCCAGGCCACCCACGTGCATTGGTCACGTGAGCGGAGCGACTGTTGATCTGCCAGTCACTAGGGCAGCGGATAGTGAGGCGGGCACACAGATCATATCCCCCACCAGAATTAGCTGTTGGGCTCGATCTCTTCTTCCCTCCTCACTAAGAGATTTTCATACATAGATAGTGTATACAGGGCTTTTACGTCCACTCTCATCTTCGGAACGTAACAGATATAATAAAAAATTTAACGCTTAAAATGAATTATATTTCGAATTTTAGCCTCGGTATAAGTTTTAATAAATATTTTGCCGCGTTTTTTTATTACTTTATTCTAAATAAACAAACCGCGACTTTTATATATCAAATTTTTTATTCTAAAGTTTCATAATAAAATAAAATCGATATAAAGCCGCTTTTATTAACTTTATTTTTATTAATATTAATGTTGGATCCATGCGATTCCAGACTGCAAACCATCTATACCAGGACCCACATGTATGATTAGATAAGATAAGATAGTGGATTGAGAGGGCACTTGGCCAGACCTTCGAGTCCAGCTAGATTCCTCTCAATCCAACCATCAGCAACATCATGACCTTGACCCCATACTCGAGTATTATGATTGATCGTTCAAGCCTGTTCCAACAATTAAGTTATTTATTATGCTTTAATAATATTTAATAATATTAATCGGTTAATTGCGGATTTTTATAAAATTATTACGGTTTATTAATAATATAAAAAAGGTTCGTTTTTTATAAAGCTTATTATAATATTTTTAAACGATAATAATATAACCGACTTTAATAACAACGAGTTTATTGAAGGCTTTACCATCACAGTAAATACCTTAATTAAAACTTTTAATAACACGAGCAGGCTTTTTATTATCAATGTATTAATATTAAACGTTATTTTTAAATACTTAAAAGCTAACATTTTTAATAACTTTAAACGATATAGCTTTTACATTAATATAACTATATGTTAAATGAAAAAATATTTTATATTAACTTTATTATATTATAGTTAAGGAAAGGTCTTTTTTAAATATTAAATAATATGTACTTTTTATTAAATAATATTTTCAATAACGCGTATGTATAATTTAAAAAGTCTTTTAACCGGGCGATTTTAACGTTCTTAAAAAACAAGGTGTTATATCAATTCATTAATAGCTTACATTTATAGTAAAAAGAGTCTTAAACTTCTTTAATTTTATTATTATTAAAAATAATAATGTTATAATAATTAATAATTAGTAAGCACTAATTGAATAAAAGTTCATAATAATCAATATAATAATAAATAACAAGGCTTATAAAATTTAAATTTTAAATCGGTTTATTAAAGAACAATATAAACTTAATAATTTATTACTTTATTTTCCAATTTTTTTTCTTCAAAATATTGTTTTATTTACTTATATTTTTCTTTTTCATATAATTATTTATTCATTTTGTTAATCAAAACAACTTATTTAATATAAATATTTTGTTATCAAAAGTTATATGGTCGGGTTAAATAACATAATTTATTTTCTTTATATTAAAATTTTAGTTTTTTCAAAGGTTATATAACATAATATTTGAATTAAAAACTTCTATATAAAGTACATTATTTAGCATTTTGGTTTATATATTTATGTAGTTTTTAATTGAATAAGCTTTTACCCGGAATTTCTTTAAAAACTTTATTTTTATTTTTTAAATGTGTTATTTTATAACTGTGAGATTCTAGAAGGGTCACAAGCCTTGGGGTGTGAGCGGTCGTTACAAATGTTGTCCTTCTCAAGTATGCTCGGCAGGGCTAATCTATAGCTAAATACCATACTGCACCATGCCAGGGTGGATCCACTGTTCCCTTGACAGCCCCATAGTGGGTACTGCACCTAAGGGCATCATATCTGGGATCCAACATCTGACAATAACCTATATAAAGCCGTAAAAAACCTTGATTTAAATAGCTATATTTTGAACGTAATCATCCTTTATACGTAATTATAATAGTCACCGGATATCTAATAAGTAACTTTAAACTGCCAGGTCTAATTCTGTATCCTGCCAGGTCACTAACCCAATTCGGAAGCGCACCCTAAAACTAGCCAATCGCAGCGCGTGCATGTAGCATCACCACCATCACCACTACCACCACTCTAGCACGCACAAGGACACATTCACAGATGGGGGGCTCGCACCGCCCCTTAAACCCCCGGCTAACCCTAACCACTAACCCTAACCACGTTGGTTACCCGGTGATTTCATGTTAGGTACCTTTAGTTTGGTGAGAAACGCACGCAAACTGAAGTACTTAGAATGTCGTGCTTGGGCTCGGGTGCGCAGCTACTTAAGTGCGTGGGGTGCGCTTCCAAATCGTGTTGGTGACCTGGCAGAATACGGAATTAGACCTGGCAGTTTAGAGTTACTCATATCTGATAGTTCAATTTTCGCCTTGCAACTTTCCAAGTAGCTTGCGCAACAGGGTTCAGGTCACCAGGCTCATGTTCACGTGTTCACGGGGCTGCAGCCTGCCAACACCTCATAGATTGGGCGGAACTTCGGATCTGAGGGCGGAAGCACTAGAGGCCCCAGTCTTTCTTTCCGGCCCCATTTCGCGCATCGACTTTGCGGATATCCATCCGTCTTGGTTCTCAGCTTAGGGTCGAGGCGATCTCCGATGCTTGAAGACCGATGTGAAAAAGATCCGAGAGAGACCGCTACTTGTATTCATTGGAGTAGGAACAGCACGCCTTGCAAGAAAGAGGGGTCACGCCTCCGAGTCCGACTCCGAGTGAAAGTCACCAGAGCATTTGGCCCGTTCTCGAAAGACCACACCAAGAACCATGGCGCCAGACCTGAAGTACACGAAGCATCACTACGGTGCCGAGAGCGATCTCCAAGTGCTCGGCGTATGGGATGTCGATGCTCATAACAGATCCAAAGTCTGGGTGATGTGAGTGATAACCAGCTTTGTGGCACAGTTCCTGGCGAGACTGACCATATACGAAGCTATATCCACGGCGGTGCCTGGAGAGATCCGCGAATCATCCATGAAACATTCGCGCCGACCATCAACGCCATACTGTCCGAGGACGGCAGCTCCGCAGGTCTCAGGGACAGAATAGCAGGCTTCGCCTCTCTAGACCACCGGCTGAGCCCTCATCCAGAATTCCCGCAAGACCCGGCCAGCACACCGCCAAAGGAGCTACGCAAGGCACGACATCCCGATCACATCGATGACGTGAGGTCGGGCATCGCGTTTCTGCAGAAGGAGTACGGGTTCAGCAGCAACTACGTCCTGGTGGGCCACTCGGCGGGCGCCTGTCTGGCATTCCAGCTCGTCGCAACTCCAGCCGCAGCAGGCTACATGCCCGAAGCCATCGTCGGGATAGCTGGGGTCTACGACTTCACGGGCATCAGCGCGCGGTCTGGGGGCGCATATGCTGGGTTCCTGACAGCGGCATTCGGGGATCCGGCCGGATGGGACGAGGTGGCCCCAATGAAGTTCTCTCACAATTTCGCGGAGTACTGGAAGGGAATTGCGATACTGGCCTCGTCAAAGAACGACGAGTTGGTCGATGAGCACGAGATAGATGGTATGGCTGCCAAGCTACGAAAGGACGGTTGTCGCTTGGTTGTCTACAAGGACGTTCGGGGGTCGCATCATGAATGCTGGGAGAAGGGCACCGATATTGCTCGGCTCGTCGCTGACACGTTTAAGAAAATTCAGACATGAGCTCGCGGCTCTCGACTGGGGTCCTTGAAGGACAATCTTCCTATAGGGTACTTGGACAGGTCACACATGAAGAGTCTGTTGGAGCTTAGGGAATCGACGATAGCCATTGGTTCACACGTGCAGCATCGGCCTCGACCTCAGCGCCAACATCGACGGCAGGCTTGCGCCGGTGAGAGTTGGCATTCCAATGCTGAATGCAGCCCTGAAGTTGTTGGCCCATTATTTGACGTCAGCGTCAGCATCGACGGCAGGCTTGCACCGTTGGTGGGTCGGCACGTCGATAAAGAATGCAGCCCTAGAGTTGCTGGCCCATTACTTTACCCTAGCAATGCAGGTGCATTGCAGATGCCGAGTCGTTTTCATCCGTCAAGCCCTGTCATGTAACATGAAGCGCTCCTGGGGTGTTGTTATTCCTGTCACATCCCAGGGTGGACTGCAGCTCCCAGAGGAGGCAGGACCACTGCTGTGCGCTCAGTTGCCGCCCTCTACCTTATCAAGCTTTCCAAGTGTGAACAGCCAGGGGTTGTGGCAACGCGTGGTTGGTTCATGTAGCCTCATTTGTCGGCTACCTAACTTAGGTACTCATGCGGCACGGTGAGATGTGCACTTCCAAGGTTACCTCCGCACCGCAGCACATGAATCACGTTGAGCCAACACCCACAGTTGAGTCGCACTTAGGAAATCCGACGATAGCATATATTCACACTGTCATGTTCTGCCAAAAGGTGCTAGCTACAACACAAGCTTCCCCTGCGCCACGGAAGCGGGCAGGTGACACGCAGCCTGTGAATCATGTACCGTCCACCATTTACGATTCCTCCACTTCGCAACGCTACCTATAATGACCTATGTATGGTATGCCACTCCCTGTTTCCCGCTTCGGTTTCCAGCGTCGGGCTACACAATAAGACTGGTAAGCATGTTCCTCAACTCATAGCATGCGGATCAATGTTACTCACACTAGCTCACAGCCCGTGCCGACGGCATTCAGCACATCGGCTATTTGATCATATACGCGCGGACCACATGCTGCGGTGCATGACTCCTGCAAAAGCCGCTTAGCCCAGATTTTGTCGTCCTGGCGCCACATTTATACGGGTATTGTTGATACAGATGACCGCAGTTGCCGTAGAAGAAATAATGGCCACACGCGCAGTGGTTGGGGTTCTCGGGGTCGGCGATGAGGACATTGCCCACTTCAGTCCCCATCTGCCCTGCAGCGATCAGAATGGGCTGTTGCGGCTGCATTTTGAAATACACAGTATTCCAATAGGGGGTAGGTTAAGTCGGTTCGGATGGACGCTGATCTCTCGGCAGAAAGGCTGGTTTCGAGGGTAATGTGATTCTCAGACAGCAAGCATATAAGGGGTATGGGCAGCTTGAAGACAAGAAGAATGAGGAAGTTTCTTGATCTCGAAGCTCGTAGGTTTATGGCAGTTATATGGACACCATACTTGCTTCTCTTGGCTGTGCCTCATGTTGGTGGTAGAGACGTCCGCATGCATCAACGAGGTGTTGTAACAGCGGCCTCAATCTCAAAGAAAACGTCAACGTACCCTTGCCATTAACCGTGCTGACATATGAGCTTCGTAGGCCCTTGTCAGTGTGATGAGATTCTCACAGCGGACCAGGCGAAGGAGTGCGAATGTATGCGGTTGGCCCCTTGTTGGCCCAGCTTGGTGCTAACCTTGGAATGCGACTCCACAAATTAAACCGGTGTAGGAATTCAACCATGAACTGAACGTCTCGATCTCCCGCTTGGAATCTGTATGTCTCCTTGAGAGACGGCGTCTTCGAAACGGGCACGGAGCCCCCCTATTGACATCGTCCAGGTGTAGCCACCTGTCATCTCAGATGGATCTAAGCAAAAAGTGGGGCCGCAGCTCCTAGAGGAGGCTCATTTTGCCGGCGGGCCCTCTATACAGGTAAGTAGCTATGTACCTCATCAGACTTCCCATGATGGAAGTGTACAAAGTCGAGAGGTTCATGGCAGAGCGTGGTTGGCTCACGGGTGTTGGTCAGAGATGGCCGCATTCATGCAGCCTCATTTGTTGAGGATACTTCTTACTACATTTTGCACCCCGCCTCTGCACCGCAGCAAAAAACCACGTCGAACTAACACCTAGAGCCACCACATCTGACACGGAGCAACAAATCGCTCCCATCACTCTCTACTCTCACCATTCTGAGTCTCCGAGTGCCTTCCCTGCCGTCACTTTGTGGGCATTCTGAGTTTTAAACACGAGGTCTTGATTCTAAGAGACAGCGTCTTTCGAACAGGCACAAACCCCATCTACCGTAGAACGGACATGATAGCCGAGGAATCGCGGTATTTCGCCCCCGGTGGAGGTATCTTCCCCGGGGGCCCGAGCACCTGGCATATCCTCGATTGGGATCAACGACGGACGATTGCGGTCACTATGGACGAGGAACAGGACAGCGAGGATGCGGCTATCGGACACCTCAGGAAGCATATTGATGCTCTCGGACCTGACGTATATGCCATCCACCTATCGCCCGAGGGCGATTTGGTCTCGACCTCTGCTGACGCCAATGACGACGAAACGACGTGCCCGTACTATCCCCCGCTACAGGAGATCCTCCGGCCCGACTGTGTCAAGACGGTGGTCCGTTCGGACCTGTTGGAGCTCGATCGACTCGGGCCGAATGTTGACCTTGTGTCGTATACGCCTGGCCCCAGTGCCACGGACACGAGAATAGTAGTCTTCAAATACTACTTCCTCTGCCAATTCCTCCAAAAGGTGTGGCACGAGATGAACCTATGGATGCGTCTTCCCCCACATCTGAACATTGTACCCTTCGACCGGCTCGTGCTGGACGAGCTAGCCGGTCGCGTCGTCGGCTTCACAACCCTTTACATCCCCGGTGGCACGTTTGACGAGAACAAATCCCGCGTTTTCAAGCTGGAGTGGCTCCGACAGTTGACTTCCGTCGTTGATGACTTGAACCTCAAGTACGGCATCGTCCACCAGGATATTGCCGCGCGGAATCTTCTTTTCAGCCCGGACAGACGCCCTCATGTTGTTTGACTTCAACTACAGTGGCCAGATTGGCGGATTTGGTGGCCTGAAGGATTCGACCGACCAAGACGATGTGAGAGGTGTGGTATTCACCCTCTACGAGATCATCACGGGCGACACGCATCACCGGGAAGTTCCTCGCGATCAACAGAATCCGGCCGATGTCGAGGGGCTGGAGTAGTGGGTGCGGCATCCGGACGTCAAGCTTGACCATTCTGTTTCGGAATTCCGATCGGTGCTGAACAAGTGGGCGAAGAGAAGACGGGAAGGGAAAAGGATTGCTACTTATAAAGAAGCACCGGATTACATAGACTGGCCACTTTTCCTGGAACCAGCCCCAAAGGACGTGGTATGGGGCAGTGGCGAGAACACGACGACTCAGCGGCTGGTCGTCCTGAGTGCCCAACGCCGTGACGAGCGAGACCGGGGTACTGAGGTCCTGAATTGGGAACGTCCTGCGCGAAACAAACTTGGGAACGGAACCCAGGTGCTTGCCAATGGACAGGTTGTCGGAAAGCATAGTTTACAGGTTCAATAAGACCCGAGGGCTACCGGATTCAAGCGAATTTCACGATAGTGCTTGCAAGCAGCTTTGAGATGCTCTTGTCCGGGCTCGTACCCCTTCCCACCAACTTTACTACTCATGCAGCTCCCGCCAGAAAACAAGAAGACAATGTCGCCCCTGCAGATACTCTACTCGGGATATGAACCAATCCATATCAAAGAGGGACGCTTTTGCAGTCTCGAAATCCCATTTGTCTGGTCTCAGCAACCCACAGAAGCCACGGTAGCCAAATACAGCGCGATCATATCACAATCATGACCGGAATGTTGGGAACTCAGATTTGAGGGTCAATTATGCTGTGTCTTTTGCCTGCTCCCTCTCTCTCGAGAGAGAACAAGATGTTTTGTACAGGAGGCTCTACCATACAATATGTATAGCACCCCACATCCCACATCCCACATCCCACATCCCACATCCCACGGTTACCCATGGATGAGTACTTACCTAGGTAGCCACGCTCCCATATCCGAGCTGGATGGCGTACAGATTTATTCCAAGCTCAGCCAATGTTTGGCCACCAAAAACTTCTCTCTCAAAACCCCACCACACCAGTGGCGTTTTGATGCATCGATACACGACGATGTGTGGAGGCACTGGAGGAACCCAAGCTGAAGAGGGGTGGGAGGCCTCTTGGAGGTCGCGTCTTGTCAAATGGCAATGCCATCAACCAGGCTCGGAGGAAGTAGCTGAGCAACATGAAAATGCCATCGGACTATTTCCACGCACGAAGAGTCAGTCAGTGGACATTTAAGTATGTGGCAGCATTCTGTGCCGGGCAGAAAATGGATGGATAACACTTCGGCACTGGTGGCGTCACCGGCTCGAACGAAGGCGAGAACGAAAAGGAAGGTTTCAAAATAAACACTGACCTGGCCAGTCCACGGGTTCCCTTGGGGATTAATATGCGGAGCTTCGGTGCCGTCGTGATTCACTACCGGACGCCAACTAATTACATATCGCGGGAGAATCAGTAACGCCGTCGTAATGTAGTTAACAGTAGGTACCTAGGACCTGACGAGTAGGCGTGCGTCGGCCGGGAAGTGGGAGAAGACCACTAGGTTAGGCACCCACTGTCGATGATTCAGGCGAGTCGAGCCCTCGCCCGTGATCACGCCCATGTAGACCGGGAAGCGGAAATCGAGATCGTAATCGTGGTACCCGAAGAGTATCAAGTGTTCCTAACATGGCACGTATGATTGATCAGCAGCTAGTTAGCTGTAAAGCACACGTGTGATAGATACCTAATGTAGGCAGACATCTAGGCATCTACCTTAGATATAGGTTAGGTTACTCACCCCAACCAACGTCCAATCAGAGCCCGGCGGGCCGTCCAAGCGAGGCCGATCCGGACCGCCGAAAAATTCGTTGTCCTCGCCGAGGGGATATCGAAGAATCGATCGCGAACCCAGTCCAGCTCGCCCGAAGGAGGTGGCTGGGGCGGCATCATATGCCGTTCCCTGTTGAACGGCTGCGGGTACGCGAGGCCCTGGGCACGCGGGGCCGGGATGGCGTTGCCGGGCGTGTGCGTGAGCGTCATTACCCCGGCGGCTATGCGGAGCGTCTGGTAGAGATGGTAGCGGTGGAACATGATGCCCCTTCCGAAACCTTCGCCCGTGGGCGTTGGCGCTGCCATGATCCGCTCGGGGATCAGGTTCTGCGGGTGGATACTGCATGAAAACCGCACGGATGGCGTCAGTGAAAATTTTTTTTTTTTGGCCATCACTGGCTCACATCATCACAGAATGTGCGGCGAACGACAGAGCTGGCGGATAGGAGACTGACGCTTGGTAATCTTCAATGTCGACTTCTAGTGACGGGTTCGGGGGAGGGAAGTCGTATGGGCCCTCCGGAGGGGAGTCCGGCGCTGGAGGACCACCACCGTCGACCTGTCTGGGTTGCTGCTTGCCTGTCCACGTAAGCGGGCCATCTGGTTGCTTGGCTTGTTCGGCTGCATGGGCGATTGCTGTGTCGTTATTGCTGTTGACGGGTATCGCAGCCGCCGAAGCGAAGATTGGTACGAGGAGGGTAAGAAGCTTCATTTTGACAGCTTCGAGGGCACTTCGAATGGCCCCGTATGTTTCGTGCCTCTGGCTACCTAGTCCCATATACATACTGCATCAAAGAAGCATAGCATGGGTGGTGAATTGTCTATTCCATTCATTGATTTCTATTAAACTCATTCATCCGATCAGCCCTTGACCCGTGTCTTTGGGTTTCCTTGAGACATCCCCGAGCCCGCGGTTGTTTTCCATTTCACATGAGACCCAAGAATAACTATCGTCGATGCAGGTGAGTTCAGGTTTCACACTTTCATACTCCCCTTAGAGCTTGGAAAGTCACTTGTTGGAAGCGTCAGCCTTGGCGACGTAGGCCAGGAGGTCCAGGACACGTCGGCTGTAGCCCCACTCGTTGTCGTACCAGGAGACAAGCTTGACGAAGTTGTCGTTCAGGGAGATACCGGCCTTGGCGTCGAAGATGGAGGAGTTGGTGTTGCCGTTCATGTCAGTAGACACAACGTCGTCCTCGGTGTAAGCCAACACGCCTGAGATGCCATGTTAGCAAAAGATTTCTTTTCGGAGAGCGTGATGTGTGTACTCACCCTTCATGGGACCCTCAGCAGCCTCCTTAATGGCAGCCTTGATCTCGTCGTAAGAAGCGCCCTTCTCGATGCGGCAGGTCAGGTCAACAACGGAGACGTTGGAGGTAGGAACACGCATGGACATGCCAGTCAGCTTGCCGTTCAGGGCGGGGATGACCTTGCCGACAGCCTTGGCGGCACCAGTGCTGCTGGGAATGATGTTCTGAGCAGCAGTGCGGCCACCTCGCCAGTCCTTGCCGGAGGGACCATCGACGGTCTTCTGGGTGGCAGTATAGGAGTGGATGGTAGTCATGAGACCCTCAACGATGGTGAACTTGTCGTTGATGACCTTGGCCAGGGGAGCAAGGCAGTTGGTGGTGCACGAGGCGTTGGAGATGACATCGGCCTTGCCGTCGTAGCTCTTCTCGTTGACACCCATGACGTACATGGGGGCATCGGCCGACGGGGCGGAGATGATGACCTTCTTGGCACCACCGGTCAAGTGAGCCTTGGCCTTTTCGGTGGTGGTGAAGACACCAGTGGACTCGACGACGTACTCGGCGCCGGTCTCCTTCCAGGGGATGGCAGAGGGGTCACGCTCGGTGTAGAACTTGACGGTCTTGCCGTTGACGACCAGGCCGTCTTTGTTGACCTCGATGGTTCCCTTGAAGGTACCGTGTGTGGAGTCGTACTTGAGCATGTACTCGGCGTACTTGGTCTCAATGAAGGGGTCGTTCACGGCAACGATCTCGATGTCGTCGTGCTCGACGGCATTGCGGAAGACGATACGGCCGATACGGCCAAATCCGTTGATACCGACCTTGATGGGAGCCATTGTGTTGGTTTTGTTCTAGGTCTGAAGGGTCGCGGTTATGATCAGCAAATATGTTCTGAATAGGTGAGGCAGATAGACAATTCTGTTAAAGAAGTGAGGTTGGTAATGGTGAGAATGGCGGAGTAGAAGAGGAAAGAGGAATATGGGAAGCTATTTTGGCGGGGGGGATTCGATCCTCGCTTTGATGCCAGCTGCCTCCTCGCCCTCGCCAAGGCCAAGCCTATGGGAAGCTTGGAGGTTCCCATTGTCGGAAGCAGCGACTTCCAAGCCGCCTCGGTGGTGTTGCAGAAGGGGCAATGAGCTTCTCGACCCAGCCAAAGCAGCTGTTCACGGTGCTCAAGGTGCTTAATGTGCTCCGGATGCGCCATGATGGCGGGGCATTACCGAAAAGGGATTTTGATGTAATAGCGGGGTTGAGGGCAAGCAATGGGAAGCTGTTGAGGGGAGCTCTTACATGGGTGTGATGACTGGACTTCAGGTACTGTGGTAGGATGATAATCAGCACAGGCAGACTCGTGGATGAGGAAGGGGGAATTGGGAATTGGGAAGACAGAGAAGAAGGAGGCTATCGAGAAATAAATACCTGTTTGGTGCAGTGCGGTGCAGATAGCGTGTTGTGGTGTGAGGAAGGAAGATGGAAGGGGGCAGACGGACAGGACTGGGTCATGGAGGGGCAGCCGGTGGGATTTTGATGATGATGTGAGGGACATAAAAAGGGTTGAGGAGCAGTCCGTTAGTGCAGCAACAGGTACTGGGCAGGCGGGGTGTCCATCACGCACCCGGCTTGCAGCGCTGCAGTCATGCCCTCTGCGCGTCTTTTGGGGGGGGTGGAGGGGCAACGCAGGGCTGGGCCCGGCCGCCAAGGGAAGGCCCGTGGAGAGCACCCGGGAGTTCTCACTGTACGATCTGATAGGGGATACCCGGACGATACATCCGGACTCTTGTTAGCAGTTGATGGTTTGTGCCCGGACATACACCCAGCCGCGTAGACTCGACCAGCAGTCTATCTTCAAATGCCAGCACGTACAGTGCGCGCGAAACTCAATTGACATCACACTGGACCTGAGGGCCGATTGCGATTTTCTCTGACATGCCACGCGCCGTGCGTCGGTTTCGTTGGAAAATAGCTCAACTCATAACCACCTTCTTTCTACTCGGAGGCTTCAAGATGCCTCATATCAAGTTCCAACTGCCATGTATAGCCAATGTCACTCGACTACAGCCGAGGACTAACCCTGCTACCCCAGACTACGAAAACGGCCGGGACGCTTGACGGGTTCTCGGTCAGGATACGGATAGATCTCACGATTCCACCCGATCGTAGCTCGGCTGGTATACCCGGGGCGCTGGGAACTTCAGGAATACGAAAACACATACGGCTTCTGTCTTTCTCTATGTCTCAAGCGAGATTTGGAGCATCGTGGCGAGATGGTGGTGAGGTGTGCAGTTACCTGGGCGTGCCTGCGGATAGACATACCTCATGTAGGTGAGTCTATTATCTGCCTTCACGGCTGTCCATCCATCTCCAGCCGCCACCTGCATGGGTATGCACGGTAACAGAGCTCACTCACTGGCGCCTTTCAGGTTAGTAGAGTCCTCTTGGTCCTTGGATATCTCATCTTCATGTCTTCGCATCTCCTCATCGTATCCATACACCCTAGGCGACCCCGTAGTCGGTGAGTCAAAGCCTACAGGTCGGCCCGTTCCTGCGATAAGCCGGTGTCGCAGCTACGATCGAATCACAGCCAGTAGCAAACGTGCTGAGAAATCCAAGAGGATTCAACTCTGAGCATTATTACCAGCGAGGTGGATCACATCGCGCCGCACAAGGCTGAAGGGCGCGGATGCACTGTTGATCTTGATCATTCTTGTCACATCAGACGATCATCAGGTTTTCTCAATTTCTCATCAGTCCCTGACAGAACACCAGCTCCGGCTCCACTCGGAGTCAAGTTGACTTCATTTGGCACCGGCCCATTCCGTGAACCACGGTGCCGACAACCGGCACAAAACTGTCACATGCACTGCTACCGTGCCACCGGATTTCCAGGCAAAGCCTCAACGCATGAAGGAACTTTGATTAGTCATGGTACGGGCACTACGATGCAATCAAAAGCCCAGTCTGCCAGCACGCTCTCATCGCCCGTGTCGATCTCGGTATGAATCCAGTTGCAGCATGCCCTCTTGTGCGGTGGGTATATTGCGTTGGCACCTATAGATCGTACAACAGCACTGCTCTTGACCGAGTAGATGATATTTTTATTATCTGTAACGCACAGTAACATCCTCAAGCCCTTCGGTGTCGAGGCAGTCAAACCACACGACGGACGGAGGTCCGAAACTACCGGCGGCGGCATGGGTTCTTCTAGCAGTTTATCAAGTGATCCAGATAACCCTAAGTCGGGCGCATCTAAGTTCCGCGGTAGGCGTTGGAATACGACGCGCCTGCGAACCACGTCTCTCATGTCGCCAATGCCCTCTCAGCTTGCATAACCCAGCTGGCTGTATCTCGCGAACTCAGGCGACGAGAGCTGGATGTGCGTAGCCAAAATGACTTCGGAGGGGAGGCCGCTGTGGTTGAAGCCCTTCCCTGGCATGGCGCGGAAATAGCTGTGAGGCACAGCTGGTCGTCAGACACTACCTTCAAGTACCAGTGGTCCCACGTCGAGCCGTCCATGAGTATGACTTTGGGTGCGTCGAGACCGCAAGCGGGACTCACGAGGGCACTGATGCTCTTGTAGTCGACGGCGGCGGCTGCGGTGATGTCAATGCTGCTGCAATCTGGGGACGATCAGGCAGCTTCTGATATACGAGAATACACACTTCCAACACAATTCAGACCTCCGTGTGGTTATGAGCCCGGATGTGGGCTATTCAGAAGTGATGAATGGTGAATACGGTTGAATGTTCGAAGCGTTACAAGTCTTTGGAACTGGTTACGAAGAGTCTGAAGTGTGTTGGAAGTGTGTATTCCCGTATATCAAAAGATGATGATCCTCTTCGAAGTCTGAAAAGACAGGAATCTGACTGTCCATTACACAACTAGTCCTTCCACGTACCGAAAGAAGCATCGACCCAACACGGAAGCCCACGGCCTAATTCGTAAGTCCTTATCTCGAAATAGAGTGCCGGCGGCCGTGGTCGCGGCGAGAGCGGTGTTGCTAAAGGCCGCTAGGTAGCCGCTGGAGACTCATAAGGACCTGCTCAAATCTAGAAGCACTGGACGGATGATGGCGTGTTGCAGTGATGGGAGCAGGATTGCGAGGGTGTAGAGATTTTCAGTCCATGTATTGTAGGTAGCTGAGCGCTTATCGCCTTGGGAAGCTTTGTGCTATGCGAATACCCGCGTCCGGAGGATTTCACCGTGAGGCTCCCAATATACCAAGGGCATACTTCATGTGCATGTAATCTGATTATAGTATTGGAATTGGAAGGTGTGAAATATCTTGACCCATTCGGAAAAGAGGAACATCTGGTTACCGTGTGACGTTGTTTCAGCAAAGGCTATTTCTCTAGATGGCGCTGGCGATCTGCCATTGGCAAGGCACCATGGAGATGACAGGTTTGATATCATCATCCGTTGGAATGACTGGCGGCTTGACAGAGATGCCGAGTGAGTTTATAAGGTATGCGCAAGTTCGGCTGGGATCTACCCCTTTTTTGAAGCCTGGGCTTCACAAAAGGTAGGTAAGTAGGTACTTAACACGCTGGCAAGATAGCATGGCCAGCTATTGCCCAACAAAACCTGTCAAGAGCAGCCTTCTGACCAAAGCAATTGATTATCGTAATGCGCTTGTAACTCATAGTTCCGTTAACCACAACGGTGGCAGGTCCGCAGCGTGCGCACCAGCTTACGCCAGTCTACCTATAGATTACATCTCTTAGCTCGTGAGCTTACATTGAAAGCTCATCGCAGCTCGCGGCTTACAGCTCCATTCAAGACAGAACCGAGCCGCGGAATCCGTTTTGATATCCACTTAACGCCGGGAACGAAACCAAAGTCAAACGCCATGCTTCTCCCGTACACAAGTTGATACTCGCATTGCGCGCCCGCTGCTAACCAGAGGGCTGTAGTCTAACTGATCTCCATGGCATCTCCGCCATGGCCGTTCGTGACGACAAAGTCAACAGCACCGTCGTTGCCGATCAGGCGCTTCTCCGACTGGGCGACGAAACCGACACTGCGGGCCGGGTCGTAGAATAGCTTGAAGCTGCGCTGAACATCGTCGATGGTGACCTGCTTGGCGCGGCGCTTGGCGCAGATCAGCTGCGACGTCGTGATCAGGTTGCTGGCGTACCGCAGACCGGCCTCCTGGCCGATCTTGGTGAGGAGCGCGAGCGCATCGGCCGACACGTCCACTTCCTCTTCCTGCGCACGGAGCTCCAAGATTTGCCGGATGTCGTCCGGCGGGTAGATCTGCGTCTGAATGATGACGACCCGGTCGAGGAAGTCGAGCGGCAGCCCGTGCGGGCTCCGGTAGTCGGTGCCGCGAATCTTGGAGATGCCCCGGTTGCTGGCCATGATGACAACCGGTGCTAGATCGTCCTCCAGCGCGCGGTTGACATAGCTGAAACATTCGATGTCTAGCATGTGCACCTCGTCGATAAAGAGCACACCGGGCACTATCTCGGCCTTGCCCTCCTCCTTCCACTCGCCGACCTTGGTGTCGATCTGGTCCCGGATCTCGCTACGGATCTCTCCCGTGTCACCGCTGAACAGAGCTAGGAAGCCTTGCGTGCGCGAGTTGATGACATCGATCTCGTGGAGGGTAACGGTGTGCACGACCTCCTTGCGCTTTTGTATTTCACCGTCTGGACATTGTAGAAACTTGGTGTCAACTCCCATAGCATCGTAATCCCGACTCCGCGCGTAGCTGCGTCCTAGCTTTGTGATCTTGCCGCTCGCCTTGTCGATGCTGATGATGTCGCCGGCCATTACGCGCTCTTTCGTCATGGCGTCGATCATCTTGCTGCCCATATCGTATACCGCTTCCATATCCGTTGTCTTGATGGTAAGCTTTCCCTGCTTGGCACCACCTGTCACGCTTCGGTCGATCTGGATCTCGACAACCTCGCCCTCCATGATCTCCGACTCTTCTTTGATGCGTACGCCGATGGATTTCCGGAAGGCTTGCGTGAGAGCCTCGGTCTTGGACATCTCGAGGGAGAAGATCTCGGAGGAGGCGAGGGTGGTGAAAGGGACGTCGGGGCCGAGGGATTGCGCCATGCCCATCGCAATAGCTGTCTTGCCGGTGCTACAGCGCATCACGCGTTAGGGGCTGGAAAGGTGGCGATCTCTGGCTGGGCGCAAGCAAGCTTACCTCGGAGGACCAGCTATTAGAACTGCGCGGCCAGCAATCTTGCCCACCTTGATCATCTCCAGTATGACGGCGGCGGCCTTCCGGGCCTTGTCCTGACCGACAAGACCTTGTGATGATGAGCGCGGCTCTAATGTGTCGGGGTCTACGCCGAGGCCGCGGATGTGGGAGTGGGCGGCGATCAGATTCAAGCCTCGCAGCTCCTTGCTCTCGCCGACCGTCACGACAGGCTGTTGCACATATTAGCTCTTGTAAACACCAAAGTAGTGGGAGAGTACCGACAGCAGCCATCTTGATTGTCGGTTATGGATTATGGTGCGTTGGAGAGTTCCTCAAATCAATTGACAATCGATACGTTACGGCTTGCAATGCGAAGAGAAGATGCACATTGAAGCCCCAGCTTGGAAAAATGGTTGGTGGATCCGTCCAACGCGCCAGGGCCCAGACGGGGATCAAAGCGGATCTTGCGAAGCGCGTTGTGGCTTGTGATATGTGGCGCAGGCTGACGATATCTGATTAGGTTAGAGTCAGATCTTTATCATGCGGGGTGCTATAGAAAATGTAGCGGTTCAATGTTCTCACCACGTGGAGATTTGACGATTTCAGTATTGATATGTATGTTGATACGCAGCTACATGCACCCAGACCTTACCTGCACACCGGTCTATTGACTTCAACTGGTAGTGTTCAGGAGAGAGTTTCTATTGAGATGATACATATGCTTTCGTCTCGTCTACCCCTAACCTACTGCAAAGTCATGGCCATTTGCCGTGAACCGTGAATCGATAAATAAGTACCGTTGTATGCCGACAAATGCGGTGACTGTCCGCTTGTGCCTTGTGGTAGCGGTATCCAGAATAAGGACCAGGGTCACGATAGGTGGCTATTGGTCTGTATTCTGGAAGTTGCTTGATTGAAAGAAGGGATGGGTGGTGTCCCCATCGCAGAAGTAGCTATCATCCCAGTTGGGTACGAATCTGGTACAAACGGGTACCAGTTGGGCTCCAAGGTACCTTGTACCCTGGTCTGTGACCCATCCGTCATTGTGGCTGGAAAATAGGTTGAGGAGCCACACGGTCACCGGATCCTGCTGCCTTGCAACGCAACACATAACACAACCTACATCACATAGGAAGTATCTATGGATGTAACGAGCCACCAATGTCATCGTACAAGACCGGCAGCCTGGCAGTCACCGTTCTGTTGGTTCCCAGTACAAGCCACCTATTCTACCCCATCCGCAGCTTGCATACTGATCAGTGACTCGTCACGATTGCAATCCACTCGAGCAGTCGGGACTCGGTCCGAGAGCGAAGGATGCTTGAGTAGACCTCCGTGATCCTGGTCGCCAATGTGACCTCATGGGCTCCGAGTGGATCAGTCGACTTGATCCATCATCCTCCTGATACACAGTAAAACGCAAGCAAGTGGCAAGGAGAAGACGGCGCGCATAGGAATGGAAAAGAACAGCACTTCTTAGCAGATAGGATCTTCCAATGCTACCTAACTTCCTTGATAAGGTAAGCACTTGAACGTACCAGGTAATTGACCGGGTTTTCACTCCTTATGAGTTAACCGTCAACTGGCAGGCGCACCTTGTAAGGTAGGTGGAATCTAAATATAGCATACGGAAGTCACGGCCAAGTTTCAATGTCGATGTCCTCCTCTTGCCTCTAGGAAAGTCTGGCAATAATAATAAATCAAAACCACCCCGACTGTCGCAATCCTCATTTTGATCTTATTATCTTGCAGTTGATAAGTGGTCATACATATATGCCGACCACGGGGGTCCCTTGTCTGTCTGCCGAGAGCAAACACCACCAGGAGCCACCACCCACATTCGTCAATGCCGTTTCTTTTCTTCAGCTCACAGTCCGCACGCGCAAGTCGTACAAACACACGGGGCAACCGCCTTCCTTCCTATACCGAATCTTCTTCTTCTTCTTCTTCTTCTTCTTCTTCTTCTTCTGGCACTCTGACTCACACGTGTTTTGTGTTCTGAACAAGGTTTACTAGCCACTCTCGAACATCCCCCATTCTCAATTCCAGCCGACTTCCCCGGGATAAGGTACTACTTATAAGTTATTACTGCACTGCACTGCCGAGTCCAGTCTCAGCCCCAGCTCCTTCAAACCCAGGCGCAAACTAGGCGGGACTCAATTGACTGGCCTTTTCCCATTCAGCGGCTCGCAGTGCACCATCCTCATTCTTCACCGAGACTGTCTGTTCCGTGGTGAACACCCGGCTTGTTCTTGCCCCGGCCGCTTGGGTGCTATCTTCCGGTAGTCACGGTAGTGCAACTGTCCGGGCGACTGCAAACCTTACCTTAGCCATCTAAAACTCAGAGCCCCCACACCCACTTGCGACGCGACATTCAAATTGCAATCGTCACCCTAGACCCTGCGGACCCGCGCCTACGCCTGTGAGGCCCGCCGAGTGCCCAAACTACACAGTACAATCCTCCAATCCTCCAGTCCCCCCAGCGACCGACTTCCCTCGTGTCGATTGTCGATTTTGCTCTAGTTGACTCAAGCACCAGGCCATGCAGCGACACGCCATTGCGCTGGTAGGAATTTACCTTGTGGTCACTGGGCTTTGATCCGGGAGGCACGCCCGACATCGCACAATTCGATACATCGCGACCAACGCGACCATGGCGAGCCCTGGATTTAACCTCTCTTCGGTCCATAACGAGGACCGTCGGACTACGCAGGGCTGGACTCATATCGACCGGTACAAACCAGACCGAGAAAAGGAAAGGGATCGAGATCGTGATATACAACAAGACAGAAGCCCGATTCGACGCGAGTCGCGAGAAGCACGAGATTCCCGAGACTCGCGAGATCTTAAGGGCAACGCCAGAGATGCCAGAGATTCCAACAAATATTCCGCGCGGGATCCGCGACTAGACACTGCAGCGCCGAGAAACCTTCGAGTGGAAACCAATATATCCGGAAGTCCAAGGGGATCTACGTCGTTGAACAATTCGCCTGCGAGTTCTCGCAATGGGCTTGCGAGTGCTCGACAAACGCCCATTCAGCCTGGTAAGTAATATTTCGACCCAGCATGTACCCGGGCGCGCTTACCTGCTTGCTCGCCGACGTGTTCATTACTGCCTACTGACACAATCTCTATGTAGTCTTTGAAAAATCGTTCCCGGCAAGTGCCACACCTGCAGCATCACCCGCCATGGACTCCTTTCGCAAGATGGATGAGATAAGCAAAGAGCGCAATTTACTCCAACATCGCAAGGGCAAGCAACAAGATGAAGGACGCCTAAGCTCCAGGCATATGAACAAGTTGGAGTCCAAAGCAAACGACTTCCCACCGTATTCCGAGTTCGGCGCGAGGTTTCAGAAGTCCGACAGCGAATTAGACAAACAGATCAGCGCCGTGGACCAGAAGTACCATCAGAGTGTCAAGGAATTCATTTCCGCAGTTGAATCGCAAGCTGCCGCTGCGCTTCAGAAACAGGTCGCCCCGTCCAAGGATGACTTGGTTGCCGCCCTGGAGAAAAAGTTCGACGAATTCACGAGACAAGCAACACAAAAGCAACAGCAAATGGAAGATACCTGGAATAAGACCACACAATCCAATCAGGAGGCGTGTAGTGCGTTGGAAACCAAGTTGCAATCCTTGACCACGGAATACGGTGAACTGGGCTCGAAATTCGAAACGTTACAGTCGGAACACGCATCGAGGTCTTCGGAGAACGCCGCGCTGAAGGAGCAAATCAATGACCTGAAACTCGACCTGGTACTCGTAATCGGAAAGATCGCGACTGCCGAGTCCCGCATCGATAGTCTGCCACAGAGCGCGGTGTCTGATACTGATTTCACCCAAACAAAGTCAGCCGTTGAGCATTTGACTACCATCGTCAGCAACCAGGCAGACGCGAGCAGGATGTTCAAGGAAAATCTCAGTGAGCTTAGCGTGAAAGGGCAAGCGTTAGCGAACGACTCCAACCGCATTGAAGTCACGGTCCAAAATCTCAAGGCCAAAGTCGACAACGTCGACTGGAATACCATTGACGAGGTATCGGACGCCTGGATCGATCATGATTTGCGAGGCAAAATATTTTCCCATGAGACTTCTATCAAGTCTATTGAGGCAACTACGCAAGCCCTACGGCGGGATCTACAATCGCTTCAGCCTGCACAGGATCCGATCGTTCAACCTAGTCAAGGATCCGCTCCCTCTAATCAAGACTTCGAGGCTCTCATTGACCAAAAAGTGAAAGCCGTGGAACAATTCCTGAGAGGCCAAATAACAAAATACGGAGAGAACATGGATGACACAATCGGCCAAATGATCGAAGACCTTGAAGGTCGGGTCAGTACTATCGAGACAGCCAGAGCTAGTACCCAAGGCCAGCCCGGAGCTCTGGCCCAGGACCCGAACATCGACGCAAGAATCGCCAATCTCGAGGCGCAAAGTCGATTAAATGCCAACGCACTCGGTCCAGTCTCCATTCATGATATTGCAGAACGGATCACCGTGCTCGAGGAGAACAAGCTTGGCCACAGGATCGATAGGATCGATCTGAAAATGGGCGAAGTCATCGAACACCTCCGCACGTGGAGCAGAGACATTACCCTGCTCGATAGTCGTGTAACCGAGCATGCCGCCGCTCTGAATGGCAAGACTGCCGCCTTTGAATCTACCTTCCAAGCCCAGGTCAAGGTTAATCTCGAAGAATTGCACGCAAGAGTGGAGACTGTTGAGCAAGGTGTCAGGAGTTTGAACTTCCAGTGGTCGAATATGACTACAAAGCAAATGGCCGAGACGATCCTCGTTCAGTTGACACCTCACGCATTGCAGACCGAGGCGAGAATCCACAAGGTCGAGTCCCAAATGCAGCAGGTTAGGACTTCGTTCCAGCAATATGAACAGGGTTACGCGGACTACATCAAGAATGTGAAACGTGTCAACGATCTTCTAAAGGCATATTACTCTGCCGAGAAGAGAACAGCGTCCCCGGACCAGTCGGTGGATGAGGCAACGAAGAAGAGAAAACTGGGACTCAACGGCCGTCATAGTCCAATGCCACAGCAGCGCAACGGCAGTGCCAGTCACAGTGTCCAGCGTCCTTCATCACCGCCGCAGCGCAACGGCAGTGTCAGTCATAGCGTCCAGCGTCCTCCGTCATGATGGGTTCCTGGAGTTAAGAGATACTTTCAAGCCTTGCCGCACCATCAGCCCGTCCCGTCTTGACGAGTTCGGCATTTTCGAAGATAGAGTTACTGGGGTCCAATCAACCAGGCCGCAACGAACGAAGGGCCTGGGTTGTGGGCTCCCGGGAGTTGTATACAGTTGAGCGAGGCATCCGGCACTTCATTCGATACATAGAGTACTGCCTGGCGGTGCTTCAGGTGTTTGCTGGGCAGGGCGCAAACAGGATCTGGCTGTCAGGCGTTTTGTTGAGCATGTGCGATCATATACCCCCTGTCACTATTAACTCGTTGCTATGGCATGGCATTCTGCTGGAAAAGGGCCCAAGGGGCATGTTGAGTATGGGAAGCGAACGTGTGCGCTGCTTTCCCGCTATTTTGCGCAGCGAAGAGCCTACCAAGATACAGGTTTGGCCTAGTAGTGCCAACACATGAGCATTAAAGGGCTCGAAATTCAAGAACCCATATACATACATGATGGTATCATATGTGCCCTGTCTGTGATGTGCTGTATGCCGCTTATGTTTTTCGCGATCGAACGCCGCCCGTAATGTCTATGCTCTTTTTCTATGCCCACACGCTCAAATATCGATACAGTGTCCCACGAAACCGCTCTAGCCAGCCATAGAGTTTGCTCTATTCCCATGGCCCTTAAGTCACAGCACAACTAACCATCAATCACAAAAGCTTCAACCCGCCGGTGATCTGGTCGACGAGGCTCTTGGGCGCGGGGCCGACGCCCAGCACGGTCAGGCTGCCGGGGTCGATCTGGGTGCGGCCGGCGTCTTGGATGACCTCGGAGGTGACGCCCAGGCTGCGCGCGCGGCCCATCAGTTCTAGTAGTTCGTCCTCGGATTGTGTCTGCACGGCGATCTTGGCCTGGCCGAGGCGCTCCCAGCGCTGCAGGATGCGCGCCGCGGGGGCCCCTGGGGTTTTGGTGGCGGCGCGGCTTAGGGTCTTGTAGCAGGCTAGGGTTGCGTGGGAGCATTGGGCTGCTATTTTGCCTGGTTTGGGGAGGGGATTGGTTACTGGGTGTTTTTGTTGTTTGATGGGGGCGTTAAGGAAATATCCATGGAGAAAGGACAGAGGAGGGAGTATGGTATGGGAGATGGATGGAGACATACCCTTCGTCATGCCCAGATCCGTCCGCACGACCAGCACAAGCTTGCACTCCTCATTAGCACCGCCGGTGCCCTTATCCACGATGTGGTTCTGCTGGGGGCTCTCCTCCTCCTCCTCCTCATCGTTCACCTCCTCTACCTTATTCTTCTTTCCATTTCCACTCCCACTCTTCTTCCCACCACTCTTTTCCGCCGAGGCGCTGGTGCTCTTCTTCTCCTTTGTGGTGGTAGGGACGCGCAGCCCCTGCTTCCGGTCGGCGTCCTCGCCGTTGGCCCAGTTGGGCGCGTGGTCCAGTATTGTGGAATCCTCGTCGACGTCGGACTCGTCGCTCTCGGCCGGGTCGTGCAGGTTGCGCCGGCGCTCCTCGCGCCACGAGGGCGTGAATAGGTATCCTCGTAGGGAGTAGACGCCTAGCCCGAAGCCCGAGATGAAGGTTATTAGGCTTGTTGTCGCTACTAGGCGGGCGACGGCGTGGTCGTCCATTGCGCGTGGTTTTTGGTTTGGGGTTGAGTTTTTGGAGTTGGAGGAGTGAGTGTTCGGTGGGACGGTTGGACAATTAGACTCGGAAGAGGTAAGAGGTGAACCTTTAAGGGGGAGTGTCGGTATGCACGGCTGACGGGATTGTTGTTGTAGAGAGCTGATGAGGCTGAGTGTTGCAATGTGCAGGCGTGATGTTGTGCAGGTCGGCTCGTCGGGTTCAATGTTCCTGCTTCCTGGTTCAGGGAAGTTTTTACAAATGAAACTCTGAATTGGGCCCTTGCAACTGTGGCTGATGATGACATCGGATAATGAACGTACTTACAGATTGTTACCGGCCATGCAGAGTTGCAAATCAATAGATTAGTGGTATGTCCGCTTATGTAGATATCTGCAGACCTACTACCCCTTTACTTGGAACATTAGAAACATACATGCGGTTTAGGACTATTATGTGTCTGATATGTTGAATGTTCGAGGTGCTCTATACCTACATTACCTAAGCATCCCGATTGGCGAGTGGCGTGGCTTGTGGTAACTCCACCACAGCTATTGCAGCTGACAGCGCCCGCAGCGGGTTGGAATTTGAACTTGGAGCAATGCAATTGTGTTTCAGCTGCACCCTCAGGCCCATCAATGTCCCCCATTTCCCATTGTTACCGACCTGCTGCCGCCTTCTACAACGGCAGCGGCCTGATCCTTCCTCTCACCCACCCAGACTGCCAATAACGAGCAGTTGGAACATCCCTGCATCGGCTTGTGTCTGTGTGTGTCTATCTTGGGACACGTCAAGACTCAAGACGGTTACGGTCACTATCTTAGATACCCTTAGCCTTCCCGCCCGCTTGCCGATCACCACGCGAACCCATCGTCACGGGCACTTCATCAATCATCAATCACCTGTCATCGTCACCTGCAGTCAATTGAGTCAATCACCTGCACCCGGAGACCCGGACACCTCAGTGCACCCGCACAGCTTTGAGCACAGCATCTGCAATTGCAAACTGCAACTGCCCCTACTGTGACTACAACTGCAACTGCAACTGCAACTGCAACTGCAACCTGTGGGCTGCACCTGCAACTGCACCCGGCATCTAGCCTTACCGACTCACCTACTACCGGTAACTAAAAGTAGGTGCCTGCCCATGTCCCCTCCATGCCTGCCCTGCCATGACCTGCAACCCAGATTCGACACCCCGGCAGCCCACGGATCCTGCCACTACCACCTAAACCCTGCGTCCATCTCGCACCCCGTTTCGGGTCGTGTCTACCACTACTATTCACTATTACCTCCTCCGCGATACCACCCCATACCACCCCATACCTACACGGTACACCTCCGCCCTCCTTGTTCTCGCCGCCACACTTGGCGATACCCTCATTTGCTGACTTATTTGACATCGTCAGAACCTGGGTTTCTACACCGTCGCCGCCAACTGACAGCGCAATTCCATGAGAAATGCGCCGGGTCGATTGCCGCGAGGGTTTATTGGAGGCTGGATAAGACTGTCTGCAGGTCTTGTCTTCGCGCGACAACAATAGTCGGTCGCCATTGAAGCCAGTCAGTTGCAACCGCTCTTTCTTCTTGTTGTTCTCAGCCCTAGCCAGCCTTTCACCACCCTCTTCATGTCATACCCGGTGTTTCAATCTCATACTGATGACGCATCTGCTAAACTCTAGACCCTGCCGCACAGGACTGCTTCCATCTTATCGCGACACCCAAACCGGTCGATCGCTACCTACCTACGAACCATCACCATAACTAGCAGCCAGCCACAACCCGACTTTCTTTCATGACCAGCAATTAGCCCGCCGCGCAACGTTTCCAAGTTGCAGGAACAAAGAAAACCATGGAGGAGGCCGCCAAGTCAATTGAGATCCTGACCAAACATTACCTACCCTTCCAATCACCCTACTGTCTGTCGCTCTCTACGACGCGCCGATACAGACCCCATCCAGACGAGAAGCGACTGGAAGAACAGGACGTCAGACCCCTCCAGTACACCACATTTCTCAATCCCGAGGCCGATCGTGGCGTTCTCATAACACGGGCCCATTTTGACGTTCGAGAAGATCCTACGCGCGTCAACAATGCGCCCACTACAACACCACTACGAAACGACCCTAACAAGGTCAAGAAGAAGGTGTCTCTGAAGGATTACAAGAACAGAAAGACAGACGGAGACTCGCCGCCCAAGACAGGTGGGCCGTCTGACAAACTCGCAACACTGAAAGAGAAAGAAGCTCCGAAGAAACTGCCAGAGCTGGCCGCGACAGAGATGGACGGCCATCGTGATGCCAAGAGCACAACGAACACGAAACCCCTGGCGCATCGTCAGCGCACCCCATCTCCCGATCGCAAGAGACGAGTCGCAGATACCGAAGAAAGCCTTAAACCAGCCAAACGCTTAAAGGTGGGAGATGCGACACCCAGTAACGCAGGCGCACGCCCTTCAAAAGATACGACGCCTCAAAAGAATGGACGCATTGTCTCCTCAACGAAATCTGACGGCAAGGACTTGAAGCCACAACCAGTCACCAATGGTCGATCAGCATTGAGCAACTTGGGCAAGAGTGGCGCCTCCCCAAAGCCTGCGTCGCAAGTCAATGGCTCCCAGAAGCACACAGCGAGTAGCGTGCACAAGAAGGTGGATAACACGAGTACCCCGAACTCGAGATCTCTACCACCGCTACTCTCACCCACGTTAGCCGCCAATGTGTCCGACCTCGTGAAGGAGGATGCCAAGTCTTCACGCCCAAGTCCTAAGAAGAAACCGGCAGAGACGAACAGCCTGAAACCTCAACCTAAGAAGCTGCGTGATGATCGCGAACCGTCTCCTAGCTCGAAGAAGCGGAAGATCCCACCCCTACTGTCGCCGACGCTGCCAGCCATGGTCATGGAGGAGTTAGCCAGGGTAGAGAAGCGGACTCCTTCGAAAGAGCCTGCGCCCAGAAGCAGTCAAGTCTCTGATTCATCTGGCAGCATCAAGAAACCTGCGAAGCCGTCGAAGCATGAAGACACCATCCACGTCGACAGCAAGAAAGGTGAACCTGATCAGCACATGGTCACCATCAAGTATAAGAAACGGATGGCAAAGACCATTGAACGGCTGCTCGCGTTGCCGCCGGGCGGGAAGAAGAAGGCTGAAGCCTTGAAGGACCGCGCTGCTGGTGACCGTGCCGGAAGTGTGGAACCCGGCACAGCACGCAAGCGTCCGCGTACCGCGACGGATGTTAGTGAAGCCTCCAAACGGCCCAGAACCTCCGACAGTCTTCGGCCTTCTACCCCTCCGAGACAGGCAACATCCATGACACGTGTGGCCTCAAGCAGCTTTCAAGCTGGTACTCCCGGTGTGACAAACAGCCTCACACCAGCCCCTCAAGTGCCTGCCGAGCGACGGCGCCCACCTGACCCGGACACAATGCACAAGGTGCACGCACTGCAAGCCGGGCACAAGTCCTTCATGGAGCTTGGCACAAAGCTCAAACACGAGCGAGATGCCATCTTGAAAGCCAGGATGCCCGAGAATGACCGCGAACGCCAGGTAGCGATAGCAGCCGGTGTCCAATCGCTGCTTGCATACATGCATGCCGTCAAGCTTCAAAGTGACGTTTTTGACCTACAACGCCAGGTCCGCCGGCCTCAGCCTTGGAAGGAGGTGCTTGCATTGTTCCGGGTCATCAGGAATGATTGCAGCAGACACAACCAACTGAGTGCCCTTCTCCTGCGTATCCAGGGCATCTGTCTCGTTTGGCTCGGTCGATCTATGTGGTTCTACACGAACGATCCAGACGTCATGAAGGAAGCCAACGCGAACAGCAAAGAGCAATACGATATCTGGCGACTGGCCGACCACGCACGAAAATCTATGGGCATTCATGACGACAGCCCCGAATGGAGCGATGGAGGGGCAGTTGGCAAACTCCTTGATCGCCTGGGTCCTTGGACTAGCCCTGATGAGTCTATACCAATTGCTCTGGCAGTACTCCGCAAGATCATCCGCATTGATGGCTCTTGGAAGCCAGCGGAAGAGTTGGTCAATATTGGCCGCTTGGCAACAAACGGCGTCCCAAACTGAGTTCAGTCATGACTGAGACACACATTCCGAACCTAACCACATGAACATCAACACCAACAACTACCTCTTAATGTACATTACGACCGACGATTTCCACGAATGATACCAGAGAACACTTTGCCTTCGCGTCCATTTCGGGAGGTGGAGCATAGATAGACGGGCAGATCAGATGAATCTAAATTCATCTGACTAGCTCTCCAGAGGCGCCTTAAAGGATGATGGGTTTGGCATTTTGACCCAGATGGTCAGGCAAGGAGTCTGGAACTTCGCAGCTGTCGGCTGACGATTTGGCTTTCTTTGCTATACTTCCTCTAATTTGGGAGAGGAGCAGCTGTACGTAGAGATGGCAGGCGTGACGCCTGCTCCATAGCTCAAGCAGCACAACAGGTGCTGGAGACGAGACGGCAAGAGAAGACCAAGCAACAAGGTTTCTTGCCTTGTGTATTGGTGCAGAAGTAACTGCCTCGACGATACCCCGCCGGCTTGGCCGAGCAATGGTATTACAAAATGACCATTTTGATATGATTCTTCCGTCCGGTTTTGCATTGTGCTATGTTATGTTTTCATGGTGTTTTCGATTAAGACCCTAATAAGACGCCTGTCATCCAACTGAGGTATCTAGATGCGTTAGACAGGTTGGGGCTTCTTGGGGTCACTCCCATGGCAGTAGAGCTTGAGGTAGTTGAATTGGGCTTTGGATATAATTCAATTCCCCAGTCATGTCTGGTGTGTCTTGGACCGGAGCTGACGAAGAAGCCAACAGCATCATCATAGCCATGTGGGCCTTGGAAAACAGTCCAGACTCTACTTGGCTTTGGTCTTCGCACGGCTTGGGTGCATTATGTAGGTAAATACAGTGCATCCATCTCCGGGCCTCTCTAGTCCCCATTTCAGGTTCCCCCTTTCCCCCCACCCCCCTTTTCCGATAATTTCTCCTTATATCACCATCGCCTCCTTTCCTACGAGTCCCTGATATAGCTAGCCCCTTCCCGCAGATATACTTTTCGGTCAGCCCAGTGAGCCTCGGGCGTGCAGGACCAGGGCATGATGCATATTTGTTGACACAGATGACTGGAAGGCGAGGGGGGCGCGATGGGGGTGGGTGGTGTTGTGACTGTCAACAAATTTCATGATATGACGCTGATGCTGGTATGCTTCATTGAGGTGGTTGCTGCGCCTGGCTTTGTTGAATTTGGCCATGGGTGGTATACATGAGTTTGAGCGGCTGCTCCGGAGTTTGGTTATGTTGGATCGGGATACGAGATGGGAAGATAGGGGCGCGTGGCATAATACCTAGGTCGCTTATGGCCATGGGAATATGCTGTACCGTTGTTTTTTTTGCTTGAATCGCTAGTATGGCCAGGCTCCCTCGATGTTCACCTGTGGTGATTCTTCCCTGAGCTTGTGTAGGTAAGCTTCCTTCGGCTTGAGGTAGGATGAGGAACGGATTCAAAATGGGTGTTATGTAGTGCTTAAGACTGACGCGCCGGCAATCTGCCACCTTCGTGTAGTTAATTGGCCATTGTCAATTGATTCCGTTACATTGAAGGCCTGATGATATTCATACAAAGCTGGCTGCTCGAGTCCAGCTATCGCTGCCAACCTCGCGGAATTCAATGCCCGCTCCGAAATAGCCAGCATCTTGCCAGGCGTTCATTGTAGGCTCATCGAACGGGCCTTGCTTGTCAGCATCATCCCGACCGTCTGTCCACCGATATTCCCACATCCTCGTCTTCGCATCAGCTGCCTCTGGCTTCTGTTGCGGCTCAACCCACTCTTCGTCTGCTTCACGTGCATATTCTCGTATCAAGAGCTCACGCTCCCTGTCATAGATATCAGGCCGGTCTCTGCCTAGTAGCTTGTCGGCGGCATCCGTAATGGCGTCGATAGCCTCCTTGATGCGGACTTGTTCCGGGTCTTCGGCCGCCTTTTCCGCGTCGAGTTCCATGACGTCGGGCTTCTGCTTCTTTTGCTTCCACTTCGGAACCTTCTTCGCTTTCGTCTGGCCCCTTCCCAGCCTCGCGAGAGCTTCCAGAGCCGTCTCACCACGCTCCAGCTTCAGAATCAGGGATTTGAGTAGGTCCGATGTCAAGGCATTGTCTTCCTCTCTGCGCTTCTCCCGCTGCTCGGCCTCGCGCTTCTCGTGCGCCTCGGCGGCCTTCTTCATCTCCTTCTTGCTGACGCCTTCGAGCCAGCGGTCGTGCACGGCGTCCGGGTCTACCGCTTTGCGCACGAAGTTGCCCGACTCGTCGAAGCGGCCCTCCTCCTGCTCGGCCTTGAGGTTGAATGCTTCCACCTTGGGCGCATGCTTTTTGAGACCACCAGCCCCAACCTCCTCGTCGATGTCTTCCTCCTGGATGGCCAGCGCGACTTCTTCCTCGTCGTCTTCGCTCGAGGGCGGGTCGTCCGTGTGCACGTGTCCACCGGATCTCGATCTCGTGTCCTGACCTTCGATCTCTGCGGCATCCAGGAACCTGACCTCCTTGCTCTTCTTGCCCGTGGTGTTGTCGACGGCGTCGTCCTTCGGGTCGCCATCCTCAGCTTCGGCCGCAAACATGTCGTCCACATCCTCATCGTCATCTTTCTTGTCTTTTGTTGCTTTCGACTTGGACGCGTGTAGCGTACCCAGCTCTTCGCGATCCGAGTCGGAGTCGTAGCCGTCGATGTTCACGGCCCCGCGCTTGGTCGCGGCACTGCCGCGGATGACCTCGGCGTCGGCCTCCAGGTAGGCGTCCGCGCCCTCGTCTTCATCGTCGACGTCGGCGGCGAGCGCGGAGGGATTCCGCACGTCGAACTTGACTTTCTTGGAATCTGGCTCGGCATTGTGGTTTTGTCTTGCGTAGTTCTCTCCCGCGCGCTTCGGACGCGCGGCGCCAAATCTTGAAGACATGGTTATCGGTTTATTGGAAATGCCATGTAATGAGATGTCGATAAATGCCGATGAAGTAAGATGGGAATGCACAGGCTTCAATCGCAAATGACCAGATTGGATATGACGTTGGTTTTGCGCTGGCGGACCCGGTCGATAGCTGCAGCTCACAGTGGGGGTGACGCCCCTAGCTTCCGGCGCTAGGGAACATTCAAGGCACCGAGGTTTCGTCATCAGCACCTGCTGTACAGCTACCTTCAGAAACGCGGATCACTGGACCGAAGCTTGGGGACAGCTCGAGATATGTGGAGTAGCCTACCACACGTTACCTAACCATAAGCACTTAATCTTCTCAGAGTTTGGCTCCATCCCAATTCCATCTTACGACATTTCTCTTGTACACCTCCGGCCTTCCTTCTCCTGTTCCGCTTGGTTTGCGCAAGACCAAACCATACCGTTGTCTCCCACTGAGACACGCCACCATCTAGCATTCCCACTTACATAAAGTCCACCGCACAGTATGGTTCGTGACAAAACCCAACACCGCATCCACGTCTGGTCGCTAATCCATTTGCCCTCAGTTTCGTCCAGGTTTCGGAGGCTTCGACCCCGAAGACCCCGCCGCCATGTACAACCTGGCGCGTACGGGTACGATGCGTGGCCCGCGCCGCTTCGACGAGTACTTCCGTTGCTATCCTCTGGTCATGGCACCGGGAGCAGAGAGACCCGAGCTGAACTACGGTTCCAAGATATTCCTACCACCGTCCGCCCTCCAGAAGATCTCCACCCTCCACGTACAATGGCCTCTCATGATGGAGCTGGTTAATGGCGATAAGGAGCGCCAGACGCATGCCGGTGTGCTGGAGTTTGTGGCAGAGGAGGGCCGCGCATACATACCACAATGGGTACGCCCAACTGCGCAGCTGAGACGGCTTGAGGAATCGGGCTAACTGGCGCAGATGATGCAAACACTACAACTAGATGTTGGCGATATGATCCAGATCAAGTCGACTTCTCTTGAGCTTGCCAAGCTGGTCAAGCTCCAACCGCAGTCCACCAACTTTCTCGACATCAGCGATCCCAAGGCCGTCCTCGAAAGAGCCTTCCGGAACTTCGCCACCCTGACCAAGGGCGACGTCTTCAACTTCGAGTACAACGATGAGGTCTACGAGATGGCAGTCCTGGAGGTCAAACCCGAGACGGAGAAGATGGGTGTGTGTATGATTGAGACGGATGTGTCGGTCGACTTTGCGCCGCCCGTGGGATACGTCGAGCCGTCCAAGAGCAGCGGAACCAGCATACCCAGAAGTACGCGTGGAGGATTGCCTGCTGGTGGACTTCTACACAACCAGGGGACTATGGCACAGTCTATCAACTACGATGCCATCGCGCCTGGTGCCTCGACGGCCGCGGCAGGTGCTCGGGCGGTGTCCTCACATTTCCTTAGTGAAGGACACAAGCTCGTTTCCAAGAAAGGAAGCAAGGCTCCCATCCCGAAACCTTCCACTCCCGTCGCAAATGCGTCGTCAAATACGGCACCCATTCCCCGCCGAACCACCAACGGACCCATGCCACTCCGACTGCCGCCCAACAAGCTCTTCTTCGGCTACGAGATCAAGCCTGTCAAGACGGATGCCGACAAGGAGGCAGAGAAGGAAAATGCCAAGAGGCCGTATTTTGCTGGTCAGGGCCAGACCCTTCGATCGGGTGCTGTCAAGCGCAAGGGTGACGACGACGACGACGACAAGAGTGCTGACAAAGGCAAGGCACCCGAGAAGAAGCCGGACGAGGGACGTCGGCTCGACGGACGGAAGGCGTAGGACATGGGTCATGACATGATTCAGGGCATGGGATGGCGTTCAGGAGTCGCTAGGTAGTACGGCATACCTTCAGACCAATATCATGACTTAACCATGTTGGCTCTCGCAATGAGTCAACCTATAACGAACCTCGTTTTCTGGCGTGCTTTCATCAAGATCCATGATGAGCATGATGGCGCATGATGGCGCAAGATGACATGCCTTGCCACAGTCTTCGTTTGACACTTCTTGTGTGTAGCTTGTCCAGTCTCCAGATGTGACATTCCTGTCAAACGAACATCTCCCCTCGGCTAAATCGACACGTCGTCTTGCAGGATATCGTTTGCAATGACAGAGGCAGCAAGGCCCCGAAGTGCTGACCGAGACCATCAGGTAGTGCTCCCTCCCTCGCCCCTTTTGGCGACACTGATATGTGGTCACGTGGCGTGTCTCTGTCTCGCCATCTTGCCTAAAGGAACACTGCCCGAGGATGAGGGAATCCTGGAGAATTCGCGTAAAGCTGATTTAGCTGGGGTTTATCGTACTGATATGCTATCATTTTACTTGGGGATCTTGGTCGGCGGGATCCTCGCTCACTGGCTTCTGCTTCGACGTCCTTTCGCATGTGGTCCGTGGCCTCCATCAGATCCTTCAGGGTGATCTGACGCTGTCGTAAATTAAAAAGTACTTGATATCCGGAGATATCCTGTAGCTACTCTTCTTGCTCCTTGACCAACTCGTCAACCATGGCCATTCGTGCATCTAGGTCATAGTTAAGGAAGCAAGACGTCGTCGTATAATCCGTACGCCTGCCACCAGTGGGGTCCTGACCATCCTGGTAGTTCACCCTTCTCCTGGGAAGAGTTTAGCTTCAAAGACCCAAAAGAAAGATAACATTAGCTGTTTACTTATACCCAGCATCATCTAGTGTCGCCATACCGCCGTTCTTGCGCTCTCGATTTCGGCTTCGGTCGTGCTCGGTAGGGGCCGTAGCTTTGCGTTGCCACTGCGAACGGTTCAATGTGCATAATCGCCCGGTAAGGTGGCATGCCAAAGATGGCGGACAGCTCGATCCGCAGAGTCAGACATGGAAGACATGAAACTCATTCATGCCTATTCTGGACTTTCCGGTCCCCTGCCTCTAAGTTATGGCGGCATGCTTGCTCGCTGCTTCATACACGAAAGCGTGGTCCCAGCATTGGTAGATCATCTGTCGAGTGTCGCTGAGAAAAGTGCTGTGCTTGTAGGGTGGCCAGCCCTGTGGGAGGAGCTCGAGTATGTCAGCTCCGGCAGGTCGCCAGGAACGTCCCCGAAGTCCATCTTGTTGGCATCGGACATGAGATGGACATCGCGAGGGCCGATGCCCTTGTCGAGCAAGCGACACTTCGAGCACACACCGTGGCGAACCTCCATCCCGAACCATGACTCCTTGCACCGGGGACAGTATTCCCTGACTAGCTCGTCCATCTCCCGGTCGAAGTCCTTGACGAGCTCGATATTCAGGTTGCTAATAGCGTGCTGCGATAGTTGCTCGGCGCCAACTTCAGCAGGGTCCCAGTGGGGATGTGGGTTCTGAAAGGCGTCTCTCAGCGCCTGGCCTCGGGCATCCAGGTCTGAAGGCTGAACCTGCCCTGGGCCGTAGCCATGCTCGCGTTGTGGTCCTGGCCCGGAAACCTGAAATTGGCCGAGGCCTCGTCGTACGGAGAATCATCGATCATTCATTTCCACTCGAAGCATTAACCGCGTGCTGCTTCAGGAGACTTCGCTGCTACATCAAGAAAGTATGCTAACCACTGCACAACCAGGCCGTTACTGTATGTTGAAGATTTTAATCTCAAGACTACCCATGTGTGCTGCTTGTGCGATGAACCGGGAAAAGCTTGTCAGACATGGCCTTGAGAAAGGGTTTAAGGCTTTTTTTGACATGATTTGAATCTTGCGTAGATATTAATGCAAATTCGGTGGCAAAGTCGATTAGACAGAAGGTGTGGGGGTGGGGAGGTGTGGATGGTTTATAGTTATTGGTGGTATGTAGAGGTACTCTAGCTGTTCCGGAGAGCAGGGGGCATGGTGGCCCGGTCTGAAGGGCGGACATGGTGGACCTCAAGTGGTGCAAAGAAAAGTAGGAAAGATGGCTATATAATAAGATGCTAGAGGGTAAGCTGCGAATTATAGGGGGTGAAGCGTGATTAGAGGGAGGGAGGGTGAAGAGCAAGGGCAGATATGTACGAGAATATATAAATAGTGATCAGGCTGTGGAGAGCGATGACCAAGCAGTTACAGTTTGCTATACACAGTTTGGCCGTGAGTACTAAAGGACGCCAAAGCCAACAATATGGTGAGTCAGCTCTGTATGAATCACTGCCCCCTCTGGAGACCTGTCCTACTGTCCGATGTCAGGGCTGTCCTGGCTCGGGACGAACATATTGCTGCTCACCGACAGGTCGAATATAGGGCCTCGTTGATGTGAGAGAGATTATAGCGACGTTACGTTCGGGCACCTCATCTGTCTTCAGGGGTGTGATATCAGTCAGTCTCGATGAATGCCTCCAGGGACAAAGGTGGACTTGCCGTTCCGCACCCATGCAGTCTGTCAACTACATTCTGGGTCATGAGGCTGTTTTGAATTGTGCGTGCCGTACTTTGTCAACGTCCAAGGTGGAAGCTAACAGCTAAAATAGTCATTGTAATGTCTCGGAAAGATGGGGAAAGGCGGAAGTAGTGATGAGTCGACCGGCTGGGAGGCTTCTTGAAGGCAGGAAGGCGCTTATATCTAGGTAATACTACCAGCCCTGACCATCACTATGTGGTCATGAAGGATTGAAAGTGAGCGTGTTAGTGGGGTATTAGGTATACCTAGGCACGCGGTTCCATGGGGAGGGATGAAAAGGGGCGGAGAAGCTGTGACTGGTGATGGCATATGCGATGACTAGCCCCAGGTAGCCAAGCAAGCTAATGAGTATGAAGCAGAATCTAGATATAATGACGGAAAGGAACGGACAGTACCTGATTGTGCCTTGATCGTCGGGTTTGTGTAAGCTTGCACTGCTATGCTTTGAGTCATGTCTCCTGTATCTCTTGGTCATTGACTGGCCTGGTAAGGTCCCAGGCGAACCTGAGTACCGGCAGTTAGCATCGTAGTAATTGGATGACTGGAATGCCGGAATGCATCCTAGATATCTCCAAGTGCCTGTAGTTGGTGTACTTGACCCAACATGCCAGTGACATAGTTCAAGTGCCATGACACAACGCTGAAGCCAAAAATCCGGCTGGAAGGGTGCGAAAGCATGGGGACTTATCGTTCTATAACAGCTAACCCGAGAATCCAAACATTGATCCATGCTTACTCTTCCTCATTGAGTCTGGAGCTGCGCAAGCAATGGGTGTCCTACTTGCGCAATATCTATCAGCCTGAGCACGGATCTCGAAGAATCTTGAAGATGGTCCGACGAGGATAAGTGCCCTCACCGTAGGAGTATCAACTTCACATGAAAAGCCCATGCCTTGATCATAGTAATCGACCTGGGGGCGTGGAAAATGTCGGACGAGTCTTCGCGCTGGCCATACAGCCTGCCTGGTCGGGGTCCATCCTAAGTGGTGTAAATGATTTCCCTATGCCTTGATACGGTTTCCTTCCGCGCATCTCATCGCCTGTGGTCTGCCGTAGAATGCAGCTCTGGCATCAGTCGAGACATGCCCAACCTACCCATGTTGCCCCTATAGCCCCTTTTGGGTGTAGTCACTAGCTACCGCCTCCTTTTCTAGTCAAACACTTGACTCGGAGGTGCCTCAAAGATAGGCGATGACTGTTCGTGGCCCCTTAGTGTTCTAGCCAGGAAGCAGTAACGTTAGCTCAAGACCTTCTGTGCCAGGAAGTTGCCCACGTCCGCCACCACGACGCCGGACTCACCAGAAATCCAAGAGTACTGCATGGCAACTGACCGACCCGAGCGATCTCGCAATGGCGCTACATCAGAGAATCAACCTGTATGCGGCTTGCCGATGTAGGCCTTGCCTTCGGGCCCGCTCCGGGCCCGCTCCGGCCCCAAAAGTATCGGCGCAAATGAACGAGCAGATAGACTCTGATGAAGAGGTAGGCTCTGACGAACATGTAGTCTTGAGGACCAGGTAGACTCGAGGAGTAGGCGAACTCGGACGAGAAGGCAGACCCAGTCGAGACCGAACACGACGATATAGACAAGAGCGCAGACTGGACCTGCGAGCCACCGGATGCAGCAGACCACGACCTGACGCGGTCCGAGTACGAGTCGGATACCGACGAAACTATGTGTCCTGAGTGGTAGCCGTAGACAAGCACCCAAAACCGGCAGGATCAGGTGGAATACCAGCGATTGCCTGTCAGACATGGAGGTCAGTACTAGTCGACGAGGGCCAGAAGTAAATAAAGGTAGGCATGCGGCACAATTGCAGGGGATGGAGCAATTGATACAGCTCACTCATTCATCATCGCACACGTACGACTGGGTTAAGAGACCAGCGGGCATGCTATTGAAGCATCTGGGAATACGTTCAAAGATCGAAGATTGTAAAACCTTGTTTTCATCCACAGATACGGTATGGACATGTCTATGAGTTGGGTGATACTAGGTTCGAGTCACGGATTGCCAGTAACTGTACAGCGGCCCTTGAAACCCAGATAGATGCGCATCTTTTGCATCTGATGAGATCACTCACCCCAGAACGCCTGCGTGATCGTTAATTGAGAGGAAAGAAACTGGTCATGACACATAAGAGTGGACTCATCCATCGCCCAGGCTGCTTTCATCCCATATGATGGTGACGGCTTCCCAATTGTATTGCCCCAGTGCAGCTCACTGCCAAGAGGCATCCATATAATCCGTCTCATCCGTCTCATCCTTCACATTATCATCAGTTTAAGCGCTCCCACTCCTCGCGCTTCACGTCGACGTGGTCTGCATCAGCTTCGATTGTCTGGCTCGGAAGGGCGTAGTGAGCCTGCGAGTTGTGGAGTTGTTGGAGGTGCTGATGGTATGCCGCGGATGTGTAGTCGTATGGGAGCGCGTCGGAAAAGGCAGAGGGGTCTTGATACCAAGACGGATCGTTGTGTTCATGGGAAGCCGGCATGAAGTATTCGAAGGAGTTCTGCGAGTGCATCATGTCGCTGGCAGGACTGGAGGCTAGCGCTGAAGATGTTGCAAAACCCTCGGTGTCGCTGCAGGGTGTGAGAAGTCGGGGTTGAATGACAGGAGTATTGGACATGGTGGGAGCCGATGTCATTGGTGCGGACATTGGCCCCGGCGTGAGCCCGGGGGTGAGCCGGCTGTCGAAGCCGTATTGCGAGCTCTCCTGCTTGATCTTCTGCGGACTTGGCTCGGGCGTTCCTTGTGTCGAAGGGGCGGGAGAGCCTGCGGCTGATTCCGACTTGACGCTTTCATCTCTCTTCGCTTTGGGATCCTTCTTGGACTTCGTGACTCGTGATTTGGGTGGGCCGACCCGATTGCGTCGTGTTGGCTCAAGGCCCAGCATGGCAGATCGGAATCGCGAGTATCTCATTCGGGCGGCATGGCCATTGGTGATCTCTTGGGCAAGAATGGGATCGTGGGCAACTTTGTTCCAATCAATCTGAACTGGCTGTTAGAGAGATCCGTTGCGCGGCCGTGGGATAGGATATCGCGTCAACTCACATCCTTGAGGTTCTTCTGCTTCAATATGGCGAACAGAAACCTCGTCATGGCATTGTCGTTGTTGGAAGACATGCTTGCAGAGCCGAGAGACAGACAGACAGACTCGATGTATGATTTACGCCGAGGTGCGAGGTCTCGGGGGGCGGGGACGGGGGGGGGGCGATAGTGTTGAATAAGAAGTGCACACTCGGGTGTCAGGAATTTGGACGTCGCTCTGGAATTCAAGGATGACCTGAACATGTGGAGTTGGAGAGTAATGAGTGAGTCACGGATAGAGTACCTGTGAAAGTCGGTGAGGCAAGCCAAGGGGAATATATGTCAAATCTCCCAGATAAAGCTCCTGGAGAGCCTGGAAGTTGGTTGAGCGGATCACACCTGGCTGGCCATCGAGTATTGGTGAGGTGGCATAGACTAGAAAGGGTGGAGAAAGGAGAGAGGATCGGTGGCAAGCCGATGAGCCGTTTGACCACGAGATAATGGGACTGAATGAGGAATCAATACAGTGCAGAGGACGAGGTGATGGTCCAAAGGGACGAACAAAACGAACATAAGGCCCGTTTGATGCTGGGCTTTTGGAGCTGGAGGGGCAGGGGTCAAACGCCGTGACAAGACAACGCGGGGACTCTTTAAGTGCTTGCATGAAGAGCGTGCTTGGTGCCGCTGCTACTTGTTATCAAGGGAACTTGTACCGTGACGTGGCGAAAGACATGGCTGCCTTGGCTGCGTGGCAGCCGGGTTGCCTAGCAACTCGTATGGTGTAACGGAGTGAGCATCACTGACGACTGCGGCCTGGTTGAGATGGGGCCGTCAGGATGATCAGGGAATAGTGGTGGGGTTGGATCACGAATGTGGGACGCGGCACACCGCGTAAAGTGGTTTCTGACCCCTGCCTCATCGTTTCTGGGCGGCAGCCAGTCTGCGCAACCACCCGCCCATGCGTCTCCCCATCGATCCATCCTGCCATCCCACTGTTTGACCAGCCGATCGACTGGCCAACAGGCGATCAGCCGGTAAAAAGTCACAGAGACGCAGAGATAGGGTCGCATGCAGGATCCGAGAGAAAGTGCCGACTCAAGTTGGAGGAGGAGCTGACATGACATGACAGCTCGTTTCGTACACCTCGGTGGGTGTTTGAATAGAAGATAAGCAAGCACTGGCTCTTCTTGCGCAGGCCTCCCACCTCTGCCGCCCACTAGGACGGGAAGGGGATGCGGCGCCATCTCAATTCAGGAACCGATGCGCGCTCGAGGGTTGGCCCCTTCACAAAGACTGCGACGGACCTCGATGGTGGAACGTGTGAGTCACCCACATGAATGGAGGAGGCTGGGGATCGGAGTCAATGCGCTCGAGGTTTATATCGAGTACTCAAGGTATGATGCAGCTCCATCTCATTTCGACCGTGAACATGCTCCAGTCGGCAGCTGGGAGGGACCGAATGCAAGCCTCGCAAGCCGTCACACTCAGCTGATAGAACACTTACTTTGTTTGATGTCACCGCTGCTTGAATAGACAGGATGGCGTAGTCTCGATGTTAAGACGCATAACGGACGTTCGAGTTGCCAGACTCAACGAAGAACCTCTCCCCCGTGTGCAGGATGCTCTTCACCGGATGAAGAAATGCGATTGGGGGGATGCAGGAGTCTGCAAACGGACCTCACGAGTGCACAGATACTTCGCCTCGACTGGACGATTCGATCTGCTTGCTGCTGGACATGGTGTCGACAGGGCCGGGACCGCCGTTGGAGGATGTGTGACTCGTTCTGGACATGGACAGCGCAGAAAGAGAAGAAAACCTAGGAAAAAGAAAATAGGAGGGGTTGGGGTCGAGAGTGACGCGTTGCGGTCGGGCAGTGAGCGGCACTGTGTGGGCAGGTCACTCACGTCCCTGTCGCCCTCTCACGTGAGAGTTTCAGGTCGCTGTACTTGGTTTAAAGTGGTTGCATGAAAGAGGGGCGGATCAATACGCTATTGGCTGTGTCGTGACGGACCTGTCCATAACCGCGGAAGGTACGGCAACTCTCCGGTCGAACTGGCACCCGGCTCGTTTGCTCTTTACCTCGGCCAAAACTCGATGCTGTGCGGTCGCATTGGATGGGACTGGAACTGCAGGTGTTCAGGTTGTGGCGGCTGCGCTCTTCTCACGTGATCGTTGAAGCCGTGATGCGATCTCCGGCTGCTAGGCTTCGGAGACATTTCCTGTCGGTAGGACTCGACTGGTCCCACATTTGTTGCCGACCGCGCCAAAGGTAAGGTAACGCATGGCCCCTCCCCAAGCTCCTGTCCAAGGTCGAGTCCATTCTTCTCAACCTCTCAAAAGCTCCCATCTCTACCAATTTTCTCAATTCAATCTGCACGTGCTGCAAGTACCTCCCTAACTACTATTATCTATGTGTGCGCACTATTGCCTACGCCTACACCAAGCAAAGCTAGTTCCACATCTCGGGTCCTAGTCCACTTCTCAGCCTTCTCACCATCTCCTGAGGCGAAGATGAACAAGAACTGGAACGATAGAGCCGACAAAGACTTGTTCTTCACCATCCTCTCAGTCAAGAACATTGGCGTGATAAGCGGTGGCGAATGGACCACCATAGGCAACCACATGCGGTCGATGGGCTACGGCTTCACGAATGAGGGATGTCGGTAAGTCCAGCTTGTTCTCAATGTCGTCGAGTCTCCCCCGTCTCCCCCGTCTCCTATTTCACACCCCTTCTCAGAGCACCGCGCGACCAGTGGTACATGTTGAGTTTTTGTTGCTTTTTCCTTTTTTCGACTGCCATCTTTGGAGGGGTTACAATAACGGTCTCCAGCTTGTGAGGCCGTGTGTGCTTACCGCGGTCCCTGTCTTTTGAAGGGTCTCTTCGATATGGATTCGGTTACGGCGAGTCCGCAGCTGTCTACGAGCGCCAGTTCCCCCAAGCGGTCTATTGTATGTCGGGGGTCAATCTTGGATGATGTCGGTATCAGTCGCGGAACTCGTTGAGGCTCACTGGGGTTACATGTGGTTTTCTTGGCGCAGTCGTCGGTGCGCCGTCCTGCGGTGTAAAGCTGACACAAGTTAGTCAACACTTCCAAGGCCTCCGCAGAGCTCAGCACAAGGCCGAATCGTCGTCATCGTCGAATGGATCCATCCTGGATAGCCAACGACAGGCTGACCCCACGGCCAATCCCATCACTAGACGTCCGGGCCCTGGTCGTGGGCGCCCTCGGAAGCAACCTCCTGCTCCCATTGCCGGACCAAGCCAGAAACAAGCTGCTGAAGCGTCAGGTCAGGCGTCAGATCAGGCATCCGACACCCAAACGGCTGCTCCTCTCGCGGCAATGGGCATGCCCATGCCCATGCCCATGCAGATGCAGGCTCCGGCTGACATGCAGGAGACAGACTCGTTGGGAGTGGTGCATGAGGACACGGAGCTCGATGGCCAACCTTCGAAGCGTCAGCGCATCGATGAGGATGACCAGCAACCGAATGACGACGAAGCCGTCCTTGCATTAGCCGCCGATGGTCTCCCGGGTCATTATGAACATTCAGAGTGAGCTCAACCTCGATCTTCCTCCCAGCCGGCAGCTGCGACTAACAATTGTGTAGATATTATGAACCTGGCGAGGCGTGACGTCCGCATGCGGTAGAGTCCTCAGGTTCGAGGTCTAATCTCTCGCCATGATTCTCGGCCGAGCTCGAGATATGTCATGGTCTCCAGTCACTCGTGCTTGCCGGTTTGGTCAGAAGCATACCATCCCACAGCAGGAATTGCCTACCTTTTCTGAGCGATACCAGCTGGGCGAAGTCGGCTATTTCATAGCCTTGTGCCTATGTTCGAACTGATCCAGGTGATATAGCGAGATTTTCATATAATTACTGCGGAAGGACTCATAGGAGTCCCTTAGGGAGAGGGTTTGTACAGCATTGAAGCATTGCGTTTACCAACCACCGAATTTCGAGCAGGCTACATGTAGGAGCCAAAAGTGGCAGGGATAGGCAACACGATTACTACTAGACTGCACGGGTGTGCACCCCAGATTCGAGTCAAGCCACTGAACAACTGGGGTTTCCCATCTTTCGCACAAGCTATACCCAGCGATACTCGGTGTTTTGTTGCCTTGACATCAACCTCCTCCCACAAACCCAATATATACATCCCAACTCCACCTCCAACCTCCCACTTTCCTCTACCTCTTTCATCCATCTCTGCCACCGTGCCGCGTCTTGCTGTTCTTTCCGGGTCACACAGCCCCCGGTCCATCTTTCAGCCTCACTTATCGGAGTTGCGTGCATGGCCTATATGATACATCCCTAATCACGCCAAGCATCAACGTTGATCACTTCACCCTCCATTTTCACTTCCACCTTCATTCCATCATCACTTCCATCTTCCCCCCATCAGCATTCCTCGGCCAATTGTCACCCAATCCACCCTCGGTCTCATCCAGCAACCATGGCGCCCAACTCCAGCAAGTGGGACGATGCGATGAACGCTGCTCTCTACCAATCCATCTACGACGTCCTGGACCCCAAGTTCACCAAGGAGGACCAAGCCGCTATCGTGGCGAGCATGGCCGCCCAGGGCTACTCGGTAAACTGGAACGGCATCCGGTAGGTGGCGGACTTGTTTTATTCGTGTTGCAAAACTCTGGTGTTGTTGTTCTTGCTTGTTCTTGCACTTCCAGTCCGTCCTCCAGCTCGCACGGACCACTACGTGATGCAAATGTCTGGCCCGTGTTTCTTTACAAGTGAGCCTGAGGCAATTGCTGGTCAGGGTCACGATAACAATGCTTTTAGACTATATCTGTATATTTGCCACACCACCTGTGCTATCTTTCCCCCATCGCCGCACAACCTTACCTCTTTTCCGTCCCAGAATCGCCGATACGACTCGAGTTCGTCGCTAATTAAGTTTAATCGCTGACTCGTTTCGAATATTACAACCAATCTTTTCATCGCCGATACACTCTATACCCTCCTCTAGTCAAGAGCAACGGCAAAGACAGACCAAGAGCGCCCATCATGTCGTCCAACCGCACCCTCATGGACTGGACCCCGGAGGTGCATGAGGATATCCTCATTGCCTACCAGAAGACATTGAAGCCCAACCCTGCGCAGTTGGCTACCATCGTGGCCTCTCTCCACGAGATGGGCTACACCTTTACCGGATCCGCACTCAAGTATGCCTAAGTACCTTACTCATCTGACACCTGCATCTGAGGTTGCCCAAGCTTTGACTCTTCACCTCCCACACCCTCTCCTCTCCACCCTGAACCCAAGTCACCATCACTAGGGTCCATATTCATCCTTGATATTTACCTACTGCACCTCGTACATTCGTACCTTCCAAAACAACCATCACATCGTTTCCATGTCTCGACAGCCCTGACCATCATGCCGGAGGGAAAATACACCTCCTGGAGCGAGGAGACGCACCATGATATCCTCATGGCGACCTTCGCAGTGATGAAGCCGACAGGTGCGCAGTGGAAACTCATCACTGAGCAGCTGCACGGCCTGGGCTACGGATTCTCAGCCAATGCACTCAAGTATGCTCACTGCCATCCCCGTCCCCTTTCCAACCGGGGCCCGCTTTCCCCGTGGAGTCCCCCGGGCTTAGCTTGCCGTCACTGCTTCGGCGACGGCCCATTGTGCAGCTCCCATTGTGTGCAATCAGACTCCACATTGTCGCCCGGTCATTTTTGCATATAAGCCACACCGGGTCCACTCCTTCCACAAACAACATCCTTCCCTCCCTCCTCACCCACCACTCCCACCTTCTCTTGTGACAGCTTTTCCTTTTCAAACCTCTCCTCTTCCATCTTCTCTTGTCACAGCTATTCCTTTTCAAAGCTCATCCTCGTCCACCGTTTCAAGAAACCGTCTACCATGCCTCCCAAGGCTGCAACCGCGCGCACCGTATGGGACGACACGACAAGAACGGACTTGCTTCAAGCAATTATGGACGTCTGTCCTCCGACCTCCGAGGAGTGGCAGGCAGTCATGACCTTGCTGCACGCGAAGGGTTACAGCTATACCCATACTGCTGCCGTGTATGACTTGATCTCTTATGATTATGCTTCCAGGACCAGTAACCTTCGCTGCACACTACTAACTATCATTTTCACATTCACCTTGCATCTCTTCTACTGCGCATTGGACTAACATCTCTACCTTCTCTAGGCAGCATCTGCAGAAGCTTAAGCGAAAGGAGAAGGGCGGCACCCCGAAGAAGGCCACTGCCTCTGCCCCAGCCAAGGGAGGCGCTGCGCCCGCCGCCCGAAAGCGAAAGGCTGCGGAACAGGCTGAAGATGACGACGACGGCGAAGATGACGACATCGTCGAGGTTCCCACGCCGAAGAAGACGCGAGGAAGCAAGGCCAGCGGCAAGTAAGTATACATCTAACCAGAACTGAGTTTTCTTCTCTTCGATGTATCCTTTTTCTGACCTTTCACACAGCGCCAACTCTGCCGACCGTCACCATCTCTGGGATGAGCAGCCCGGTCCTCCCGAGGATCTCGATCGCGGCTATTAGGCTGGATGATTGACCTACCAAGCACGACGACATTGTGAAATACCGCTTCTCACCACCAAAACCTCCAGCCCTGGCGGCACGTGGTGGACATGCTAGGAGACGACGAACTCTCCGCGACAACTGATTGACGACATCATGGCACGCACACGATACTCAATGCCTTTCATGCATACCGACTTGCCTGCTGGAGCATATACGGGAGTGGGGGATCGGTCTACACACTTTCATTCAGCCATCTTCTCCACCACGGCAGAAGACGTGTCTTGGGACAGGATTCATCACGGACACATCTTGCTTTCTATAGTTCTCCCGCTTCACCACTTCAACCAAATGTCGACGCTGCGAGCTCGGCTGAGATAGGTACCACCACCTTTCTCGTTCGTATCGCCCCAGTTTAAGACACTACTAAGGTAGTCTGGGAGCATACACTGCACACAATAAAACATTTCCCCCAACCTAATATCTTGCCTGACCGTCTTGCCTTTCTTGTGATAATGAATTTTCTGATTGCTGTATCAAATTTGTGTGACCTCTTTGCCCTATCTCGATGAAATCCCTTGAGGTCTCTGTAATGGGGCTTTACCATTTGGAGGCAACGCAAGTATCGCTGCAGAGTGAAGCCATCGCCAAGCTCATCGTCGGTAGAAGTGCCATAGCCACCATCAACATCACCAGGGTCATCGCGAATAGGGGTACTGTCGCCACCATGGACAGCTATCCAATATCAAAGTAATCGCCGCGGGCGGTGCCGTCGCCACCATTGACAGCTATATCAAAGTAATCGCCGAAGACGGTACTGTCACTGCTATCGACAACTTCACGGCAATAGGAGTAGCTCAAGGTGCATGGAGTGCGCTCTGCGACACAGCGTGCATCAAGCGCCTGGGGCCGCAACGCTCGCTGCAGCGAGCGCCACCGGTCCTGCTCCAGCGTTGGGGCCCCCTGAAGTGCTTCCGCTATGAGGCCGCTATCTGACCACCTTAGGCTGTAACTGGCTCTTGAAGCAGCTATGTCTACCTATTGAGGCGATTGCCCGTAGGCTCTCACTCCGGTGTTCGTCACCTGGATTGTGGCCGAGAGCTTTTGTGCGTTGTTCGTGAGGCTCGCTTATGTTTAGGGCTTCCTTGGATCACAAATCTTAACTATCTTGTCACTGCAGGTCACACTCCAAAGTACGGTAGCTGGTCCCTTGAAAGCCCGTTCTTGTAAGCTATCATACAGGCGTGTGATGGTTGACTGCAAGGAGGATGGAAATGAATACCGAGTCTACGCACAAGTATAACATCACGTCAACTAGCATCTACAAATCTAGCAGGGCCAACAGGCTGCCGTGATCCCGCTGTCCCGGATCATCCTGCGCAAGCCCTTATCTTCAACCTGCACGATTTTGGGGAGACAAGTGCAAAGTAACAATGATATACATTTCCATGACCCAATGATTACTATTAGCATTGGCATTGGCATTGGAATTGCATTGCTTCTCGGTCAAGTGTGTGGTTGGGCTGGACTAGGCTGCCTTTAGTTGGACGACTCGCCATGTCTGCGATCAGTGGCCGTCTTGCCCCGTACTTTGCGAGTTGGTGATGTATGGGTTAGTGATGTGTGGGTTGGTAATGTATAGGTGGGCTGTATAGGTTGGCAGCAATGCTCGGATAATCGCCGTCTCAGCTCGCGTATTAGCGGCGATTCTCAGGTCAGTAGCAGACTCTATACCGTCCGCCGGTCGAAGAGGGCGGCCGCGACATGCTAAGCGTACCGCCGGCGTCTTTGCTTCGCGAGCACATGCGCCTTCCTCTCGTTGCGTCGGAGGTCTTCCTCTCTCGCAACCTCATAGAGTGGGTAGGTCACCAACCCCATCTCTCTCCCGATCCAGGCCTTTCATCCCGTCATCCCGTTCACCCCATTCATCCTGTTCATAGCATTCATCACATTCATCACATTCATCACATTCATTCTATTCATACCTGCTCTCATTATCCGGGCCCCATCCATCCGACTCCCCTTACTTATTATCATATGCTTGCTATTCCCTCGTTATGCTGCACGCTATGTTCCTTGATCTTGTGGTCTTTGTTTTGTCGGCACTGCCTGTCCCACAGCGCACAACCTCGTATTGGCCCTGCCTTGACGCTCATTCACAGGCGGACAAGGATGGATTACGCAGCTCTCGCGTGCCTTTTCTACTCCCACTACTTGTCAGCCCTTGAAGCCCGTCTCTTCCCTGAACCAGCTGTATCTACGATCCGGTAAACGTAGATATTGGGATTCAGGTTCTTGTTGTTCATGCCACGGTATTCAGTGGTCCCAGAGCCTCAGCTAGAATTTCAAGATGCTGTCTCTAACTGCACCCGGGCTCCTAATTTGCACATAACCGGATATGCACCGAGAGAAGCAGGGTGAGGTCTGTACCAGCATTCCCTGCCACCATTACTCGAAGTCATTCTTGTAGAGCCTAGCATGATATAACAGTTGGCTATTCCTACTGCTAGCTATGATGCAAGGATCATTAGGTGCAATCTGTTTTCACCTTGGTCTCCAGCACTTGTTTCCTCCAGTCTCGCAAGCGACCTCTCTTGGACATGGATAAATGGCCTGTGAGTCGCTGTGACGGCATAAACGCGAGTTTGAAGTACTAGATCTTCTGTGGTACTGAACATAATGTGAAGCTATGATGTTTCCTTTCATACTCGTCCCCTTTGGTCCTTTCTCTCAATGTGTGGCACAAGGAACGGCTGATGTGTTTCCTAACGGCTGTGTCCTAGGGTCGTACTCAGCCCACGTTTCTCGGATACTCGTAGCAGAGTCACGAAAAACCTTATTGATCGTAGCTCTACTTACTTGCCTCAGGTCACTAATCGACAATCACCCCCCTTATCCCCCCACTTTTCTCGTTTAGGGGCAACGCTGAAAATGTGGGCCGGGCTGTTGTTGAGCCTGTCGGATAGGTAGCCAGGGGCACTTTGTAGCTGCTATAGCTACCTACTGATAACGGATAAGCTGAGGCACATAGCTGCGGGGCAGAGATGTACGTCCCTCACCGCCCTGGGAAACATATATAATACCAAGGCTCCTCCTCAGATTTCCTTCCCTCGCTCTCACTCCTTCATCTCTCAACATTCGCAGCCCTTCTTTTTGCCTTGACAACATCAGTTTGGCCTTCCGCTTCTGCGAATATCACCTACCTCTTCAAACACGATCTATTCTTCTGGACCTGGTGCGATCACTCGTACTACGAAGCGGACTGCTCCTCTTGCGTTTCCTCGACATCCCACCCGTGGCGTTACTCGGTCCTTCCGAACCATTTCGTATTGCGGCCTAAGAGCTCTCACTTTCTCCGTTGCTTTCTAGCACACAAGAGCACACTTTTTTGGCGCTCGCTCACGGTAAGACCAGTGGATCCTCATCTTTCTCCCGCTTTCTAACACCACAGTAGGATCTTGTTTCGATCACGAATCTTTTCCTCGACACGAAGTCTTTCCCCACATTCACGACCACCCCGTCAGCACCTCTGTCTCTCGCCGCTGAACCGAGGTAAATCTCAAGTATCGACAATGGCCGGTCGGAAGTCAACGGCCAAAGCTCGGCCCCCTCGAATGAAGTCGGCGAAAGCCGTGCAATCGGCGGGCCGGCGTCGTCAGAAGAATCTGGCGTCGTATGGTGATAGCGACTCGAGCGATGGCGAGCAGTCGAATCCCGTTTCCCGAATCACTCGCGCAAAAGCAAGTGAACATTTGCTCGCGAAGATCTCAGATGCCCGAACTTGCAACACACCCGGTGGATCAGCACTCGCCAGTAGCACCACTACGAAAAGATCCCGAAGTATTGACGACGGATCCGATATCGATGAGGGCAGCCCACTCAAGCGTATGAGGGCGAGCATAGCTGTACCAGCCACGGATAGCGTGAGAAGAGCATCGACCCGAAAGGCACCGAGACGGTGGGACGAGGATTCTGCTTACGAAGATTCCCACAATGAGCCGGAGCCGTCATGGCCGACTTCAGTGGAGAAGTCACAGCAACGCGCAAAGCGAGTGAAGATCTTTGGTGATAGCGACTATGATGATAGAGAGTACCATCTGTCTGTCAACACCAAGGGAGCGCGGCCTGAGATCAACGAGGATAATCCTTCATCTACCTACATCTCACGTGTATCCTCTCGATACGCTGTTGATGACGCTGAAGAAGAGGACTACGATCCTTTCCACAACCCACGCCTTACCTCGAGATACGTTGACGATGATGAAGAAGAGAAATACGATCCTTTCCACAACCCACGCCTTACCTCGAGATACGCTGCCGACGACGTTGAAGACGACAGCGAAAACAACAAGGCTCTCTTGCGAACAAGCGTGCAGTCATACGATTACCGTCCGCATCTGCGTACATCAACTGGCGATCATTCTCCCGTTCAAATCTACTCTCCAGCACGTGGTGCTCACATGGGCTTGCCTGAGGAGGCCGACGACGTTTTGCCGTACGAGAGCTATGGCTTTGTGAAACCAGCTGGCACATATTCATACGAATGTACCTCTCAGATGCTTCCTCCAGCGCAGAAGACCGGCGATAAGCACACATCGACCCGCAAGAGTGCTCAAGAACTTATTGACGAACTGTATGGACCCGGTCGCTCTATCGCCGAGATGGCACAAAAGTGTCATCGCTATCAGAACCCTGGACATTTGGAGTCGGCACATGATTCGGAGGCCGATGAAAGCACCTCACAGCTACCTTCTCCAGCTCGAAGAAACGCCGATAGTCACACCCCGACCTGTAAGAGTGCGCAAGACCTCATTGACGAACTATATGGTCCCGGCCGCTCTATTGAGGACATGGCGCAGAGGTGTCGCCATAACTCGAGATGAGAGAACCTTGGACATATGGCACACCCGTGTAGTACACTGGTGAGTTATACTACCAATCTGCTCCGTATACGAAGCTAATCAGGAGATCGAGTCCAGGAGTCTGAACGGCGGCATGGAAGGCTGAGCTGGGACAACATGACATAGTAGTCATTGCCCTCCACTTCCACGAAGTCGAGATGACTGAGCGTCTTTTCGTCCCTGAACATCATGATGCGGTGGTTTCCCACTCATTCGGGTGTTGCTTGACACTTTCACGAACCGAATGATGGTTGTCAGAGACTGCGGGTACTGCAGTCATGGAAAGTGGTCGGACCGGGTTAGGAAAGCTCTCATGGAATCGCTCCCACCTTGTGCCATCTATGGGCTTGGGTTTGGTCTGGGGTTTGGGGTTCAGGGGGGCGGATTGGCGGCGAATGGGGTCGGCGATGAGCTGCTGTGGTACAAAGATGACTTAGACGTCACAGCGGTCATATTGATCCGACGGGGACAATACAACTCTTACATGTCGCAAGCACAATGGTTTCAACCTTGGAACTCATCGTGTGCGCCCTGCCCCTGGATTTGCATGAATGCCCCTAGCCAGAATCCGCCCTCCACCCGACCCCAATCCTCGGTCCCATGATCCGAGCCCAATTTAGACCTATTTTGGTTCGGGTTCATGTCGAGGCCCGGTAACCAGGTCAAAGCTGACTTGGGAGACGCGAGATCTGATCCCGCACACCCGGCATTGGGTTACGGTGTGGCTGATCATGTGTGCCTTTCCACCGCCCGCCCCTTTCAAGTGTAGTAATGCGGAGAGCGGGTATGCATGCGGGGCAATACTTTCCACCTACGACAGCGCCGGACGGAATGGCCCCGCCTCCAACACCCCCATCAGGTATCGGGGCACTCTATGTCGTGTCTGCCTTGATGATGTCAATGCCTATCTTGGCACCAGTTTCTGGTGCAAGCCTGGCCGGTCGGCCTCGACGAACCGAGTATAAGTAGAGGGCAGTCCGTCTGCCGATGAGATGAGCGAGTATAAGCAAACCAACAAGCATCCTGTCCGAACATGCATCTCACACAGCCCCTTTCCGTGCTTCTGGTTCTCATCGAGGTCGCTGTCACAGCACCCCTCGCAGCAGCTACGCCAAAGCTGCTCATCTGCTCCGACTCAACTACTGCCAACTACGCTGTTGGAAATGCTCTTCAAGGGTGCGTTGTACCCAGTGATGGTAGAGAGAAGCTGCTAATATCCCACAGTTGGGGATATTACATCGGAGAGTATCTGTCTATCTCGGTAGACAACCTGGCCATAAATGGCCGCTCGACACGATCCTTCATCAACGAGGGCCATTGGAGCGCCCTGCTGGACTCGGCCGCTGCTAGTGACTTTGTCATCATCGAGATGGGCCACAACGACGATGGCGATCCAACGACAGACACAGACGATCGAGCTACGCTGCCCGGGATCGGCAACGACACTGTCGTTGTCACCAACTCGACCGGGCAGCAAGAGACAGTTGAGACATTCGGCTGGTATCTGCGCACGATGATCGCCGATGTCCGCGCAAAGGACGCAGTTCCGATCATCTCGGGGATGGTGAACAGGAACTACTGGACTGGCGAGACGCTGCAAGCAGACTGGCCGTTTGCCGACTACGCACAGCAGGTCGCTGAGCAGACGGCTGCGCAATGGGTCGACCACACGGCGTACTCTGTTGAGGAGTGGCAGTCGTTTGGCTCGGTCGAGGCGAAGACGTACTACCCTAACGACAACACGCACACGAACTGGGATGGCGCGAGGATCAATGCGGAGACTTTCGTCCAGGCTGTCAAGTATCATTGTGGTGGTGATAGTCCGCTGAAGGCGTATCTCAACTCGAACGGGACAGCGGTGTCTGAGCCTGGGGCTCTGGCATGTTAGGTAGATCAACCAAAGTACTTGGTTTTGTGGAACTGGCATACACGATCTTCTTGACATCCCTTCCATTGGAATTGTTATCTGATATTTGAAGCAAAGATCACATACCACTATCGCTGCTTGCATATACCAGGAGGAAAAGACACCATATGTGCTGTTGGGTTGAGTTGATGGTTGCTTGACCTATGGTCCCCCGGCCAGACGTAGTGATGGTTGCTGGACGCCCAAAATGTTGCCTGTGGTCGAACATGAATAACCTTGGTTACAAAAGCAGTTATTAGCTACCTGTAAACGCTAAGTGAGTGTGTAACAAAGACCCCGTGGAAGTTGAAAGTAGTAACTACTTCCGTCCAATCGTAGCCATTGATGTGGGGCTCACCAGCCATCCCGAATACCAGCCACCACCCTTTCCAAGATTAATGACTTCGTGTTTCCAACCCAGCAGATTGTGTTAGATGCAAGTGAGTTCAGATTATTTAGGTTGTCCAGTGTGTTCTGTTGTTCTTCTTGTTCTGCTCTGCTTCTTCAGCGTACAGAGATTGATCATCTGTCTTCTTGGTGGTCAGATGCCCTGTGCGTCTCTGCCCCACTGGAGATCTTCCGGTGTCTATTTCCGGCTCCCATTCAACAGATTGAGATGATATCGATGTTGTGGAATTAATTCAGGCTTTGTTATAACAATAAGCAAATAAACAAAAAATAATAATGGCTTATAGCTAAACTTTATTCGTCTTTTCTTTAACTTTAATATTATTAATACAACTTTCGTTTACTTATATATATATTTTTATTTCATAAGTGTCAGATGTTGGATCCCAGATATGGTGCCCTTAGGTGCAGTACCCACTAGGGGGCTGTCAAGGGAACAGTGGATACACCCTGGCATGGTGCAGTATGGTATTTAGCTGTAGATTAGCCCTGCCGAGCATACTTGAGAATGACAACAACATTTGCAGCGACCGCTCACACCCCAAAGGCTTATGACCCTTCTAGAATCTCACAATAAGTTATAAAAGCTTTATATAAAAACGGATCTTTATACAAAAGTCTCGCGAAAATCATTTCTACGTATTATATATAAATATACGAATTGAATAGTTTTTATTATACGTAACAATATAATCTGGTAGCTGCCGGGCTATGAGAACTATTTTTTAAACGGCTTAACGGTTTTATAATATCACGATAACTTCGGGCAATATTTTAACCGAGATTTAAAACTATTCGATAAATATATAAACCTTAACGACTTAATAAATTTAAACGAGAATAGTAAATGAAAACTATTCGAGCTTAATATAAAAACCCTTTAAGTATATATTGAAATTAAAAAATAATAACTGCTTTAATAATATTAAACCCTAGTAAAAAATAATAACGTTTAACGATACCGTAAAGCTTTCAATTATCGCAAATAAAATATATATCGAAATAATATATCAGATTATTAAATTAGCTATAAAAGATAAAGATTTAAAGACTTAATCGGTAATAAAGCTTAAAAGCTTAAAAAGCGCTATTAAAAGTCGTAACAAAAAGAAGATTAAATTAAACGATAATCCGTATGCGATAAGGTAATATTAATTAGAAATTAATAAGAAATTAATAAGAAATTAATAGTATCGACGTATATTTATTGTCCCCGGCGGGACGATTTAATATTAATGATGATCTGTATAGATATTAGAATGTTGTCCACTGTATAGTAGAGGGTTTGGTATCATGAGGTGAATGCAAGCACCTACAAGCTACAATCCCTCCGTTTCAGTGAGGCTGTGCCCCCTCTTGTACTGAGCGCCCATCCACCGTCGCAGCTACTAGGAGGCCCGCAACGACCAGCCCTACACCTTCCCACATCTGAGTGTACCTTAGGTAGATAACCTTGGTAGTTACCTGAGGTACCTACTCAATCACTCAACCCTTATCAACCAGCAATTTGCAGGTGCGCACGTCTTTTCCCTTACCATCGCCGCTCCGGTATCAGCCATTCTCTGCACACCTTCTCTCAACGACAACCAATCGCCGCTATTCTCTGAACACTGCTGAACTCGTATCATCTCGGAATATCATACGATTCTACCGCCCTGGTTCTTTCATCCGTGACTGTAAGCATTCTTGTACTCTCTCCTTCACCCAGGATGTTGGTTGACTAACCATTGATAGATGCCTCCTAAGAAGAACCCTGGACCGGCGGAAGACCTCGAATTGGACCTCACAATCGTTGAGATGAAGCTGCTCAACGCTGTTCTCAAGTCATGCCCGCCGTCGGCGAAGCCAGGCGCAGACTGGGACGCCGCTCCGAAGAAGCTCGGTCTCGCTGCTGGTAAAGGACCCAGAGACCGCTTCACCGTCATCTGAAGAACGGGGTAAGTATCACTGTAGACTACCATTGGCGGCCACATTTGCTGATACTTATTCTGAATAGTGGTACAAACACGTGGGCGGTGACTACAGCGGCGCTAAGGCCACTCCTGTCAAGCAGTCCCTGAAGCGAGCCAAGTCGAGTGTTAATGATGAGGGGGACGGTCTTGGAGACAATGAGGCCACGCCCGCCACGAAGAAGCGAAAGACAGGCACCAAGAAGACATAGGACATCATGAGGACCCTGTCATGAGTGGTGATGAGGGGGGATTCGAAGTCTAAGGTGGCCACCACTGCTGTTCCGCATCATGCGTGAGCATACATCGCAGCCGCAGCACAAGAAGGAATATCATGACAATTGGAGGATTGGCAAGCTGGATTCTTTAGATGCATAGCTTTCATTATGAGCTCTGGTCTATGGGGTTACATTCCCTTTATGGGACAAAGACAATCGTAAGGTCAACTTGTCCACTGCCCTTCATGCTCATGCATCGTGACCTGTCAAAGCAACGTCGTCTTTGCACCTTTGTAGAGGCAATCATAGGGAAGCCCACGTAGCCATACATATGTATGCGAAGCTCATTGAAGACACCAAGAGGACAAATCACTGGTAGATGGAGAGTATCTAGGAGGAGATTTCCCATATTTTAGCTGCTGGTTTGGACATGCTCTGTCTGAAGAACCTCTCACGTTGTCCATGATCGCTGTCATCCCAGAGAGACATCGAGGTGTGATATCCGAACACGAGATCACCTTGACCTGGACCAAGTCCGCAAACGTCCGACGACAGCTATCAGTGACACTGTGACCTCGGCCGTGAGCACTGCTGCTCCGCCTGGGGGAGTCTGCACTCGCCGTCTACCTCACAAGTCCTGGTGGCGAGGATAATGGTATTATTGCCAGCAACTGAACCCTAGGGCGAGAGAAGCACAGCCCACATTCGAATCCAACATTGTTGCTACAATTCGAAAAACAATAGAGTACCCACCCTCCCTGGCGCCTCGACATAAAACCCCATTCCTACACCCACCTTGTCCACACCTCCCTCTGTCAACCTTCCACCAACAACCTCCATCACCAAACATCATCACATCTACCACTACTCTCTACTCAAGCAGTCCGCGATCTCTTCACATACCAATACCAACACCTACACTTACTTCATCCATCACTCAATCAAACAAGATGCCTCCTATCGACAATGACTCTCAGTTCCGCTTCCTCATATCTTGCATCCGCCACTCTGCCTCTGGAAAGGTAAGAAAACTTCCACCACATCGCAGCTGGCCTTCACCCAAACTCGACGACCTTTTCTTCGAGCTTTGTTCTAATCGACATAGGTCGACTTCGAGGAGGTCCGCAAGGAGTGTGACATTGTCACTCGAGGTGCCGCGTAAGTTTCTCCCCCGCTCCCTCTACCCCTTACCCGACCAATTCTAGTCACGAACTGCCTAGCTAATCAATCATGCACGACAGCGCCAAGCGATATGAGCGTCTCATGAAGGCCCACGGCATCGCCCCCAGCGGTGCCACGGGCACCATCAAGAAGGAGGGCACCAAGGAGCCCAAGGAGACCAAGCCCCGCGCTGCCAACAAGAAGCGCAAGCTCGCCGCGGTCGAGGACGACGTCGGTGACATCGACGAGCCGGTCAAGGCCGAGAAGTCCAAAGTCAAAGGTGAAGTCAAATTCGAAGATGCAATAACCGTGAAAACCGAGCGACCAAATGATGGTGGCATGACTCCTACCGCAACGCCTGGGGAGCAGCAGCAGCGCCTTTCTCAGTCTCAGACCGCCACGTTTACCTCGAACACGAGTCCGAATGACGACGATGACGAGGTCTTCCTCATCTCTGCGACGCAACGGCAGGACCCGGGCTCCTCCGATCCGGTCTTTGGCAGTGGTCACCATCATTCGCACTCGCATTCGCACTCTCATCCACACTCACCCAATCCCATCATCCCTGGCATACACACCTTTGACTACGCAACTAACATGGGTTTCCCTCAACAGCTTCAGCCCCCGCCGCCGAGGACCCCATCGTCGCCGACGACGGCGTCGGTGATGAGTAACTCCTTCCCCTACGGTTTCACACCTACGAACTGGATGTATCCCCACGGCTCGCATGGCTACCTCTAGCAAGCAACTTTCGCCTTCTGCGTTTGTCTCGATTCTCCATGAGGAGGCTTGACGGCTTGACAGGTCACAGGTGTGGTAAGTTACCCCATATCTCTGCAAGATGCATCCGATCGAAGCTAATCATGAAATCACAGCGGTTGAGGTGGAAACAGACACTGGTTGATAGGGTTGAAGGAACTTCTTACGGTTCGGACGGGATTCTACATGGACGCACGTGGCATGATGGTTCGGATTTACGGTTACAGCTTCACGTTATTAGGGTTTGGCTGCCTTGAGATGGTGCAGCTGTGAGAATTGAGTCATAATTCTCCCCAACACCTCTGTTCTCCTGTGATACAATGGCTGCCCTCCCGAAGACAAGCTCCCGTCCAGCTCACGTTAAACCATACGCATGACCTTCTCGATAAAGCCCTGACCGGATTTCGGGGACATTCAGACAAGACCCGAGATTTTCGCCTGCCATGGCCCCCGTCTTCAGGTCTAGGCTCATCCATCAACCGGGACGGTGGACCGTATATCTGCTGAGAATCGGTATGCTTGCAATGGCTCAACTGAAGGGCTGATAGTACATGGTGATTAGATCAGGTTGTCATGGTTGATTGATAACTTTGTGGTTACCGGCACATCTCGTATATTTCTCCCTGACATGATATCCTCAGTAAGACTCGCCCCAAATACACAGCCGGCTTCAAGTCCGGCGGCCACCTGCCTGCCTTGGTGGTACATGTCATTCTCCCTCGTAGCATGAGAACCTGTAGCTTGCTGCATAAATAGATCATTCATTGTCATTGGGATGCCTTCAGCTACCCCATAAGTCCAGACAGAGCGGCCCCATCCTCTCTACATCTCAAAGGACGGCCTTCCTCTCGCTTTGTCAAGGGCTGTGGCAGGTAGATCATCACGGGTACTACTTGGGTCGGTCGGGCGCTGGCGAACGCTGTTCCTACTTCCGAATGTAGAATCGAGCGTATATGCCCACGGGCGCGTGTTTGTCCTCAGTCGGGTGCCATTGTATGTCTGCTCTCAGGCACTTGTAGGGGCTGATTTGATCGCCTGCGCCTTCAAGATATCGGGTGTCCTGTGACCATGCATGTCAGAAGTTTGCAGCAGCTCTATTAAATGCCGCTGTATGACTACAAACTGGTAGTGCCACCGGCCACGGGGCAATGCGATGTAGATTCTACTGCATTTAGGCGACGACCTCATGAAGGGGAGGAATCAAGACTCCTTTGCTCGTAGACCGTAGCCAGCATGGCATTCTGACTGCACGAGCTCGGGAAGCCTGCTGGGATTGTGAGACAACACCAGCCCGTCGCAGAACAAGGTCGAGCGTCCCTGATCAACCGGCGGACATCGTCATCGGTGGTGCAGTTATCTGCCAACACCAAACAATTGGGACATTAGATTCGTATATCAAATTTGTCGGGATACTCCAGAAGCGCGCGTTTATTGCTGCCTTCAAGCTCATCGTCTCTGTCGCTTGTGTGTTCCTTCAGTCGCAAGCCGTCTCCGCATCCGCCATAGCTATCACCCAGGTATTGCCACCTGTGGCGGCAGGCCCGAGGTGCGCCGCACAATGAAGAGTCCGATGCCGATTGCGCCTTCCTCCTGCTCCTGCCTTCAGCTCGATCTCGGATGCTCCCGAGATCTGCACTAAGATCTGATCAGATCAGATCGCCGAGAGTTTGACATCGGGAAGTGGGTCTTCCCCGCGATGCAACGGTCGCACCGGTCGCACGACTGATTGGGCGACGCCACAAGCCACTGGTGGGGACCGGACGCCGTTTTTGACGACATGCCATGAGCCGCAGTTCGTGAATAGTATGAGTGAGTACATGGTAAGCAGAGCTCGACGATCAGGCAGGGCATGACCACAGATAGCCTGTCCCGTGTTTGCAGGCCGCTGGCGATATCACATGACGGTGTATTTCGCCCTAGTGTGGCTTGCGATCGGCCAGTCTTTTCCTGCGGCATCGCACTCACTGCACCATCGCAATCAATGCACCTACAGCAGCCGCGAACCAGACCAAGAAAGACCCAGGTGTACATACACACTTGACTTGAAGTTGGCCCCTAACCGTTGCCTGCATGGTTGACATTATCGAGAACCCCAGGGCCGCGTGGGCTTGGAAGCTGGTCGGCATATAAGCACGGCGTCGTGGCACTGACAGAGGAATACGAAATGATGTCAATTCAGATGGTGAAGTGGTTTATGTGAAGGTCTAGCTGTTCTCATCATGATAGCCCGCAACGATTGCAGTGAGCTAAAGTCTCGTACGCGCCGCTGCTCTACCTCTTTCAGGATAGCATCGTAATAATCACCGGTGCCATGCTACGTGTTCTGAAGTTGGCGGTATAGATAGATATGCAGCCGTGAGCAGAACCATATTTACGCACTCATGATACCTTCACACCATGTGGCACGTGCAGAACCAAGGGCGAGGTCCCTGATCTCAAACCCCATCCTCAAGACCTGGAGCGACTCGAAATGCCCCCCAAAGTGACTAGACATCATGGTACCTACCATAGCTCTGTAGCCGACATATCGAGATTTTTCAGATGATGCAGTAGGTCATGATGAAAGTCTACTCGCTTGGTGGGTGCAGCACCAAAGTGGTATGGTGAAATCATCAGCACCCGCCTATGACCCCAACATGCAGACAGCTCGCTCAACACCCAAGCTTCAGTGCATGAATGCACTGTTAAATCATCCAGTTCAGGCGCCAGGACCCACTCTGCCTATTGTTATTCCCTGGAAATAGGACCATAGCAGCTGGGAGAGCGGGTTGGGGTGGCAGATTTGAAGTGCCTACACCGCCCGCACCCACCACCCGAAATAATCTCTATGAATTGATTGCTCCCAAACCTCCCAGCTTTCGTCTCCTCCATCCAACCCACAACTTCACTTAAATCTCTGTTCTCGGAAACTCCATCTTGAGCAGCCTGCAATACCAACGCATCTTCGTCATCTTGATCGCAAACCTCCAGGTAAGCTTCTCCTCCATCTGCAGCATCGTGTACTCGTCATTCCCAACTCCCTGCGCCTCATCCGCATCTCCTCCGATTGATCTGCCCTCCTACCTCACCTGCGCCCCAAACTGTTGTGCCTGAGGTTCTGCCCAATCTGCCGTTCCTGCACCACTTTCGCGCTGGTCCACTCCACTGCCATAACCAATTCTTCCAACTGCCCAACACCCACTCCATCTCCATCTCTCCTACAACCACATACGACTTTCTCTAGATTCTCGTTCTCAGGAACTTTGGTAAGCACTCAATCACATCTGACCTTCCCTTTCCCAAATCCCCAGTTCCTCTCCTCCAAATCACGCTGGTTTGCACTCGCAGCAGTCCAAACCCTTTCCGCATTACCCGATTTTCATCCCCTGCCTCTCTCATCACCTACTGCACCCTCCAGCGGCTTTTATTTTTATTCTTTTTATATTTATTTTTTGCATTGAGAGACTGCTGGTAAGTCTCCTTCCGCTGCCCTACTACGTGTCATCAACGCACACCCGGCTTTCCTCGTCACCCACTTTCACCCTTCACCCGGCGTTCACGTGCACCTCACAGAAGACCAGGTCTGTGAGCTTGGTATGTGCGCACTGCTACCTCACTGCCCGTCACCTCCAAGTACCTCACATTTTTTCCCCATTTTCGCTCGTTCCTCAGGCATCAACATTCAACTGTGGATCCCCGATCTGTACTGCCCCACTTCTCTCCCAATCGCACCACCATTTCATTGAATTTTCTTCCTCTCGCACCCTTCATCCATTCTCCCAGAAAAATATTCTTCCATCTGAACTTTAACTTCTGGATCCCTCTCCCAGAGACACACCTGCACTTGTTGATCTATTTCTTCAACACAATCCATCATCAGCCTCGGCCTTCCTCAGGTGACTGACCGTACCATCTCCAGATACTCACATTTGACTTCAGTCTTTGACACAATCAAGATTTTCTTGCGACCATTTCCGCGAAAGCACCACACTCGACTTCAGTTCGTACCAAGTACTTCTGGAGACGCCCTCAGTTTCGACGCGCATCAATATTTTCTGGCAACGACTTCCTCGGAATCTTGGCACCCGACTTCTGTCCTCTGACACACCATACTCTGTCCAACGACTTCTTACAAGAATCGCAATCGTAAGTGCTCACTCCATCCCCATACACATGCCCTCCACTCCACCTTCATATCTCCCGTCGGCTTGAGATCGGTTCCCACACTGCAACGATTCATCTCGTCCGAAGCCACCAAGCACACCCACTGCCAGGTTCCACCATCTTGCATATTCCTCACTACGACCTCTAACAATCTTGTCGCATCTCCCAAACGCACCACCTTCCATCACCGTTACTCTACTTCGCCGCCACCGTTATTCTTCTGTTTACTGACGATGTCACCTTTGGGCCAAGCAGGTACCGATCTCTTCAACCTTGACATCCATCAAGATCTCTCATCAATCTCGACGGCACCCAAGATTCTCCGGACATCTACCAGTACCGCAGAGACAGAAAGTAAGTTTCCACTTCTCCATTGCTACACCTTTGGCACTCGCTAACCTTGATGCAGAGTCTACTACCGTCGCGATCATGTCATCATCCATGAGAAGACTCGACATCCAGAAGGCCAACAAGATGAACGCCTCTCATTCCGAGTCTCGTGACTCCGGTTTCGCCTTGACCCCTGATTCACCCGCTTTTCCTGTCGCTCCAGTCAGCGCCACAGTTGACGGTGTCTCCTACAGCGCAAGGGATATCGAGAGAATGGGCCGTACCCTCAAGCAAGCCCGTGCTGATGGTGCATTCCCCTCGACCACCACTCCACTCTACAACATGGAGATCATGATCCACGACTACAGCCGCCTCGTCGAACTCTCAGAGGTTCGCCGCGGCATGCCTCCCCGCGAATGGAACCGCGATCGTCGTTCTGTTGAGCTCTACCTTCAGATTGCCCGAGAGTTCCAAGAGCGCGATGAGCTCCACAGTGAAGACGTTGAACAGGTCAACATGAGCGCACGCGCGCGCAGTTTCGAGACTCGCGCCAACGACGAGGCTACTCTGTACGCAATGGTTCGTCATGCGCTCAACTCTATCGTTCATGGCACTGCTCACGGTCAGGCGACTCCTGGTGTCGACATTCCTGCCGTTCTCACCGAGATTCGCGACTCATTGATCGGCCAAGCTGTTCGCGGCGAGAACGGTGTTACCGAAGCTAACGTTGAATATGTCATTCAACACGTTTTCAACACGATTGACCAGTCTCTCGAGGCTCAAGTCAGCACCTTGGGCAACGTGGCCGACACTCAGCGTGCTCAGGTCAACGCCATTGCCGGTCATGTCGGCGCCATCGACAACCACGTTCATGCCATGGGCCACAACGTCAACTCCATGGGGTCTCTTGTCAACTCTACCAACAGCAACGTCAACGGCATGACTACTCAGGTCAACATGCTTCAGACTATCGTCAACATGCTTCCTGAGATGGTCAGTCGCTCCATTCAGCAGAGCCTTCCCGAACTCATACAGGCTGGCGTCGAAGGTGCCATCAGCGATGAGCTCGTCGCTCGACTGGAGTTATTCGTTGGCACCATGCAGGGTATGCGTGCTCGCGAAGCAACGACCAGCCAGGGCGCTCCTGTCTCTGAGAAGGGCAACAAAGTGAGCAAGAAGTATTCCAAGAAGCCCTGCTTCATCAAGAGGCTCTTTTCCTCAAAGAAGCACGGTGGCGGCTCCGGCGGTCATGGTTCTTCTAGTTCAGGCCTTGCTCACTAGGACGTGATCATCACCTCACACCCAACAACAACCGTCTTCGTCTGAAGTCATCTCTTCTCGGCACTGGTGCAATCTACGACCGTCATCTCTCGACATGAAGGCAGTGACGCGGTATTGTTTCTCGCGTATTGTCATCTTGTCACGATCACGATCACGACACGCGATCACGGTCGTTAGCCTTCGGCGTCACGGATTGATTTCGACATTGCATTGAAGGGGTGGATTACAACATGATATTCGGACCTCCTTACTATATACACCAAGGGCCCACGCCCCATCGTCCGCACGAAGATACGATCTTCGGTTTCGGAACGCCATTCGAGAGCTTCGCTCGAGCAAGTCTCACATTGCAAGCACAGGCGTTTGGACGGGTCTATGTACAGATCATCTCAGTCTCACATACCATTCTGGGCGAGACAAGCACTGGTCTTTTTCGACATTACTTTCGGTTTGGACATGGATGGCTGGATTACTTGTGTGTGCGGACTTGGAGAGGAATTCTAGGAGGGCTTTGGTCGTCTTGAAGCCGGATTCGGATCACCACTTCCACCATCATGTTTTCATTCCTTGTCGATTTCATAGTTCAGTACTGGCGCAGGTCTCAATTTATTACGTTCATGACAGATGAAGTTTTTCCATGCCAATTGTGATGAATGCTTGACGAATATTGATGTGACATGGTCTGTAAGTGACTGCTCTTTGGTTGTTGTCTGTCTTCGCCTGCTCCTGCTGATCACGTAGTACCTCTCTGTATCCTGACCTGCTTGCATTCCGCGCAAACGCGCCAGGAGTCCCTGGGATTGCCACCTATGCCTCCGATGTATCAACTGGTAGCTGAGCGGCCGTGTAGCCAAATCTGTATACCCCATGGGCCTTGTCTTGGTGGCTGTTTCTTGCAGCCCTGGTCTCTGCATATCAAGCTCGGGTATCTGGAATGTGTCGACCATGACCGGAATCTTCGAGGTAGGGAATCGCGTACTGCCTACAACCTGCGATGGCGTCAGTAGAGCGAGAAGGTCAGATGGAGCATTTGCCCGGAGGAGACACCAGCCGTCTTTGCCGGGTCCCGTCGTCTGATGTTCACCACCTTCGCTTCTTGCATACCTCCGTTCTGACCTCCCGCGTCGCTTTTTTACATGTCAACCGCAGCATCCTGGTAGCAGATCTCTTCACAGCACTCATGATAGCCCAAGGCATGAAGTGCTCGACTGCCGTATGGCCGTCTAGTGGTACTTTCCTCCTGGTAAGTTCTCCGTCCCCTTCGTCACCATATTTACCCCTCTAACCGGGCTGGTAACAGTGCTGTAGGTAAGTTACCGAGTCCCAATCCAAGGGTATACCCGGCTGCTAGTCTCGTTCCGGAAAGCCGGTGTCGACACATCGCGAAACGTACCAAAGGAAGCCAGATGTGCACTTTTCTCGGACTCGGGCCCATGTTGACCAAGAGACCCACGGTCGTACCCGAGCTCGATGCCCCCCAGATCCCCCTTGGGCGCCCAGATACGTCCACTTGACCTCGACTCGATGCCACGTCGAAGCAGCGTCTAATTCACCACCGAGGAAATGCAAGAAACTTGGAAGGTCGTGGACGCGGGCGGCCTCGTGGCAACAGATGTCCTCTCTAATTTCAGGCAATGGTGGGCCACTGGAATCCTCCCGCACACGTGTCCATGTTTTGTTTGTTTGTTTTGTATTTAACGTGGGGGGTAGCTCCTCAGTAGTGCAGACCACGCCTCCCAGAGCCTCTGCATCGCAGGGTTGTGGAGGTCTCAAGAAAATAAGTACAGTCAGTCCCGCTCACGGGCCCATCCCCGTTGTTGCGGCGGTATGACCTTGGGGTCATCCATCTGGTCCTTCAAGAACAGCTATCTATCGAGGACAGATTGATGAAAAGAATTTGCTCTTCTCCACGAATTTTGCCCATTCTGTGCTCCTCTCTCCTAAGTATTGTAAACAGGCTGTCCTAGGCAAGTACCTAGGCAATAACCGATTTTTTCCTAACCTCTTACAAAAGAAAATATGTTGTGGTGTTTTTTTTTCACCACAGCTGCAGTGGTTGTTCGATCTTGTATGCCCAAAGCGTTCGTGGTATCTGGCAAAGTCGCCATGTCCAGATCTGGCCGCTAGAAGTCTGTGTAGAGTGCTCCTCTTAAAGGATATAAGGCCTCTTTCAGTTACTGCATGTGAGTATACTTCTTGATACTTAGGTTCTGATTGGTCTTTCCACCATTGGTTGAACTCTTTCTTGCCCTTTCTCTTGAGATTTCTCTTGACCTAAGAGATTATAGGAAGATTTGTCGTGTCTATTTCTAGCATAGTACCCTCTTTTACTAATATCTCGGCAGCTTTGTTACTATCAATATCTCTGTGTCCAGGAATCCACTTGACGGTCACTCCAGGAGTGTGTGCTGTGGCGAGTTCTTGGAATCGCAGAAAATTTTTCTGTGATGTCTCGGGTGGAGTCCCATTGAGCCCATCCACCACTGATGTGTTGTCCAGGCAGACATATAGCTGTTTTCTGTGTCCAATTGCCCTGGCTGCTGCAAGACCTTGGAGAACACCATGGACTTTAGCATCCACTACTTCTGCTTGTAGAAGTCTGCCCCTTCCCCGGTATACTTCTTGTGTAGTGCCGCCTTTCTTGATGGTATAGCCCCATCCAGTGCGGGTTGTGCCTTGGTCGTCTAATTGTGATCCATCTGAATAGATGACAAGGTCAGTGTTCGCATTTCTTTCCTGTAGCCATTGCTTGAAGAGCTCTGTTTCTTTGTCTTTGTCTTTACAGACTGGGGGCTTCTTCCATAATGGCTTGGTGAGTATTGGTCTCTGGAAGTCAGGGACTAGTTGGAAACTCTTTTGTAGCCTTGTTGGTTCTTTGTGAGCTTGTATTTGGAGCCTGCCAACAAGAGGGTGTCTCTGATCTACTCGTCCGAGTCGGAGGCCGTGACGTCTTCTTATTGACTCTGCAAGAATTCCTACTGGAGGAATCTGTGATTCAAAGTGTAGGATATGTCCAGGGTGTGTTTTCCAGACTGGCAAGATAGCTCTGATTACCGTTCGTAATACAGCATCTATCGTTCTAAGAAGCCCTTTAATGCGACATGCTGATGTCCCACCTAAGCTCCTAATTTTTTCCATTCCTGGGTACCAGGCTTCCAGGCCATGTGTAAGAATAGGAATAACACAAGTTTTCACAGCCCTCTTGGTTGACTTTACTGGAAGTCCTTTGACTGTGTTGCATAGTCCTCGAAGGTGATTTGCTACCCTACTAGCTTTCTTGGCCCAGTAGGAAACGTGATCTTTGAAGTTCAGTTTTCTATCCAGGAAGATACCTAGCCATCGCATGGAGTTCTTTGCTGTTCTGTTTATTATCCCGTGGCAGACCGGAGGATTGTCTGAGTTCTTTTTCTGTGACAAGTGCATGATCTCGGTTTTGTCGGGGTCAAACTTAATAATATTATTATGTCCCTATTGATTGAGTAAATAAAGATTTTCAGAAGCCTTTGTAGCTATTTCCTTAAGGTTCTTTCCAATACAGAGAGTCGCTAGGTCGTCTGTAAATCCAAAGCGTCTCTTTTTCATACCGAGTCGGGCACAGATTGGCTCTGTATACAGCATATAAAGGATTGGAGAAGCTGGTGAGCCTTGTGGTAGCCCACAAGTGAGAGCTTTTATGTCGGTCACAATACCTTCAAACCGAACTCTTGCGGACCGTTCAGACATGAATGACTGGACCCATCTTATGAGAAAGTCTGGCCAGCCCTGTTCTCTCATGCGAACCACTAGCCGTCCCATTAGGGCAGCGTCGAAGGCCCCTTTTACATCTGCTGTGACTACCGTTGCAACAAGGCCTTGGTCAAGGGCCTGCTCAATATCGTGTATGAGCGCAGCTACCAAGTCACACGTGTCCATGCTGTGGCCCCTGGCGTCACAAGTCGCACTCGATCAATGCATGTTCAGGTAGATAGCACTAGGTATGAACTGATATAATGGGAATCGACCTATCAACCTGTTGTTCAATGTCGACGTACTCCATCAAGGCGCCCGGTGACGTGAGGAGTCGGTGTGACGTGACTGCGATGATCAAGGCTCTCCACCACCTGCCTGGAGATGATGTGATGATTTGTACTGTCGCATAGGTAGTGTGATTGACTGATTCGGTGTTTTTCGAGTGTAACTATCTTCGTCCTTGTTGCCCTGGTGTGGTCTGGTGTAAATTGCAGGCGGGGTCGGTACATTCATATCCCGTGAGAGGCAGTATTGAACTGGAGCTGTCACGTTCCTAACAGTGGACACCATCCTAGGGTGCAGACACCATCTGTGGACCTATGTGCCAATATAGGCACAGGTCGGCTCTGAACGGCGTTCTACATCCTATTTTTGAAGACTCTTTAAATAGCACCGTTTTGTTTTCTTCATTTTCACCGATCAGACCCTTAGTAAGTACGTCATATCGTTGAGTTCGTCTTGGACCCTTTGCTGGTTACTCAGCATGCATACTTGGTGGCAATTTATCCCATCTATCAGTGTTGTCTTGTTTTATTGTTAGACCTGCAAAAGAGGGTCAATAGGTTGGTAAGTACTCGTCTCATGAATACATATATGCGTATGTTTATATGAGCTCCCTGTTCTCCCTGCCTGTGTACTGTGTCCGATGCATCCCTTCCCCTCCTCTTCTTCCAACCATTGGACTTGTCGACATAGTTATTATCTGATCAGAAATCAGTCTTCTACACTTAGTCTTTATCCCGTACGCAACCCGCGAAGTACCACAACACACCTCGAGTCGCCCTAGGGGCATCCCGCACGCGGCGTCTGATAGGATGCTTCTTCATTGCCTGATGAGAGGAGCCCTCAATGCGTCTTTGGAGGCGTTGCTATTCTCCACGCTTCTCTCGTTGGTGTCAGGTCACGGGCTGCACCAAATTCCACAATCCATGGACGAGGTCGGAAAACTCTTCAACTTTGACGTTTTCAAAGACAACGATGTCTTCTTCTCATCGGGCGATCTCTCGGGCATGACACCAACCGAATGGTACATGAAAGCGAAGCAGATGGGTCAGAAGTGCGGCATGGTTACGCTGCTTGACGTGTGGACGATCGACTTCCCAGAGTATAGCACGCCGATGAAGATCAAATCTTGGGCATACCCAGCCGGCTACGACGACAACCCAAAGCTGGATGCATATCTCGAATTCACCCAACTGGCTTCCAGGCAGTTTGCTGAGGGGTCGCTTCAGTCCAAAAAGGACATCTACCTCATGCAGCCTGAAGCAGCCGACCGCCGGCCTCCGGTGGGCAGTACATGGCTACGGGAAGAGTTTCCTATACTGAAAGAAAAGAAACGAACCATATATAGCATGGAGTGGGAGAAAACCATTGAGTCGGACTACAAGGTCGAACCTAACGACGTTTTCTGGAAACATGGTATGGACGACCCGCCGACTCGAGAGACCAATGTACGGCCGAACACAAAACGAGTGCCCAACAGAAGACGTAACAGACTAGTAAGGGGCGCAAGACAAGAAATTGCTGTCTGAACTTTGAACGAATAGCCGAGACTCGCACGCAACTGGTGTCTGTGAGGGATCTAGTGGTGTAGGTGCGGGTTCATCTAAGTAGAAATCCATACTCGAAGAATAATTTGGGTGTAGGTACCCTTCCTCTCTTCAAGACACACGGTTCATGCACGGGTCACTGAAGGGTTGGCGGCTTGCTGCTTTCGACGACATCCATGCCCGCCCGCCAATCGGCAATACCACCGACACCAAAACTGTTTAACCCCAACAGGCACAAGAGCTCGCCCCAACGTCGCTTGTCCTTGCGGAAATCTCACAAACAACAATTTGATCCTAAACAATAGACTACATGACCGAAACACATCTCACGAATATGAGGCCGCGTCGACCCTTCCCATTCGCACCCTTGAGGAGACCGGCTGGGAGTGGCACTGACGGATGGATACCCATTCGGTCAGGTAGGCGCTGTGGCCTCGTGTTCAAGTTTGTTCCATCTGCGAACGATACGAATCCAGTCTGGCATAGCTCAAGCTCTCTGACTCTTGTAGATATGCTGTTCGTGGCAAATACGTTGCCTCCAGTATCTTGAACAAATTCGCAACCCTCTGGCACCTGTGACTGAAGTTCCGAATATACAATATAACATGGCTCCCGCCTTGTATTCAACCACCTGTGGAACTTTATCTCTCTCAAGCAGTTGCCTATCAAAACCATCGTGTTCATTGTTTACAGGCCAGTATCAACATGTCAGGCGATGGGACGCCATTACTCGGCTTGGTGCTGACCGCCGGTGCCTCGGTACTTTCTCAATATAAAGTCTCTGGGTACCCTGAGGAGTTTTATTCGTCATCGCCCGCGTCTTTGCTTGCTGCTTCGTGTCAGCTTCTTGCACTCGATGAAGTCACCTAGAGAATCGTGCTGCTTCGGAGTCTGCCAAATCTATGCAGATAGCTTGTGTCTTTCAAACGAAGTAGACGGAACTATACCGAAGGGTTCCGGCCAGGTATCACTGTACCCAACCGTCCTTGGATGTATCCAGACAGGCAGTTGTCAATCTTGCGGTGTTACTGCTGTCCTCACCTTGATGACCAGGAGATCCTGAAGAGATCCGTTCATCCCGCTGGGAGATCTGTACTACGGCGGATTATGGTGAACACAGGGCTTCTCGTTGACGAAGTAGTCGACTGTGACCTGGGGTTCTGACCCACAAGGATGGAGAGAAACTGTCCAGGACTGCCGTCAGTTGTCGAGGTGGTATAGACGGAAAGGTAAGCTGCAGTCAAGGTCACAAGATCTGTTCTTATCTGCGAGCGTCGAGTGATGACCGTGTAGGAGGAGGCCAGAATACAAGGAGTTCCAGGGGCCCTGGAGTGCAGGAAGTCCCCGTGGAACACTATAGGGGAGGCATCATGGGCACTCCAGCTATCGACACCCCCTGTGGGATGTAACCCTAGGTGACTACACTCACTAGCCCCGTGTGATGCGTGTAGGGGACGTAGGGTCAGTCTTCACCTACACGCATCTGACACCGTCTGCCAACTGGCAAGGTATCCACAGACAGATACCTAGCCGAATCTACCGCAGCAACCAATTTTTTCAGGCCTTCTTTTCTACGCAAGCAACATCACCACAGTTCCAACGTTGGTTTTGCCTCTTTCGTACAGAAACATCGTGCTTATCCTTTTCTCAAGCAGTCTTCAAAACTGCGCGCTTTCTTCATCTCTCAACTCTACTGGAAGATACCATCTTTGGTAAGTCAATCATCTCAACTCCCTCCCAACATCAGCCTTTCCACCTCACCACCCACTACCAGTCCGGCCTGCCTGATTCCTAACCTACTCACCGCTGTCGTGAGCATGCCCATTGGTGGCTTCAAACCAAACAAGTTCATTGCGCCAATTCTGCCTGTAAGGCCTACCCATGCTCTCTTTTCCCATCCATTCCCACTGGCAGTCTCCCTTGATCCAGAGGACACCGTTGCTCTCAATGCCACTGTGCATTCGTCCCAACTGCTCCCCTACTTTACCTTGTTTTCGAGCGGCAAGTTGACGAAAGAACGACTTCTATCTCGCCAGTCAACGAGCCACGATGGGGAGAGTCACCGTGAACTTCCCGACATTATCACAGCTTCAGCTGCTTGCTTATACGATACTTCGCCGGGAGACATGGTAATGATGTCATCCAAAGTTGGTGTCCACGTAGATGCAGAAGAAGTGCGATTCTGGCGCACGAACAGCAGTGACGTGACAGAGGAGGCTCCTCTCTCGAGTCAGGTAAGGTTTCTATCCAGTGTCCAGAGCTTTGTAGACTACCTCGCCATGGCAATCTCCAACTCGCACACTGTTCAGTCCATCACGTATATTACTTCGCGGCTAACTCATCACAGGACAGCGAGCCACAGCATGTCACCAACCAGCCCGTAGCCCCTACCAGTGAAACGGCTCATTGGTATTACAGCAGTTATGAGTATCTAGATGTGCCCGAGGAGTAGCGTAAACCACCACCTCTCGCTCTCTTTCAACTGTATAAACGCACGCCCAGGCACATTCATGCCGGAAGATGCATACTTCCAGTCAATAGAGATCTTCAGGCCCATGCTGTAGTCATTAAAGTGCGACCATACTGTTCGCCCTCTGACGTCGCCAACTGCATATCACCAATCTGCCAGGAAACAGAACGCGGGATGATGCCAATGGGTTCGCTACGCTGGGTGATGTGGAGGAAATTGGGCACGATGTGCTTTGTCAAACGGGGTATGATGACAATGCTCGTGTCTCCTGCTTGAGGAATTGGAAGCTTGAAAGATCGTGGTCCAGGGCGAGTTCTTGTCACGGCGAGCGTACTGAGGAGCTGGGACATGGCCGGCAGCAAGCAGCTATTACTCTATTGACGAGAATATCAAGACTAGAGAGGAAAGGAAGAGAGAGAGAGATAGGTACAGTGGGAGGTTGCCCCTTTAAGGGGATCCTCTGGTCAGATCCTTCCCCTATTAGGAAGTATCCACTTGTCATGTGGAAAGGTCTGTGCAGGCCGTCACAGTTCTTTCCTTTCGTCTCCTCGTGTCTGTACTATGTAGTTGTCTGTATTTTTCATACTTCTTTTACCTAGCTTCAATTTCGCTTTCCTCCACAGTCACATACCCATGTCCGGACTTGTCTCGTCATTATTGCGCGACTTATGTGATACTCTTTCCGACAGGAATCGCTGGCTACCCGTCACCCCTCGATGTTGGTCTGCTTGTTTTTAGGTTTACCGCCCGTTGACGTATCCCTGTTGTCCTATCTTCCCTTCATCTATTCACACTCATTTGGCCGCCATTTACTCTAACTATATTCATCTAACTTCATCTCCACAGCTTCAAATCCCAGCCGACTGCTTAAGTGTTCTTTTGCGAGTCTTCATATCATAATCCCAAGTCCACCGACGAATATGACAATGTTCCGGCCGCGACTTGCTCCTGCATTCGCCTCTTTTAGACTATGTCTACTAGGTTAGTATGGGTAATCAAAATCGCCGTAGTGCTCAAATCCCATTAGATGCGGTGCTATCAAACAATGTGTAGATGGTACAGATGGTTTATATTCTTGTATTTAGTGCTGATTTTAAATATTCTGTTATTTAAACAAGCTTAGTAGCTCGCTCTGGTTTGCGCTGCGCGCAGCTTAAAGAGTTAAGACTAACGCATCTTATTAAAACATATTTACCTAGGTTGTATTTAAAAACAGGTGCCTCTATTGTTTAAAAGCAGGTACTTTTTATTAAACGCTGCTTTTACTAGCTTAAAAAGAAGGTTACGTAATAACGCGCTTTAATATCTGTATAGGTCGAATACTTGAATAATATTTAAAAATAAGTAGTATTATTACTTAAAAATAAGTAGCGTTTATACCGTTATTTCATAGCAAGTTAAACGAAGGTTTTTTTTAAAGCGGCTTTATTATAATAATACTTATAATTATATTAAATGTATATTTATTTTAAAATAAACTTACCTAATAAACCTTAGTTATAAAGTTACGTAATAGCGGCTTTAAGTAGTTATATCATAAACGTATAATTATAATATTATATACGAAGTAATAAGACACACCTTAAGTTAATCTTACCGCTAGTAATATAAATAGAAAATCTAATAATTTAAACGGCTAAATAAATAGCTTTTTATATAATATTTTTATATAAATATTGATCGGATATATGTTAACTTTGTTAGAATAGACTTGAACGATCAATCATAATACTCGAGTATTGAATCAAGGTCATGATGTTGCTGATAGTTGAATTGAGAGATCTAGCTTGTCAGATACCAGCGCACCATTTGGGACATGCACTGACCATGTCACGTGGATGACAGCGCATTAGACTGCGACCAGCCACCAGTGCAAAAACTAGTATTGAAAACTCGTACACAGACAGACAGTGCCCATACAACATTATAATACACACTTCAATTGACGCTCGTATTCAACATAGCTGGACTCGCAGGTCTGGCTAAGTGACCTCACAATCCGGTATCTAATCTCTTATCTAATCATACATGTGGGTTCGGCATGGATGGGTTAAATGTGGAATCGCATGGATCCAACAAACTTAGTAATATTTCCCGACATTTTATATACGCGCAAGGCGTTAAGAACTTTACTTATTATTACTTTTTTTTTATAATTATAAAAACTTTAAAATTTAAACGAATTATATGAATTTAAGCTTGTATTAAATTTTTTTTACAAAACAACGATAATTTTATTTTTAAAGCCCGCGCATTTATAATCAAAGCTATAATAAGTAAGGTAAGTTAAACAGCCGTAAATAATGCGTTTTACTACTATGATGAAACCATAATAAATTAAATTAAACGTCTTAAAAATACCGAATCTTTTATTATATACTTTATACGCGCCGTTTTTTAATTACTTAAAGCTGCGCAGCTGTTTATATACTTTATTTCATTTATCAAAATCGTTAAGTCACTTATCAAAGCTCTAAATCATAAAAAAGTACGCCAGTAAACTTTATTACCT